TTTAGAACCAATCTTTAGTAAAAATGCAAGTAAATCCTTAAAAAACACTTAAAAGTGCTTATTGGAAGAAGCACATTCTTAGTGTTTCTTGCAGAAAATACTTTAAGTACTTTTGGAATAGAAAAATATTTCCTCTAAAAGCTTTTTCAGTCATTTTAAAAAAAATATTCAAACGAGCACATAATTTTCTTTCTACAAAGCGTTCGTCCTCTAACAAAATAATGCTCGTGTAAATAACATATCGATGATATGTTTTATTGATCCGTTTTTAACCTCAAACAAAGGCCACACATTCTGCATAGAGAAAATCACTGTGGCTTAATTATTGCAGGCTGATGTATGCCATGCATGCCAAATACTGAAGAAAGGTGGAATGAATGATGAAAATATCATTGTTTTCATGTATGATGATATTGCATTGGCCGAGGATAATCCCAAACCTGGTGTCATCATCAACAAGCCAGACGGCAAGGATGTTTATAAAGGAGTTCCAAAGGTTTATTTGTTCTAATTGATTTCTAATTGAGTAATGCTAACAGGATTTTCTGTTATCTTACAGTTTATTGTTAATTTTTGTGCCAAATTATAAAGCATTGTGTCAAAATTATAAGGAGTGGACAATCTATGAAAAGTGTCATTTTTTGAGAGAGTCCCCTTGGTATTTCTCATTCTAATTACTAGCATAATTATAAGTTTAACCGTAATTCATTTTTTTAATGAAAATATAGAAGAATAAGATGAGATTAGCTCTTTGTCAACAATAGCGCGCAGATTTTAGATGTACTTGATTAGATTTTTTTTTTTCTTTTCATTTTTTCAATCAGGATTATATAAAGGATGATGTGAATGCAGCGAATTGTATGCAGTTATTCTTGGGAACAAAAGTGCCCTCAGTGGAGGTAGTGGCAAGGTTCTGAATAGTGGTCCAAATGATCATGTATTCATATACTATACTGATCATGGTGCTACAGGATTAATTGGTTAGTAACTATTAATATTTTTCTTATTTTCTTGCCGAGGTTCTACGAACAGGTGTGACTTGTGCAATAAAATTTAAGAACCCAATAAAGATTGAAAAACCTAAGTGGAAGTTGCCCCAAATTATGAACCAAAACCTTATTGGGAAACAAAGAAGAAATTCTAGTTCTTGGCACCTTTTTCCCGAAAGAATGGTTGGGGTTTTTCATTTCACTTGGTCTATTTGGATTCTTCCCATTACGTTAATAACTATTTGATTTTTTATTTTTAGTGTTCATTTTTTGTGCTTGACGCAAAATCGAACGCAGTAACGTTTTAGGATTCATACAATCAACCACACTTAGTGGAACAAAATTCGGTTGTTGTTGTTGTTTGTATTTTTTGTGCTTGAGATATAAGAAAAATATATGGTGCAAGAGAAAAATACAGAAGAGCTAATGGATGAATGCCGGGAGGAGATATAAAATTTCGAAAACTAAAAAGGGTATCCCCTAAATTGTTTCAATTTGTTTTCAAGATCGATTTTGTTTTTATTCATTTGTCGTTCTTTCGTTATCTCCCTCAACCACCCTTCATCTCTTATTTCTGCTTTATACTTTCCGTATATGATCTCAAGCACAAAGTAAAAACCAAAACAAAAATGGCACAGCTTTCAATTTGGATTTTATTTGCTAAAAGTTTCTTTGACTTTTTAACTAGTACAAAATTAGTATTTAAATTAAAAAAAGAAAAGGATTTATATTTGATCTCTGTCCAATTAATTATTGCATAACTACAGACGTCTGCATAAAATGTTTCCAGGGATGCCTGTTGGTGATCCTGTTTACGCTAAAGATCTTGTACATGTGTTGGAGAAAAAAAAATGAGGCTAAGAGCAACTCTAGCGTATAAAAGACCCTCAGGCAACTGCCTGTAAAATCCTTTACAGTGAATAGTAATTAACTTTAATGAACAGTAATTACCTTTTGTATTTCCATCCCTAACTAAATAGTCATAACAATAGGTAATAAAATATTAGTATTTTTTATTTTATAAAATAATACAAAATAATTTTATTTGTAATTTCGGATAAGATTTTTAATCGTTCTCGTTGTGACACGTGTCATTATCCGAAAAGACAATTTTTTGTGATAGATTTCGATAAGATTTGTAACCAATCACATCGCGCCATGTGGCACAATAAGATTTTTAACCAATCGTTGAGGATAGAAAAGTAAAATCAATTTTTTTTTTTTGAATTTGTTTATTAATTTTTAACATTTTTTATTAACTTAATTAATTTCTGCCGTTAGATTAACAAAAATTTGAAATCCAAGCCTCCAGATTGTGCCACGTGGCACAGCTGTAATTTTTTTCCTTTTTGTCTTTTTTTTATTAAAGGCAAATAACGTGGACCGTTGATCTGAAATCCAACGGCTGATATTGTGCTATGTCAGCTAGTCGTTTGGGGAAGGTTTGAAATTTTTTTTTACTGTTGGAAATCCAAACTTATGGACCGCTAGCCCCACCGACTGAAAAACTGTCGATGACGCGCCCCCACACGCACGTGCACAACACACGTCTGACGCAAATTTTTTTATAACGTGGCTGACGTCAGCCATGCATCATTTGACCTCAGGCTCTCAGCCCTGCGATTCGAGCCCACCCTATCACTCAGGCCCCCCTCCCTCCCTCAGCCCAAATGCCTGCATGGGCTGGGGCAAGGAGAGGGAGGCAATTGGATGAAATGGTTGCTGGTCCACTGGGCTATCCCCCACGATGGAGTTGCTCTAAAGGTTACAAAAGCATGGTAAGAATTCTTTTTGACTTAATAAATAGTAAGTGAATAGGGTGTTGGGTGTTGGGTTTCTACTAATGTGTCATGGACCGCAACGTAATACTTTCGAACTCCCTCATTCTTCTTAATAATAATAATTTGAAAAGAAAAAAAAATCCTAGTTCATAAGAATTTTCCGCTGCCTCACTAAATCTAAATTACCACTTCAAAATTAAGGCATTTATTAATTTATTTATAAAAATTATATATATGATCAGGTAATTTACCTGGAAGCTTGTAGCTCTGGGAGTATGTTTGAGGGTCTCCTTCCAAACAGCATAAATATTTACGCTACGACTGCAGCAAATGCAGAAGAGAGTAGTTACGCAACTTACTGCCCTGGCCAAGTTCATGTTCCTCCAGAATATCACACCTGGTTGGGAGACTTGTACAGTATATCCTGGATGGAGGATTGGTATGCATGCAATATATATAACATATTTTAATGCAACAAAATACTTTGATTTATCAGTATTTAAACAAGTTTAAATCCAATCCAAGGCTGATACTAATTACTTTGCTCTTGCGTTGGACTTTTGGTATTTACATTCACAGCAGCGATGCAGAAGATTTGCAGACAGAAACTTTGGCCAAGCAATATGAACTGGTAAAATCATGAAATTTGTCTTTTCAAATTTAGGGGCTTATTGATCCCTGTCCCATTTAAAATCGTGAATTTTTTTTAGTCTTAAATCTAATTATCTTTTTAAATTAAAATGTAGTATTAATCTGCAACTTCCTCTTTTCTTACTGTAAATTATGATTTTATTTAAATGTCTAAACAAGATCTGTAGTCTTGCAATATAAGAAATTTTCTTGCCATATAAAGTAAATGTATGATAATCATGTCAACGAAATTACAGGTTCGAAAAAGAACAAATGCATCTCATGTTATGGAGTATGGAGATATGAGTCATAGGCAGGATGTCCTCTCTACTTACATGGCTAGAGCTCCTGCAGCAAACCCTAGCTATACTTCACTTCCATCAAAGACACCTCCGCATCGAGCTCAAGGGTTGTTAACCAACTCGACGCTGACCTCATTTACTTCCTGCTCAAGGTTTAAACTCTTAGTTTATCCTCTCTACCCTCAAATGTTCTTTATTTGCATTATAACGTTGATACATGGTTCAGATTTGTAGTCTGACAACATATGAGAAATTTCGTCATACACTTTGATAATTTAATTCTATGAGCTCGAGATGTTCGTCTTAAATCTATGAACCATGTCCCTTTAATCTTCAGTTCCATGGAGCTCCAACTGGTTCTCAGAAGAAGCTGGAAGCTCAGAAGCAGCTGCTGGATGAAATTTCTCAAAGGGAGCATGCGGACTACAGCGTAAAGAAAATTGGCGAGCTTTTGTTTGGGAATGAGATGGCCTCAGAGCTGTTGATGAATGTCAGGCCTCCGGGGCAACCGTTGGTAGATGATTGGGACTGCTTTAAGACGCTTGTAAGTTCTTCCGCTAACTACAAACATAACGTTACAGACTAAGCCAATTAGCCAGGGCAATGAATCCGACGCCTGACACCTGAGTTCAAATCCCACCACGGAAGATTATTGTAGTTTAGACATTAGAGTATCGCTCCCCTTTAGAAAATTATTGTGCTAATTGTGTATTTAGTTCTTTTAATTAAACTAATAAATTGGATGTTAATCGATGTTGGAATTTTATTTTATTTTTGTATGTAGTTGGGAACTTATGAGAGGCGTTGTGGAGGTTTATCAAGATATGGAAGGAATAACACAAGGGCAATTGCCAACATATGCAATGCTGGGACCAGCATGGAGAAAATGGATGCAGCCTAACATGAAGCTTGTTCTAAGAAACCCCATCTCTAGTTTTAATTTGTTTCTGATTGAACTAAGTAATTAAATAGATAATCATGCATATGTGACACCTGTCATGCATCTTCTTCTTAAGTTGGTTGAATACCATCGTATTGGCAAAACAAATTTCAATGCAAATAGACCGTCAAAATTGACATGAATGGTTGGTCTAGTTGTATTCAGTCTCTATTTTATTAGACATCTGGAACAAAAACGTCAAATAGAAGCTTTCTTTCTATGTTACATGGGGAATTGAGGGCTCAAACTATGGTGGTAGCTCATATATAATCTTGAGCTGATGCGAAGGGAATTTAGATTGTTTGTGAGGTTTTAAGGCGCCAACAACTAAAAATCTACACTTTCATTCTCTAAAAGCGATTTTAAACGCACTTCTAAATTGAAAATAAACAATTAATTAGTTCACTCAGATATATAGAATTAAAAGAAGAAGAAAAAAAATTGATTTTAGATGATTTATTTACGACAAATTATCGTGCTCAATAACTTGAGCTCCTCTCCATTCCTCAGCAGGGTTAATAACCACAGGAACGAGCAATGAAGCTGGTCCAGTGCATATAAAGTACTCCTTACTGCCATATTTCTCATAGAAAGAACCAGGACTTGACAAATATATATCCTCAAATCCCATGCGTATCACCCTGTAGAACAAATCACGCCCCTGAAATATTCACAAACCAATAAAACAAAATGAGTTTGTCTATATACATATATGAACATGTACAACATTTCATAGGATTGCTAGTTTTCCCGCCCGACCGTGAATCAGAACCCTTGATTAAGGTAAGTGGCACGGCCCTGATTCACAGTCGGGAAATCCGGTCAGAAGCTGCCAAACAATATCAAGTGGCTTTACGTCCGGCCGAGCCAAGTTTCCATCCTTTATGTTTTTGTCGATTTTTTGTTGCTTAGATTGAACAACACATCAAACTCTCGGTCATGAGATTTGAGCTCAGAAAATGAAGGTATATAACTGCCACTAGACTAAATGTGTTTTTTTCCATTAAAAAACACATGAAACTCTCATCCGTCAATACGTGCTCCAACAAAGTGAAGATTAAATATCACTAAACTATACGCGCATAAGCTATGTTTATGTTTTTCAGGACTTAAATGTAAAAATAGTAGATAATGAATGTGTTACCTGATCCAGTGTTTCATATTTTGAAGGTGGGGTGTTATAAACGGGCTTCAATCTCTCTTGAGGAGGCGCAGCATAGACTCTGCTGAGCTTGTTTTTCAAAATGGTGTACGGCACATCCTGCCGGCTCCAGGAACCTGGTTTTTCTCGAGCCTCAGAACCGAAAGAGAACCACCCTGGAGTGTCAGCTTTCATTGCTTCCCCGGGAGACATAATTTCGAAAGGAGAAGACGGGGGAGGGTGCGCAGTGTAGCCACATCCCTTGAGACCTTGGATTGCTGCTCCGCCTCGTCGTTTAAATTTGAAGTGGCTTAGTATAGCATTCGTCATAGTCACCGGCTTCCGGCCTTTGTTTTTCACAATCACAGCCGTTGCCATGCTTACTGGATAGAGTGTCACAACATATGTTATATCAAGTGTTCCACTAGTGCTGCTTAGCTCAACCTGCAACAAATTAAGTTCCGAACCCAATGGGAAAATAAGGAAACAATACATTCATCCGAAAATTTTACTATGTGCCAGTGTATCCTGGAGTTTTTGTTTGTAATTGCAATCGAAAAATTACCTGGAGAGCATCGATGGCATCGGAATCAACATCTTTAACTGTCCATTCGGAAGCGGAAAGAAGTGAGCCTTTAGCGCCTGCTTCCGATGCATCATTCAAAACCAAACCAATTCCCCCCTTGGCTTTGGTAGAATCCGTTTCATTGCCTGGAATGGTGTACAGAACCTCCTGAAAGCCGTCGTCTTTCCAGTACACCTTTGGCTTGTATGAAGTCACATGGGCATTGGGTATTTGAAGCTTTAATGAACTTCCATTTCTGACTGTGAGCTCAACAATTGGGACGCTGTCCGACTCAGAAAACTTGATGCCTTTTCTGCCAAATTTGTCACTGAGGGTCTCTGGAACCGAAATTGCCGGTGCAGAAGCAGCTGTTGAAGAAGCTCTTATCATCTTTGAAGTGGGAACAGAGAAGGAAAGAAGAGAAGCCATGGGAGTAAGAGAGAGAATGAAGAAGCTTTTGACAGCTTCCACTCACTCTAGTCACTGGTTTGTTAGGAGGCTCATCCTTTTTGCTCAAACTGTTTTGTTTGGATGTATATTTTGGACACTACCACTTTTTCTCTTGGCTCAGCCTATCTGTTCAAAGTTCCACATAAATGTTTCTTTGCAAACCTTAAGCATAATCCTAAGGGATTGGTTTAGTGGAAAGCGAGTAAAGGTTTGAAATGCCAAATTTGAGTTCAAACTCCCATGAATGTATTTCTTAGGGCCACTGGCTTTGCTTTGGCTTACATTGTGCCCTCATGTAGTATCCAGGCTACATAAGAAGAGGATTAATACATCATCAATGTATGGTACGATATCTTCTATGTTCAAAAAAGAAACTCAGTGGTTTCAAGTTTTGGCAATACAGCATTTATCTAACTGACAAATCTGACAGCTTACGGGCTTGTTTGAAAGTGCTTTTAAAATGACTAAAAACACTTTTGTTGAAAATGTTTTTGTTGAAAATGTTTTTACAATGAACCCTTGGTAAAAAAGCCAATAAATCCTTATATAAAAAAAATAAAATAAAAACACACACACACACACTTGGAAGTGCTTTCTAAAGCACTTCAACTGCTTTAGGAGCCCAAAAGGAATTCTCTAAATGCACCCTCATTCATTTCAAGAGCAATTCGAAACGAAGCTATAACTTAAATTATATAGCACTTATCCCCTCTAGCGACTGAGAATTCCCGAGAAAGACTTGAAGTCGACTCACCATCCCCAACTCGAATTACAAACATTCAGCATCTACAGCAAAGATTGTACAATCTCAGACTATATTCGTGGCATTCATCACTAATGCTTGAAAAAGATTCAAGAGCTAAATACAACAGAGAACAAAATTCATTCAAGCTTTTCACTAAACATGGCTCAAGCACCAAATCGTCTTTCCTATTCAAAATCCGTACACCCCAACATCGGGAAAACAACGCGTCTACTGTAACATAAAAGTGGCATTTACAAAGTGTGATCAGCGATAAGTTTCTTTTCCTCTAAAAAAAACTGTTTCTAAAATGTGCTTTTCATATCTTAATGAAACAAAATGTCGCACGAAAATTAGTCTTCGTCCATCCCGGCAGGCTGATCTCTCCGACTTGGGCCACCTGCTGGTTTTGCCATTATGATCTGCAACACAGTCGAAGGCATTGTCAATAAACACTTCTTATTGAATATTAGAAACATCTCAGTCGTGAAATTAGATAAACAACTTTCGACACTGGACTAGACATCAAGATAGCTTTTATGCACTTTGTGATCCTGTTTTCGTCGTTTAATTTTCTATTAGTAGGTAATCATCAAGAGCCAATCAACCAAACCTTTTTAATTTTCTATTAGTAGGTAATCATCAAGAGCCAATCAACCAAACCTTTGAAAAACGACCCCCAACTTATACACTCAGCTGTGATAAGATGGGTAACAATACCAGATGCTCTATTAGAAAATACATTTGGAAGCTGAAAATTTACTCTCACATATTTAGGTAACCAGAAAACCCGACAGCCAAGCATATAGAATTCCTATTTCCTATCAAGCCTTCTGCACTGACGCCAAATTTACTAAAAAAGTAAAACAGTGCACAAAACTATCCTTCTTCTTTTCTGTTGTGGAAAAGAAAAAACTAACATTTGTGGTTCTTTATCGTTATAATGGAACTTTGCTTTGTGTGGGTACACATGAATATATGCGTGTGTACTAAGTTAGAAAGTAGCTCAAAGATGAAATGAGAGAAACATTTCATAAAACAAAAAGATAAATAGACAATTAATCCATAGTGCCTCGACCAATTTCTAACTAACTAGCATTTTTCTACTTTCGCCTCAAAAGATGCAACCGGAGATTTATAAAAGAAGTGCATACCAAGTTTGGGTACTCCAAAACTAAGAAACTTATTGGCAAATATAAGATATATTACCTGATCTACTCGTAGAACAGTGCAGGCAGCATCTGCAGCATACTTAAGAGCAAAGAACCTGAAACAAACAGCCCAACAAAGAAGATTGTTACCTATAAGACATGATAAGACTTTCCTGACCAACCAAAACACATTGATTCCCATAAATTAAGGAAAAAGAACAGTCTACAATTACTAAAATATCCAATATGTATGAATTCAAGATCTTTTCAAGTTACTACTCACTTATCCAAATGAAACCTTATTTGTCCCAAAATACTACAAATCCTTTCACGCAGCTGTAGCTCATATTGACTAATGTGAACCATCCACAAGTATCTTTAAAACAAATAAATGAAAAATGTTGCATTGTCGTTTCATTATAACTCAATGACTAGGTCATGTGGTGAATAAAGGATTTCAGCATAAAGATGTAGTTGTTAGACCACAAAACTTAAAACTTCTTTTGCAAACAAATTTCAGACCAAAATTTAATGTGCAAAACTTAATCTTCAGAACAATATTGCGTCAAACATCACAGCTGTAACAGCATACAACGTATTGAGAACTCTCACACAAAAGCATGGATTGTTACAAGACATCTAACAGCTTACTTGGTTATGTGGAGGTCCCAAACATTAAGAGTTGACACATCTTTGCAACAGCCTCCCTCCAAGTCAAGGCCAACTTTGGTATTTCCTGATGCATGTTCAGCATATAGAGAAGATATGATCTCCATTGCATTAAGCCCAGCATTTTCAGCCAGTGTTTTAGGTACCATCTCAAAGCTTTCAGCAAATTTTGCTATAGCATACTGATCCAATCTGCAAAACCATTGTTTTAGTACGTTATTTCACTCATGCCCAATCGAGGCCAACAACAGGCATGTTACATATAAAAAATCACTGAAACATAAATAAAATACAAAAGGCAGAGACTATTTACCCTGTTTCTGTAAAAGAGAATTCCTTTACTCTCCTAGCTAACTCAATTTCAGTAGCTGCAGCTCCAGGAACAATACGGCTATCCTTGCACATTGCCTGAAAATGAAATGCATTATGATAGAAAGATTCCAATGGCTTGGACACCTGCTTAAACAATTTTCTTAAAAGTTCCTGAGAACCATACACTAGTAATGATGCAGAGGTAATACAAAACCATCCCAAGAAGAACATATGAATCTGAAGGTTTCTCGTAAATTACCTTATACGTGTTCACTCCATCATCAACTGCTCTTTCAAGGTCATCCAATATACTGTCAGTACTCCCTCGTAGAAGCACAGTGGATACAGAGTTACCCCCTTCTTCATTCTTCACAACAGTGACCTGCATGATAAATCAATGGGTTAAAAAGAAATAAGGAAGAACAAATCAGGCCAGAGAAAAAAAAAAAAAAATTATAAACCAAATTCTATGCCCAGTGTTGTTATCTCAGTCATTTGGTGTGAATCAGAGCAAGGCCGAAGAACAGGCTCTGCTGTACGGTTTAGCAAGACATGCTTCTGCCATGACAATGAAACGGCGCAAGGTACAAACGATGCTGCAGTGACAGCAAGAATGCCACAAACTACCTGTATCTTTTCCTATGCTTTTTGTTTATCTTTGAATACTTGAGCAGCTTTCTTCTGAGAGAGTTTGAACCTTCTCAATTGGTTGTTTGCACAGTTATATACAATTGATATACTGAGGTTAGTTTGGGACTGTATTTTATAGGACAAAGTGAATGTTATTTGTTCTGGGAAGTTTATACTTGTAATTAATTCTTTTAATTATTTATATTTCTTCCAATTAAAGTAACATGTCTTAACCTCACCTCAACACCCACCCCCATGAAAATACTGATGTTCATGGAAACAACTTTCAACATACCCTAACACCAGCAATTTCCTCGACCGAGACAGAGTCAACATATCCCAAATCATCTGGGTTAGGCTGGCTGAGCTTCAACTGTTGCAAAAATACAAAGTGTATTAAGAAGCATTCGATAAGGTACTCATAAGTTATATGACCAAAAACAGGTTTTCTCATAAGATATCAAATTCTTCTAAAATTACCATGGCAACAGCACCAGTTGTACGGCAAAAGCGTCTCAACTCAAACTTTGAACTGATTTTTAACACCATGAGCCTGGAACCAAGAACTAGAAAGTCAAAACACAAAAGGAGCTCAAGGATATCTAAAGAGATCTAAAAGTACACATGTTGAAGTGTTTATCTGATTCTGCAGTTCTAAGTAAAACAGTTAATGTAGCATGAATGCTACAAGGTCCGAAAAAGTTAAAAATAACAAGAAGTTAACACTTACTTGTACCGCTCACAAAAATGTAGTGCCATCTCTCCAACTGCTGCTCCGCTGACAATTACTTTAGCACCGGAATCTGCAACTGCTTTGATGAGCTCCTCAATTTTAGCTTCTTCTGTTTTTGCATAATTTTCTAGCTACATGATGACCAAGAAAACAGTTGCTAGTTAATGACATATCAACCACGTTAAACTAAACTTTGCAAATAATGGAAACATATAGGCAAAACAGTAATACACAGAGACTATAGAAACAGACATTTTATATTGCTAATACCAAAGAGAGAAAGACAAGGTCAGAACGATTTAAAATAAAATCTGTTAAACTAATCATGCAAATACCAAATAATTCAGTCATCACCCGATTCAAACATATTTACCATGTCTCAATTTCCTGAGACTAAAAATAAAGAAGGAATATAATCAAAAGTGGTTGCATGGATCTGTAAGGGACAATGAGTTTACAGTAGTCTGCATACACACTAGATTTCAGTAGAGTCATGAGGCTTAATTGTATTTGTACATGAGGTTAGTCTTGTCATTAGAGTTCAAGAACCCATGTCAACCTAACACTGTTTAAATATGAAAACCTAAACTACTATATGTTTATATTAGTATACACATACACGAGACTGCTTCTTAAACAGGATCTCACAGTTCAAGTGGAAATGTCCAAACAATGCAGCAAAATATTCAAATCCCACACTTCAAGGCCCCAAACACAGAGCTAAATTCTAAATCCCTAATCCTAAAACCCAACATTACACCCTAGAATAACAAATTATCTCATTACATGGAAAGGATGATAAAGAAACCCAAAGAGAGCGTAGTTCAAAAGGGTTGGAATCCCACAATGTGAGACCCCGTCAGAGGAACTATTAAGATGTATTATATATGACACAATTCTAGACACAGGGAAATTGTACCAAATCATCAATGACATGTAGATATACATGTCGCTACGAATTGGTTATGAGATGCACGGTATATTGTCCTCGCAACACCCACAGGAACCAATAATTTGTGTCTTTATAAAAACTTATCAACATAAAAGACTTCTCTCACTAATAAAGGACTTCTATTTACAACACAAAAGATTTCTCTCACTAATCCGCTTCAACACAAAGAGCACCTTCCTCTTCGTCAATTACCTGGTCAGCGGTATGAATTAGGACGGTTCCTTTGGTCTCAGTTGCAGAGGTATCAACACAACCAGCAAACACAGCAACCTGAAAAGGTAAAATAGAATATACAAGCTGAGATACCTGAACCTTGCAAGCATATATTTAGAGCACATAAAAAAGTCAAAGGATTTTTTTAATAAGAACTGGATCACACAACGAACAACAGGCATGAACAATCATAAAGAATTATGAACTACAACAGAAGAAAGTTTAAAAAATAAATGGCACCAAAACTATATAAATTTAATTACTATTATTCATATCAACAATTCACAAAACACAAACATAGAACAAATTTAGCTCCAAACCCTTTTTGGTTCAATAATTTAACACTATAAACGAAAGACTGAAGCACACTCATATTAGGTATATGTACTATCCAAAAAGCAAAAAAAAAAAAAATATATATATATATATATATATATGTCTGAATATCAATTACCCTTACATAGAACAAAAACAACAAATAAAATGGTCAAATATATACAGAATGTAAAGCATTGGACTTTATTGGGTTATCAGTTGTTCTCCAAAGTCTTTAGAGTTTACTAAACTAAACAAGCCGTCACAGTTAAAAAAAGTAAAATACTACATTATTATGTGAATTGCAGTTAACCAGGTCACTATTTTCCTGCTTCCAAAGGTTTGAAGTGTGACAAATAGGGGACATTGTAAGTCCAAAACAGACCAACACCTACCCTATTCTCACTGGTATTTCTTTGATCAAACATCATCAGACCAACACAGACCAAAGGTTTATTTTAATCCTTCAACAAATCTACCATTTCCAGTGATTTTTTTCTGAAATATCATTGAATTAAACTGTCTCTGACAAACAAAAAGCAAATCAATTTACGCATCTGACATTGGCAAATATCAACCAGCTTAATGTCATTTAATGGTGGCGAAAAAGTATGATAAATGATAATCATGCTAACTTTCCTGTTACAATCATTGAATTTTCCCTTCCCTACACCCAGCATTCCATGCTGGAAGTTCAAATAAAGTGCACCTCTGCCCATCATTTACAAGTTGCTTCAAATTTTAAATGAGATTCTCAGTATAATGTCCCTACAGTTCCAGAGAAACCAATAATTTGTGCCTTTATATCAAAGTCCAAAGGTGAAGAATAGTGAAAACTCCATAAGTGGCGCTAAAAGGACAACTCAAAGTAATTAGCAATGAGTAATCTGTCCAAGTTTTTAATAGACCATGTGGAAACAAAACACGTAATTTCAAGGGTATAGCATGTACATTTTATGCAAACTGTTCAAAAGTACATATACATAAAGGACTGCTAACCTTGGCCTTATCCATTCGCTTTATACTCCCCAGAGCATCAGTTTTCAACACCATACCTCGAACTACTGTACAATTATGCAAACCCCCTCCCACAATCTTTGCAACACGTACATTATCCACATTGAAGTTTACCGGGTTCTTCGGGCACACTTGTATACATGCCTATATCATCCAATATTAGAAATTGCTAGCAAACAGTAATATACTATTCTTCTTTCCTTGGCTTCAAAGTAACTTAGTAGCTGAAGTAGAAACTAAGTAATAACACATAAGGGGATAAAATTAAATACTTACATCGGCAACAAGCGAGGATAAGATATCTTCTTGCCCGAATTGCTTGCTGGCAATAGCAGCTTTCATTCTACAAACCACTTGTTCTTTGTTGCGCACATCCATGTTCTCAGAACCTTCCTCAACCAGTCCATCTAAGATTTCAATTGTCTGAAACATTCAAAAAACGGAACAAAACTCAGAACACAAGAATTCCAATGATCTCCGTTCGACGAAAGAAAAAAAAAAAAAAAAAATCAGTCATAAAACGGAGTTGACAAACCTTTTTGATGGCTTTGTTGTATCCACTAATGATCTCGCTCGGGTGCAGGCCCATCCTGATAAGCTCCTCTGCGTTTTGAAGGAGCTCCCCGGCAAAAGAAATGGTGAGATTAGCGCCATCGCCGATTTCTTCCTGCTGAGCCCTGCCTGCCAAAACCAATATCTTGGCAGCAGGATGCTGAACCTCCAGTTCATTGACAATGGTGGCGGCATCATTGGTCACAAATAGCTTGTCCAAATGATTGATTACCATCTTGTTCATACCTGATCAGTGAAAAAGCAGACAAATAATTCAAAAAAAAAAAAAATTAAAAATCTACTTGCAAAAGTATGCATCTGATAAACCAAAAGGTCGTGTGATTTGTAGTGCGTAGAGTAAGAGAGGACATACCATTGGGACCGAGAGAAGTTCTGGTGATGGTGGAGAGTTGCTTGCAGGCATCGATGTTCTTCAGCACCGCCTCGTCCAAACCGGAGAGATGCTTGTGGCCCTCCTTCAGCATCGATTGTATTCCGTAGGGCTGCATTCCGAACACCTTCTTCTTCTTCTTCTTCTTCTTCTGCTACTCCTGTATTTTTCTTTGCAACTGCAACCCTAGAAAAGTAGCAATGGCCGCTTAAACCTTGCTCCCTCAAACTGAAGCTTTTTCTCGTTCAATCCAGACGCTTCTAGTTCTAGCGGGCTTTTCTTCTCCATTAAAAGAGACAAAACCATAACTACTGACCAGTAAGTACTCTATTTTTACTGACGGCTTACGTGGCCCAATAGGCGTATTAAATAAAAGATTCTCCCATGAAGTAGAAAGAGACAAAAACATAACTACTGTTAGTGTTTTTTCAGAATTTTAATTTTAGTCCATTACCTCTTTTAACTTTTATAAATAGTCAATTTTCCTCGTTGCATTAGATCTAAAATTTTACATCCAATTTTTCATTCTTTTAGCCTCATACAGTTGTCATGTGTTGTATGCGTGATCAAAATAGACAATAAATTTGATGAAAATTTTTAAAATTTAGTATCATGAGAAAAATCGGTTATTTATAAAAGTTCAGAGAGTAATTGAGAGAATTAAAGTTTTAAAAGGAAATATGCTAATTATAAAAATTTAAACAATAATAAACTAAAATTAAAATTCAAGAAGAAAATTGACGTCACATACAAATTTTAGAGGCAAATCGACAAATATGCTAAGTACGAATGAGTGATTCATGTGACAATATTCTCCACGGGCGGGCCAGTGCGAAGCTACCGAAGCCCTAGAAAGGGATCCTCTTCGGATCCCTTTCTCCTAATCCACCAAATGAAGGGATTCGTACCGTTGAAATTTGATTCGACGGTTGAAGTTATTATAACTTTTAAAGTGTATCTCTATTTGCAGCCGTTTGATCAAATTTTAACGGCACGAATCCCCTGATTTGATGGATTAGAGGAAGGGATTCAGAGATGATCCCTTTCCAAAACATAAAAGCAAAACTGTAATTTTGAAAGTCTAAGAGGGGTAATTCTGTCTCCTAAAACCCTAGCTCCGCATAAGCTGGACCTCTTGTCATATTTGGGCTCTTGACCCTCTCTCACTCTTCATACCAGACAGCTCCTGCGGCTGCCACCCACCAATCCCGAATGGTCTCTCTCTCTCTCTGTCTTCGGTTTCAATGTTTAATTTCTGCATTTGGGTGTTGGTTAATCAAGTTTGGTAATGGTTGTGATTTGGATTTTGTGGTGTGTGAGAAATGCAGGCTGAAGAGAAGAAGTTGGCGAACCCCATGAGGGAGATCAAGGTCCAGAAGCTGGTCCTCAACATCTCCGTCGGTGAGAGCGGAGATAGACTCACGAGAGCCGCCAAGGTACTCCCCATTGCTATCCTCACCACCCATCTCACACAAATTCTGTAATGCCATCTTCTAGTAGAGCCTGTAGAGGAATTTATGTTTTCTGTTTGATTTAATTGTTTTTTTTTTTTGAAGGTTTTGGAGCAACTCAGTGGCCAAACACCCGTTTTCTCCAAAGGTAATAAATTTTTTTACCCGTTTGGATTTTTATTGGTGACTTAGAGTACTTGGCTCTGGCGGAAGGAAGACGTGACACAAAATCGAGCGCAATGGCGTTCTAGGATTCGTATAGCTGACCCCACTTAGTGGGAAAAGGCTTTGTTGTTGTTATTTGGATTTTTATTGGCAATTCATTTTTTCCATTATTTCATCTGTCTGCTGCTACAAATTAGTTTGCTTTTTCATGGGTTCTGGGATTTGGGGGGTTCTCATTGGAAATGAAATCAAAATCTTGGATTTATGTTTCACTATGTTGACTACTTCTTTTGTTATTTGTTTTCGGAATCGTAAATTGACTATGAGTTTGAGTGCATTAAGAGTTTTCTGATTTTATCTGTATCGTGGGGCGGTTTTTGCGTATGATCTTTTCCTTTGTGTTTCATCAATTTGCCTATATTTTACCTTCATATTGTTTCAACGGTTGAGGAATTTTGTCTATAATGCTCCAAGAGCCCAAAAGTTGAATTGAGTGTGGACTTTGTTCTGTTTTCGTGCTTTTAGCCCTTCTAGTTAGATATGTTTAAGGTCTTGGCTAATGACTTAGTTGTTAAGGAGTCTAGCAGATTGACGTTGAGTCTAGCGGATTGACGTTGTTAACTCTGGTTAAATTTTCTAGTAAAAAAGGTTTTTGCTGATAGACCAGCCTCTTCTGTATTTTGCTTTGTGGAACTAGGTAGTGTGAATGTATGAATTTTTGGAATTTTCCTTTTATTGGATGGTAATTTTTCATTTGGTTTATGAGTATTTGTTGTACATGTTTTCATCTGTTCTATACCGTGTATTTGTGTGATTTTCTCATTTTCAATGTATAGCAAGGTACACTGTCCGATCCTTTGGTATCAGGCGTAATGAGAAGATTGCCTGTTACGTCACCGTGAGGGGTGACAAGGCAATGCAACTTTTGGAGAGTGGATTGAAGGTCAAGGAATATGAGTTGCTACGAAGGAACTTTAGTGACACTGGTTGTTTTGGATTTGGCATCCAGGAGCACATTGATTTGGGAATCAAGTAAGCTGCTTTATTTTCTAGAATAAATGGATTCGTGATTTTGCAGGAGACCGAAATAGCTGAATTTTGTAGATGACATGTAATTTCCGTCTGCTATGTACAGGCGTTTTGCATGCATAGTAGTGTATTTGCTAGTTAGGATTGTCCTATAACTTTACAGTGACTCTTAGGAAGCAGTTCTTAGTTTGTTTCGTATTCCGCCCTGGAAGTGGTTATAGAAACTTTGCGTCAATTTGATTGTTGTTTGGACTCTTTTGTTGCTTTTCCTGTCTTATGTATCTGATGTTCTTACTCAATGCATTGTTTATTTATTATCTTTCTTTCAGGTACGATCCTTCTACTGGTATCTATGGAATGGATTTCTACGTTGTTTTGGAGCGTCCAGGTTATCGTGTGGGTCGTCGTCGCAGGTGCAAGTCTCGCGTGGGGATCCGGCACAGGGTCACAAAGGATGATGCCATGAAATGGTTCCAGGTCAAGTATGAGGGTGTGATTCTTAATAAGTCGCAGCAGCTCACAGCTTAGGCCCCAACTTTTGTCGAATTAGTTTGTTCAGTCTCTATGACCAGCCTCTCGTAAATTTCAGTTTTGTCAAAGCTTGAGTTAAGGTTTGGAACAGAATATGTTAATTTGTTTTTCGAATGATACGCTTCTGGATATACCTCTAAAAATTTTGAAGTTACTATATACCATTAGATCTTGAGTTGCCTAGAATTTCGGTTTCTTTGCTGCACGCTTGTCGTAAGCTTCTTGTTTGTGTCGAAACAAGTGTATTGATCCGCTTGAAAATATGTTCGATTTAAAAGAGTCAAGTACAAATTTACTTCTCAACTTCAGGTAATGAAACAAACGGAACAAAGGATGTAAAGCAGACAACAGCGACTGCATTTGATTGCCAACATTTCTTGAAACTACAAAGGATGTAAGGGACGCAAAAGCGACCTGCATTTGATTGCCTAACATTTCTCCAAACTCGTTTATAGGACGACAGGGAGCATATGTGTTCATGGAATGATAAGCTTCTTGCCAGCATAGATCGTATCTCCGGTAAGACCGTTCGCCTCTTTGATCGCATCAATGGATACCTAATATGAGACGTGCACGAAAAGATAATGTATACATCAATTGAAAAGCAAACCAAGATTACCAAAATAAATATAACAAGTCATACTGCTGCGATTCAATTGAAGTAGACCTTGTGCAACGAGCAACGAGATATGCAGATTGTCTTAACCTTCAATCGTTTCTCGAGTGGAAGCACTCAAGTGTTATATGTTGCTCTAGTAACCAACATTCAATCCGTTGATCAAATGTTATATGTTGCTCTAGTAACCAAGTAACATTCAAATCCCTTGAGTCGGTTAGTTGGATCAAGTATGTTTAATCACAAACGAGCCACTTCTTTGCAAGTGACAAATTTCAAGGTTTTCAAAACATGGCCTAGAATTTCCCAAACATTCAAGACAAAAGAGCAGGAACTTTACTTTCAAAGTGGGTCGAAAATTTCACAGCTGTTTTCTTTTTCCAGGGGTTGCGTCTTGTTTGTATGATTATTGTTCGAAAAACAGATTCACAATGTGCAAGTTAAAGGTGTTTTCAACATCTCTTCAACATATATCTCCCAAAGCATATGGATATGGTTTAAAATCATAAACTTAGCAGGCCGCAATTCGACGCCCAAAGAACTACTTCATGGATGCCAATTCTCCAAGAAAAAAGTAAACACATGTGCAATACAAAGACAGTTAAAATAGTTGAAAAGCTTACCCCATGTTCTCTGGAGAGTCCCCAAAGAGTGTCTCCTTTCTCGATCTCTATCGTTCTATGCGATGACTTCGGCGTCTCCTGTACATTTTGGTCCTTGCTGGTAATGGATTTCTGCAATAACATCCACAAATCAAATCAATGTCGATTTTTCAGTGTGCTGAACACAGCCCGATAAAACGATAAAATACACTGAAAATTTTCTCCAAAACTAAATCAGAATATAAGTAAAGGGTTTTTTTCTCTTTCTAAAATGTACACATGATTTGATCACTCAAATAACAATAAAAATTCAAAAATTCACAAACAAGTCGAAACAAACAAGGAAATGGGCGACCCCAAATCGTCTAATCAAAACTTGCAGGTACCGGAGGTGGAGGGTGTGGTTCCTTGACAGTGATGGGTTGCTGTTGCTGGGAAGGGATGGGCGGCTGCGAAGGAGGCTGAATGGCCTGAGTTGACTCGGAGAGTGGAGGAGTTTCTTCATTTCCGCTTTTGTTAAAAGGGTTTAGAGCTTTGAGAATGCTCATAGCGATGCCGGAGAACACCACTAAGCCGGCAGTCTTGGCGATGGAGTCGTCCTTAGGATCGCCATCGCCAGCGGCGGAGCTTCGGTCGGACATTGATGGTTGGTTCAGGGGGAAGGGAAGGCGAGGAGAAGAGCTTGAGACTTTAAGTTGGAATTTTGAGGGTTTTCAGGGAGATCTCCTGCTTTCGCATTTAGACCAAATTACCCACTTATTCACAATCCAACCCCCCCCCACCCCCCCCCCCCCCCCCCCCCGGCCGCGGCGGGCGCTTCTCTCTCTCTCCAACAAAACAACCCGCGCGGGGGCCACCGCCAAAAACCCAACCCAAGCCCAATCTTTAGGCTAAAAGCTGAATGCCAAATCAAGGCCGAATAACCCCAAGATTTAGCCCACAAACTCGTGGACTCACCCAAAATTAGCCCAGTCTCGGCTCGTTCACTCTTCCACTCGCCTCATGCGGGCCGTTTGCCCGATAGGGAGGGCCCTATCAGGGCAGCTGTCGGCCACAAACCAGAGCCTAAAGGCTTTTTTCTGCATCCTACGGCTGGCATTTTTGGACCGGTTGATCCAACGGTTCAGATTCAAATTATGTTTTTTTTTTAAATGTTATTTTAAAATGCATTGAATCCAACAGCTGAGATTGAATATAATCAAATCTAATAGAAAAAAAAAAAAAAAAAAATCTAACGGCCCAAATTTAAATCCAACGGCTAAAATAATTAAAAATATATATTTAACTCAAAATTCACCCAAAAACTCTGTACATACCTATGTATTTGTTCAAACATCCACACAAAACTCAATTTTCTCCCACAATTCTTCCTTTCTTTCTACCATTTCGAAATTGTTTAACATGGCAAGAGAGCATATTACAGGTGGAAATTTAACCTGTGAGGAAGATGTTGTTTTATGCTTGGCATGAGTTTCTGTTAGCGAAGATAGTCCAGTTGGCACAAATGAACGCCCCATGACAGAACATGATAACTAGATTCGGCATGGTGCTCATATTGCATAAGCAAGTTTGCAAGTTCAGCTTCTGCGTTGATCATTTATGCATCCTCAATGTCAAGGCTTGTTTGGTCTTGTGTCATCTGCATTGCCCTGCTACGCCTTCTTCTATCACCTATTGATGAGATATTGAGGATTTTTAGGAAACAAAAACACTTTGAAAGTTGAAAGATTGGTGAATATAAAGGATGATTGAAGGTTGAAAAAAATTGTGTGATCAACTGATAGTCAACCTGTGTTTATGTAGATGATGATTGATGAAAGTTAAAAGATTGGTGAAAGTTGAAAATTGGGGAAAGTTGAAGGCTTGCTTTGTGAAAAGATTTAGTGATTTTTCAATATTTTTCGGAATTTAAATATTTTTAGATTAAAATGTTCATAAAATTAATTTACGATAATCTACATAATTTTTTTTTAAGTTAATTTAAGAAGAAAAAAAATTAGCCTAAGTTCATTCTTTAATAATCCCGGACTAAAATTTTAGGCCAGAAGGGTTGGAGCAGAAAAGCTGTTTTTAGGCTAAAAACTAAATTTTGCGAGCTAAAAAATTTGGCTTTTAGCTCAAAGGTTGGAGATGGTCTTAAGGACCATTTTTTTATCTTACAAATAAGTACCGATTTTTCTTTAAAAAAAGAGTACTGATTTATACATGTCTATATATTTTGGGAACTATTATTAACACTCCTAAAATTTGATTTTACACTCCTCAAAAGTGTACAAGTGTATTTTTATTTCTAATTATAAAAAGTTTGGAATGCAAAACAAAATTTTTAAAGTGCCAATAACTATTCCCTATATTTTAATTTAGTATAATTATATTAGAGTATTTTCACCGACAAATACAAATTTGAGACATAAAAATCACATTTATATTTCTCATTTACTAGCGGAACTCACAAATGAACGTCCCGTGACAGAACCACGATAGCTAGATTTGGCATGATGCGCATATTGCATAAGCTAGTTTGCAAATTCGGCTTCTTCGTTGTTCATTTTTGCATCCGCAGTTGCAAGGCTTGCTTGGTATTGTGCCATCTGCATTGTCAAGCTACACCTTCTTCTATCACTCATTGATGAGATAATAATGATTTTGAGGAAACAAAAATACTTTGAAAGTTGGGAGATTGGTGAATACGTTGTGTGATGGTTAGATATTCAACACATGCTTATATAGAGGATGATTGAAGGTTTGTGGTTAGATATTCCCATGTTTGGTGTGTTATACATCTCTATCATGTGTTTTGTATATGCTTCATATGTGCTTTGTGTGTCTTGTGTGTTTCATATACATGATTTTCATATTCTTCCATAGTGTTTCATGAGTTTCATGTATCGATTAGTGATTTTTCAATATTTATCGGAATTTAACTATTTTGGATTAAAATGTTCATAAAATTAATTTATGATAGTCTACATTTTTTTTAAAGTTATTTTTAAAAAAAAAAATTAGCCTAAATTCATTCTTTAATAATCTGAGGATAAAATTCTAAGCCGGAAGGGTTAGAGCAAAAAAACTGTTTTTAGGTTAAAATCTAAATTTTATGTGCTAAAAATTTTAAGTTTTACGCTAAGGATTGGAGATGGTCTTAAAGATATAAAATGTAAAAAATTAACATCTTTCAGCTAAGATAATATTTTACTATTAAATAGCTTTCCGGCAAACAAGATACTAACACTGCCCATTTCAAGGCCTTTTACCTTTCTCATTTTAATGCTATTTGCATTAAAAAAAAAACAAAAAAAAAAAAAAAAAGGAAAAAAAAGAGCAGTTTTGCACCCTCTTTTGATGTAAAGTCACACTAAAAAAGGCCCAATAACTCTTTTAGATTCTCCCTTTAAAGTAGGAAACTTAGATGAACCGGATACACTCATAATGACACGTCAATCCAATAATATAATACAATTTGCTAATCTCACTTCATATGACTTTGGGTTCATAGATCAAAACACCACCGTACCAGCAGGGTGAGCAAAAAACTTGCTCAAGTAAATTTCGGATTAAGCTCAACTGCTCAAGCATAGGGGAGTGGGTGAATGGTAAATCTCGGGTTCTAATCCTCTTTTAACCAAGTTTTTCTTTTCGCCACCAAAACAGACGATATTGGGAAAGAGAGATTCAAACACTCGACCTCGGGTGTAGTTTTTGGCCGCGAAAACTTTCTCACAAGAATAATAAAAAGGACAATCGGAGAATCCGACACCAGAATTACAGCAACTTTGAGAAACAAAGAGGACCACATAAACATCTGAACACCTAAAGAGAAAATGGCAAGCAAATACAAAGACGAAAACAGCTCCGGGGAAGTATCATTGAACAAAAGCTGAAGGAAAGAACGAATTGAAGAAACATAATATGCAATCATTGAAGGAAAATTTATATAATTCCAATCCATTAGTGTCTAGCAAGGGCACATACGAAAACAAAAGCTTTCAACAAAACCTCAAGGACCAGCCAAGACCACAAAAACTCGAGGACCAGCTAGAACAAAAACCCGAGAAACCAAACACGCTTTTCAACTGTCCTCGTATCCTAAAATACAAGCGAGATGGTTAGTTGTGGCACAAAACAAGATCTGTGACGAAAAACAAGTTAATCCTCATCCATCCCTGCAGGCTGATCTCTCCTACTTGGGCCACCTGCTGGTTTTGCCATTATAATCTGCAACACGGTCAAGACATTGTCAAAAAAAAAATCAGCTGCCGTTTTTTTTTTTATCTTACTACAATTTATTTATATTTATTAAGGTAATCATACTGAGCGAAATATTTGAAAGCAGCCGTCAATTTATATGCAATAGTTGTGATAAGGTGGGCATCCTTGTGAAAAGATATATTGGTAACGATGCACTTAGTGAGCAAAAAAAGCATTGACCAATAGTTACTAAAAACTTACTTGATCTACCCTTAGGACGGTGCAGGCAGCATCCGCAGCATACTTGAGAGCAAAGAACCTGTAACAAACATTGCAAGAAAGGTCAGGCCAAAAAGGAAAGAAAAAAATCCCAGGACGAAATATGGACACCTAATATCACATATAAAGAAAAATAACATTGGCAAGAGTTTACCGAAAAATCTAGTGGTTCAATAAATAATTTTGATTTCAATGAATCAAATAAAAGATCTACAATTACAAAAATTCCTTTGTGTATGAATTGGAGAGATGAACCATGCTTGGCTTATATGTAAGGAGCAATTGGCCAACAAATGAATCTAACAAATGAACAACTACAGACGCAGAAGGAACTCATTGGCTATTCAATTTCAAAACCACCAAAATGGGCATGGAAATTCAAAGTGTCCTCTACAAACAAATTATAGACCCAAAATTTAATGCACAAAACTTAAATCTTCATGAACAATATCACATCAAGCATCACGGGTTTAAGTTGTAACAATACACAATGAAATCGGTTCACAAAAAAACTTGACTTGAAAGATGACAAAGAAAGCTTACTTAGTTATGTGGAGGTCCCAAACATTAATAGTCGACACATCTTTGCAACGGCCTTCCTCTAAGTCAATGCCCACTTTCGTATTTCCTGATGCATGTTCAGCATAGAGAGAAGATATGATCTCCATTGCATTCTTTCCAGCATTCTCAGCCAGAGTTTTAGGCACCATCTCAAAACTTTCGGCAAATTTTGCTATAGCATACTGATCCAATCTGCAAAACCAGTGTTTCTTTAGTGTGTTACTTAATTCTATCATGCCCAGATTCTATTTTATGCTGTCAGGGACAACGTTACAAGCAAATTACAAATCCAATATTGCAGATCAACCTAAAAAATCTAAACGAATCATATCAAAATTCATGATTTCTAAACCATACCATTTTTGGACCAGAACACCCATGACATATCTGTTCTTTTTCTTTTGTTTTGCTTTTGCTGCTAGTCATATTTCCTTTACATGTTAATTTGGTTGGATCATTTAAAACTGCAACTGGTGTTCCTATCTAGTTAGGTTGTAATACCCCTGACGCTTCATTAAGGTATCACTGAAGTTCTACAATGTTTATTCCGATACCACTGAATACATCTTATGTACTTAGAATGTACCTCATGACACAATTTCAACAGAATATCTTATATGGTATGACTTTCCTTCTAAACAGAATCTTAATAGCTAATTCCATCTCATTTGAGGATTAAATCATTACTTATTGTTGGTTATTTTTGTCTGACTAGCAGAAATCTCCATGTGTATTATGTAATTCAGTTGAACTAAAATAATTCAAAAACAGAGACAATTTACCCCGTTTCTTTAAAAGAGAATTCCTTCACTCTTCTAGCTAACTCAATTTCAGTAGCAGCAGCTCCAGGAACAATGCGGCTATCCTTGCACATAGCCTGACAATGAAATGCATTAGGAAAGCAAGAAATTACTTTCAATGGTTTGGACAAGAGTTCCAGAGAACAATATGCCTCCAGTGATTGCAGAGGTAAAACAAGCCAGCCAAACAACACAGAAAACTCTTAATGCTCCACATTAATTACCTTGTATGTGTTCACTCCATCATCAACTGCCCTTTCAAGGTCATCTAATATACTATCAGTACTTGCCCGTAGAACCACAGTAGCTACTGAGTTCCCACCTTCTTCATTCTTCACAACAGTGACCTACATAAAAGATCGTTAGATGTATCAGGAAGATGAAAAGGAAAATAGCCTAGAACAAGATAATTTCGATACAGTACTAGGTCTGAGGAAACATCTTTTCAGCATACCCTAACACCGGCAATTTCCTCAACCGCGACAGAGTCAGCATATCCCAGATCATCTGGGTTAGGTTGGCTAAGCTTCAACTGTTGCAAAAATACAAGGTGTATTTTTGTAAGATTCTCATAATTAAGAAACATTCAATAAGGTTCTCACAAATCAGATTCTTGTGAGATTACCATGGCAACAGCACCAGTTGTACGGCAAAATCGTCTCAATTCAAATTTTGAATTGATTTTCAGCACCATGAGCCTGGAATCAAGAAATAACAAGTTAAAACAGAAAAAGAGCTCAAAGATCTCTTAAGAGATTTGAATACCTTATGATGGGTATTGAAGGGTTTATCTGATTCTAAGGTCACTAGTGTCAGTTTATGCTACAACGGTTGGAAAGGATAAAAAAAAAAAATTGACAAGATGTTGATACTTACTTGTACCGCTCACAGAAATGTAGTGCCATCTCTCCAACTGCTGCTCCACTCACAATTACCTTGGCACCTGAATCCGCAACTGCTTTAATGAGCTCCTCAATTTTAGCTTCTTCAGTTTTTGCATAATTTTCAAGCTACACAATGACCAAGAAAATCATAGTTAATGAGATATCAACCACCTTAAACCTAACTTTCAAACAATGGATGATAAAAGGCACACAACTTTAAAATACCAACTACAGAAACAGACATCAGATATATTGTTAATACCCAGGAGAAAATAGATCAAAACATTTTAAGATAAGAAATACCAAAAAACAATTAGCTGCAATAAACTGACACCAGCTCAAGTACTATGGACCTAAAGGCAAGCATATTAAAACACCAAGAGGTCCAATACATTCTGTTAAGATGTACAAAGGAATAGAAACTATATTTTGTGAAACTTTTCCAAAATGAAAGTAAAACAGACTTAGATATAGTAGTAAAGTGAAATCGCAGAAACTGGTAAAACACATTAGAAGAAATCATCACTTCTTCATGTACAGCCCTCTAACCAAAAGACAAACTAGGGGAGATTAAAAAGAAATAACAATGACCACTTCAAGAAGAGTACAGAGTGTTCCAATCATGTACAAGTACAATAAAAATAAATTAAACCTTATAAACCATATGCATATGAAGAAGAACTTAACTAGTTGCACATATAAACTAAGTCTTCAAGAAACTGCCACCAAATATGACCTTTACGGGATCAATTGCACATATAAACTAAGTTTTTTGGTTGCAACATAAAAAGAAAATTCGAACTTTTGCTACATAGAATTACAAACAATCTCCCATTCCTCCAGAACAACAAACACACACAAACATACCTGGTCAGCAGTATGAATTAGAACAGTTCCTTTGGTCTCAGTTGCAGAGGTATCAACTCCACCCGCAAACACAGCAACCTGAAAAGGTTTAACAGAATATACAAGCTCAGAAACTTGAACCTTTCAAGCATATATTTAGACCGCGTAAAGGTAAAGGGTTTTTATAATAAGAGATAGCGATCACAATATGGAGAACAGGCATGATCAAGCTTAAAGTATTATAAACTAAAATAGAAGAAGATTCAAAAGTTAAACGGCACCAAAGCACGATAAAGTTAATAATATTATTCAAATCGCACACTGTTAGCAGATATACTTGAAGATAGAAAATTAAATTCCAAATAGTCAACAATGTGGTGCATTTTCTGAACTTCAATATATGAAGAAGAACATGTTATAACAAGAAGGCTGCTGCAAATCTTGAGCATAGCATATTATTGAATGCAATATGCCAAAAATTAGTGTTATCAAGGTAATAACATGAAATCAGAAGCCATAATCACCACAATTAATAAAATAAAAAGAACACCATTTTCTCTGGTTCCCAACAAACCAGGCCAACATTTTTCCTGACTCCAAAAGTTTGAAGTATGAAAAATAGGGAAGAAGGCAGTGTGTAAGTTCACACCAGACCAACACCTACTTATTCTAACTGGTATTTGCGTTGAATCATCAATTTTACATCATAATCACTCAACAAACCTACAATTTCCATAGATTTTTCAAAAGTATCTTCAACCATACTGACTATCACAAGCAAACAGCAATTCCATTAGGCAACCTGACTTTGGCCAACATAAACTACCTTCAAGGACATTTATGGTAACAAAAAGGTATGAAAATCATGCTCATTTTCTTATATCATTGAGTTTCTTCTTCCCTATACCCAATATTTCATGCTGAAAGTTTCAATGATGTTTTGTCCATCATTTACAAGTCGTTCCAAATTTGATATGAGATCCTCAGTATAGTGTCCTCACAATACCAGTAATTTGTGCCTTTATATCAAAATCCAGAGTTAACAGATAGTGAAAACTCCCAAAATGGTGCTAAAAAGACGAGTAAATCTGACAAAGTTTTTAATAGACCAAGAGAAATGAAACTCATCATATAAGGGTATATCATGTCTATCTTATGGAAAAGTTCAAAAGCAGATGTGTAAAAGATTGCTAACCTTGGCCTTCTCCATTCGCTTTATACTCCCCACAGCATCAGTTTTCAACACCATACCTCGAACTACTGTACAATTATGCAAACCCCCTCCCGCAATCTTTGCAACACGTACATTATCCACATTGAAGTTTACTGGGTTCTTGGGGCATACTTGTATACATGCCTATATCGTACAATAAAAATGTTTACCATTAGAACTTGCTAACAAACAGTGACACGCTATACTTCTTTCCTTGGCTTCAAAATAGCTGAGTAGCTGACGTAGAAATTAACCGATAATACAAAGGGGAAACAAGTAATAATTACATCGGCAACAAGTGAGGACAAGATATCTTCTTGGCCGAATTGCTTGCTGGCAACAGCAGCTCTCATTCTAGAAACCACTTGTTCTTTGTTGCGCACATCCATAATCTCGGAACCTTCCTCAACCAGTTCATCTAAGACTTCAAGCGTCTGAAATATTCAAAAAAAATCGAACAAAACTCAGAACATTAGAATTCTAATAACAGATAAAAAGCAGAAAGGGGGATTGGAAAACCTTTTTTATGGCTTTGTTGTATCCACTAATGATCTCACTCGGGTGCAGACCCATCCTGATAAGCTCCTCTGCGTTTTGAAGGAGCTCCCCAGCAAAAGAAATGGTGAGATTAGCACCGTCGCCAATTTCTTCCTGCTGAGCCCTGCCTGCCAAAACCAAAATCTTGGCAGCAGGATGCTGAACCTCCAGTTCATTGACAATGGTGGCGGCATCATTTGTCACAAACAGCTTGTCCAAGTGATTGATTACCATCTTATTCATACCTGATTAGTGAAAAAGTAGACAAATAATTCAAAAATTAAAATTAAAAAGTATGCTTGCAAGTATCGGATCCACTAAAGAGATCCACCAAAAGGAACTGTGATTTGTAGTCAGTAGAGTAAGAAAAGTGATACCATTGGGACCGAGAGAAGTTCTGGTGATGGTGGAGAGTTGCTTGCAGGCATCGATGTTCTTCACCACCGCCTCGTCCAAACCGGAGAGGTGCTTGTGGCCCTCCTTCAGCATCGATTGTATTCCGTAGGGCTGCATTTTGAACTCTTTTCTTCTTCTTCTTCTTCTACTACTCTTTCTTTCTCACAGATTCTGCAAAACCCTAACCCTAGAAATAGCTGCCTTACAAAACCCTACTCCCTGCAACTGAAGACGTTTTCTTTGAACTCAGACTGCGAGGAGCTCTTTTTTTCCTAGTACGAAATCTGCATCCTCCAACTAATCCAATGGATTGATCGGTTGCCAGGTCATTTGAAACAACTCTTGTTAATTGGAGAAATAATCCCTCATGGTGAATCGGTGATAGGGTATTCATAAGATAACCCTCACGGTAAAAAATTAAAATTAAATAGACTCTTATGATAAAGTCTGTTAGGATTTACGTTCAAAATTGAAAGTTTCGTCACCAAGTCAACTTTTGGATAGCCTGCATGTGGAGACTTTTAATGAAGAGTTAACGAAACTTTCAATTTTGGACTTGAATCTAACAAACTTTATCACAAAGATTTAATTCCTAAATGTTTTTACCACGCGGCTCTATTTTGAATACTCTATCACCACAAGATCAAAATTTCTTACATGAAGAAATATCGTCACAGGTTCGTTGACTGTAAGCTGCACGCTTGTCGAATCCCTCGTCGAGATGCAACTCTAAATGTTGTTAGGGTGGGGTGTGGTGGTGTACCTGCAAAAAAAGTACTTCGACACTTACATCAGTCAGAGTGAATTGGTATTATCTAGTCAATGGTTTCAGATTGAGTACCTTGTTCTCTATCTCAACTCCCTTTTTATAGAGCTATGATGCTTGAGGAGCAAGTATCACTCCCTCGATTCTCATTCATTCTCCAAAAATGGAGGTAGTTGCTCACCTCCTTCTACCCCTCTTATGGGCTTTGCATTCACGAATTTGACCCAAATTTTCCATGTTCTGCATCTTATACATATACGAAGGACAACTAATATATCACACATGAGGGTTGAGGGCACATTCCTTGTTGGTGTCACATCTCGGCCCGGGCTCAACTCCACCATAGCACAATATTGTCTACTTTGGGTCCCAACCACGCCCTCACGGTCTTGTTTCTGGGAACTCACACGAGAACTTCCCAGTGGGTCACCCATCCTGGGATTGCTCTCACGTGAACTCGCTTAACTGCGAAGTTCCTATGGAACCCGAAGCCAGTGAGCTCCCAAAAGGCTTCATGCTAGGTAGAGATGGGAATATACATATAAGGCTTACAGGATCAACTCCCTTGGGCAATGTGGGATGTTACAATCCACCTTCCTTAGGGGCCCAATGTCCTCGTCGGCACACTTCCGGCCAGGGATTGGCTCTGATACCAAATTGTCATATCCTGGCCCGAGCCCCCACCACATCCCAGGCTCAACTCCACCGTAGCACAATATCGTCCGCTTTGGACCATGACCACACCCTCACGGTTTTGTTTATGAGAACTCACACAAGAACTTCCTAATAGGTCATCCATCCTGGGATTGCTCTCGCGTGAACTCGCTTAACTTCGGAGTTCCTAAGGAACCCGAAGCCAGTGAGCTCCCAAAATGCCTCATGCTAGGTATAGATGAGAATATACATATAAGTCTTACACGATCCACTCCCCTAGGCGATGTGGGATGTTATAGTTGGTGTTAAAGAACAATGTTTGAGTTAAAATTTCAACTTTGGAAAGACTCGATAGTATCTGGAACAAACAACTGTAAGACTTTTATTGGGTTTACATCTATTTAGGAGTCCTAATTGATTAAGAATATAAGATAGGAAGAAATTCTTGATTATCGCTATAATGATTGGTGGTGAAGTAAACCTATAATAATTGGGAATATCTTTCCTATTAGGTCATGGATTTTGGAGGTGCTAAAGATATGTATTAGGGATTTCTTTATGGGCAAGAAACCTAATATACTCACCTATAAGTATAAGGCTTAGGTCCTCACTCTTATATACAATATTCTAGCACAAAACCCTACCCCATATAAGAGTGCATAAGGCGTGTAGAGAGAGCGGAAGATCTTTGCTTGTTGCTATGTTCGTGGTTCATTCTTATGCTTGGATTCAATGACTTCTCAAGGTTAGTACTTTTAGTGTGCACATTATAGTTAACTTACAACAACGACAATATATGGATGTGAAATGGAAAGTTTATTTTTTGTTGTAGAACTTAAAATGCATTTTTGGACTAAGTAAATGATATTGGATGGCTAAAATCCTTATAGATCACAGCAAATAAATGAGTTTGAACTGGAATGTTGCGCTCTTTCCAATAGGGTATTATGAGCCTGAAACAAAGTTCGGGCGACAATTTCAAAATTTCCCAATGCGTCATTTTTCGAATTATGAGGTTAATTAGTTAAATGTTTAATTAGAAGATTAATTAAATTACTTTTAAACCCTTTAGATTATTTCAAAAAGTTGTATCTGTTTGAACTTGAATGAAACAATTACACCTGTTTTGAAAAGGCATTAGAATCCTATATATCTCAAACGGTAATTTGCATTTTGTTATGTCAATTTTGGAACCTTTATTCATATAAACTTTATGAGAGAGAAACATAAGGAAGTTCGCCAGAATCAAAGTTTCAGTGCTAAAACTTTCATAGATAGTTAAATCCTAGTGGAGTAGACGCTTGCAAAACTACAAGCGCTAAATAGAAGTGAAATTATGTTCAAAGACATTGAAAATCTACAGGCCTCTATCTGCAAAATTTGTAAGCTCATTACTTTGTTATAATTTTGCTTTTTTTGTAATTATATACATATCATATTTGGTTGTTAATATTATTGTGTTAGAATATATAAATTTCAATAAATTAGTCTTATTGATTGTTGTTCTGCCAACATTCTCTTAACATTTCACATGTAGTGTGAGACTGATGACTCTTTTGGGCAACTAATAGTACTCTTGGGCTCAAGGCAAAGATCTTGACAAATCTTCGTCCTTAGGCTTGTCTCATATCTCCATGTGTAACTCACGATAGGCCCTACATGTAAAAATCATATTTTATTTCCACGCCCAAATTTCATAGTTTTGGATCTGCTATCTCAATCATGATTTTTCTACCCCAAAAGAAAAGGTCCTTCATTTTAGGGCGGTTGTCGATGATGAGGTATTCGAACCCTAACAGCGTGGCTCGTACCCATGTACTCTAATCTTTTGAGTTACAAGCTCCACCTTGTCTCAATTGGATATATTTATGGGAGTACCCTAATAGGACCCTTATTCTTATCTGCCAATTTATTTTATTCTAGAAACAGACCGCCCATTAATGTGGGTTTTCAGTTTCCAGGGCAGGATCTTGGGTTTTATATTGGAATCTCAACTTTCTTTATGGTAGCAAGTAGTCCCATGTGTAAAGCCCTACGGCCACACATGCTCCATATACCCGAGTTGTATTGTTCACGTGTTAAGCTTGAAAATGTGTCACACGTGTAGAGGCGTGTTGAAAATGAATCCTACATCTATATGCTTATAAGTAGCTAGGCTACTCCTCATATGATTTTATGGTGGAACATTAACTTCTTCATAATATAGCTCAAATAGAAAGCCGTAAAACAAGTAGTTGGCAAAACAAAATTGATATTGACACAGTTTGCAGAATTAAAAGCCTTTGCAAAATTCGTTTTTGTTCTTCAAAGTGAAACATATTGTGGTTGTTTTGGTTGCATCACAATGAAATAATGCTTGAGTCGTTGCATCAAGTACTAACCAAATTGAGCAAGGACTATCACTTCGCAATATTGTACCACACATAATGGAGCCGTAAATAGTTGAGTGAAACAACGTAACTAATTCGGAGGATTTATTTTCTCTCCTTCTGTGAGAGTTCTTTCCCTCCTTTTGGTGAGGGTTTCGATTGTCTCTTCTCAATTTCTCTAGTGGCACCGGCTCTAGCGCCGATTGGGGTCTATTGCTATGTTCTCAACGGTGATGATGTTTCAGTTGGCTGCTTTGGATTTCTGTTGGTGGAGAAGATTTTAGTGGAAGCTTCTCGCCTGTTGTGTGTTTTTTTTGGCTTCACTGTTGTTGGGTCCTCTTTCTGTTTTTCTGTTGATTTAGACCATTTTTTAATTGTGTATAAGTGTAAGTTGACCTTTGATTTGCTTGTAAATTTAGGCTTGCTGTTTGATAAAAGTTTTCCCTCGACCCAAAAAAAAAAAAAAAAAACACAAAGTAACCGGTTCGATGAAGAGTTGCAGCAGCAATTATTCACGAGGTGACACGTTTTCCCTGTATGCTTGCCGTACTTCGCCACTTCCATGATGGAACCACCTCGAGTCCGTCCACATTCTCAGGAAAACGTTTGGCTCTGAAACTGCCATCTCAGCATGCCTCCCTTCCACGCCAAAAATTCTTCCACCTCAGAAATTTTCAAATATTCCAAATTTATCTCCCAAAAATTAAAATATCCAACTTTTTTACTTCCTCTGTTTCATACTATTCAATTTAGCCCAAAGCAATAAGCTGGAGTTGCAATTTGCATGCTCGTCAATGGCTCAATTACTGACCCCCTCCCCTGTTTTCACTGAATCTCTCAAGTTCCAAAACCCATTACCGAATGGGTGCTCTAGAAGCCCATGGCGCATGTTAGCCAAGCCCGGCAGTAGCCTGACTTTGACGGAATGGTCATGGCGGTGGCCGGAGGAGTCGTAGAGGCTTTAGCAGGCTCAGAGTGGCAACCGACGACTCACCTTCAACGAACGCCGTCGCTGATGACTACTATTCCGTCTTGGGATTGGTATGCTTAATAATGTTGTACCCCTTTTATTAAATTCCATCTGGGTTGTTTAAATTTGCAAAAAATTTATGCTTTTGCGCAAATTAATTAGTTTAATTTTTGTGGGAATATCCAAAAGTTCATATTTTTATGAATTTTGAGGAGTTGGGTTTTGCGTGAAATGCTTAGATTTTGTATGTTATGTTAATAACAGCTTCCAGATGCAACGCCAGCACAAATAAAAAAGGCGTATTACAATTGTATGAAAGCTTGCCATCCGGACTTGAGTGGTGATAATCCAGACACCAACAATTTCTGCATGTTCATCAATGAGGTCTATGAGGTGCTCAGTGACCCCGTGCAACGCATGGTTTACGACGAAATTCACGGCTATGCTTTGACAGCAATCAATCCTTTCCTGAACGAGTCTGCACCAAAGGATCATACATTTGTTGATGAGTTTAGCTGCATAGGCTGCAAAAACTGTGCCAGTGTTGCCCCAGACGTCTTTGGAATCGAGGAAGACTTTGGAAGAGCCCGAGTATACAGTCAGTGCGGGAGCGTAGATTTAGTTCAACAGGCAATTGATAGTTGGTAGGTACTTTGACATCGGTTTTTCGAATATGATGAACATTTTGTGACAAACTGACTAGTCCTACTTCCATTTTTGTCAATTGTATTGTGTGTTTAACTTCATCACTGTGAATAGTTTCAAGCTTGAGAGGCACGCGTTCAACTAAGACAGATATTAGGAATCAGGCATCTTTGTATTTTCATGGTTTGCGTGTAATAGGTAGAAACGGGACACACTTCACTGAAGAGCGTTACTTTACATCAAATAAGAATTTGACTTCAGACTTGTTAGAAAAGTCTTCCTTAAAGCTCGTGCAAGTATTTCTGGTTTTTGACAAATAATCAAATCATTTTTCTACAAATTTCAAATCTTTCTGCAGCATCAAATAGTTTTCGTGCATGCTTGTACTGCTTTCACAAATTCGACATTTGAAATTTTCATGTCACTGGATAGTTGTCAATTGTACTATCAGATGCCTGGAAATTACTAGATGTCCTTGATTATTAGTTGACAAATTCTTCTTTGTTTCAGCCCTGTTGATTGCATCCATTGGACTTCTGCTGCGCAACTATCATTGCTCGAAGATGAAATGCGCAGAGTAGAAAGAGTAAACGTATGGAAAGCAATCATTATAATGTCAGAATTGTCCAAGTTTTATATTTATACTAATAATTATATGCACCTTCTTTATCACCATTTTGAAATCCTTTGATGCGAATAGTTTTCTTGGCTGCTTGATCGTACTAATCAATTCTGAGTCTTTCTAGTTATCTAAACTTTGACCAAAAGAGCTGCGTTTTATACTTTTTTCTTATTCGTTTATAACTTCAGTAGCTAAAAGTGTACTGTGGATGGTCAGGTTGCACTGATGCTCGCAGGTATGGGCTCATCAGTGGATGTTTTCAGAATGGTCTGTTACTTGTTCTTTGTATTATACATTGTCTTCTATATGATTTTTCACAACTTTCAGTTAATGACCTGAAGACATTTTCAAACTACTTGTTTCACTTATCTTTGCTTTTGTGCGTTGAACTACAATGTGTTGGCATATTATCTGAATTCTGCTATGTGTTGGCATATTATCTTAATTCTGCTAAAACGAAGTTGAACCAGGAAGTTTATTCCTCGTAGCTCTTGAAACACTTCAGATGTAATCAAGAAGCAAATCAAAAGAAGAATGTATAAATATTTGCTATATGTTCTTAAACTCATCTGCTTAGATTAATCTTTGGGATAAAATTATTTCTAGCTTATCTTCATTGTCGCCATAACTAGCTTAGCAATTTTTGTTAATGTGGCAGGCAAGTTCTCGGTGGCAAAAGAGGCAATCACAAGTCTTGGTAGGAACTCTCATTTTATTTTTTGTACCTTCAACTAATCTAATGTTTTGTGATTTCTTTTGCTATAAAGTATAATCGGTAATACTGGGTGTGTCGGTTGTATGAACTACCAAAGATGAATCCTTCAATATTCTGATCCAAAGAGTCGTCTTATGAAATTTCAGTTTCTTCTGATAAAGAAGAAAACAAAAAACCTTGAGTTGCCAATTTCTGTGCTGCTGTTCCCTCTTGGCAGAAAAAAATCTCGATCGCTGCTTACAAGTTTTTAAAGTACCAAGTGCATTTATAATTTTAGTTATGACATTTCACAAACCTGGGTTTATTGCAGGAACAAACTAAAATTAGGATGATGAAGAAGAAGAAGAAGGATTCAGATAAATCAGAATCATACTGGGACAACATTTGGGGTAACACCAAAAACTACCAAAATTCAGGTTAGTGCAAATCTGTAGAAAGAATGATATTGATAGCTAATGTTTGAATATCAATGTACAGAAGAAACATAATAGAAGTTACTCGAGGTGAGTACCATCCACCCTTTCTTCGTGTCTCACCGTTAGTATGTCCAATGAATTAAATGCAATATGTTTTAAAATTTAGTCTCTAAGAAGTTTTTACATTTTGATTTATATTCCTTCTCAAGGTCTAGTGCTGTCTCTTCTTTTCCGAGGTCCAATGAGTTAGAACCAACTTATTTGGATCGCCGACTGATAACAAAAGCATTACTTTCATTTGCTGCTGTGCTCATATATCTGCATAGCTACGCAGAATCTTGGTCCCTTGTTCAGATAGATGTTTTTTCAAATGGGCAATGTGTAAGACTCGGAAAGGCTTTCCACGTTTGTCATCCTTCTTCTTACCATTCCTACATGCTTTCTTCCAAAAGCAAAAGTTCTAATCTCCCATAGGTGCCAATTAGATTTGCATCTTCTGAATCTCATGCGCTAGTGGTTGTTGCTGAACCCTGCCTTCGTTCATATAGGCATTTCAGCATAAATTATTATCCTCCAAACTTCAATATCTCATCTAAATATTGATGTTACATGGTTGTAATGATTGAGGACACTCTATCGTTAAAGCTTCCATAAAAAATGTTTTCTACTCAAACATGTTTAATGCTTCATATGTTATAGACGAATCAAAGTCCGAAGTTAAATTTGAAATGTGTTTTCATTTTCCAGAGGAGGAAGTGAAAGATAGAGCAAATAGAGCAGCAGCAGCAGCTCGAAGATGGAGAGAGTACTCAAGGAGGGGTGCTGATAAGCCTCCCAGTTATAAACTTCCGGAGGCCATCAACAACGACGAAAGTGACCAGATTAATCTGTGGAGGACCGACACCATTGAAATTATATCATCAAATGTAAGTATTAGTAAATTTATAGCTTAAGCTGGTGTAAATTTGTAACCATGTAAAACTTGAAGATATCTGAAAATCTGCGTAATCAGTATAGCAGCTATCAGATTACCAGAAGATTGATCTGTAAGTTTAAAATTGAAAAACAAAAAGAGAAGGTATACATATAGAAGCATTCTGCATATACGCAAGGTTTTCATAGCATCGAAGCATCATGGTCGACGTTATTTCTTGTTTCTCCAAGACTCCATCGAGAATCCAAGCACGACATAGCATCATGGTTGACGTGTAGAGCCCCGTGGTCCGGGCATACTAAAAAATCTCTCCAGGAAATAGTAATCGCACGAATTATGATGTGGTATATGTTTTCTGAACTCGGCGAGTTCCAGGAGGGTTCGGTGACAAAACCGAGATGCAAGTTTAAAAGTTGTAGTAGTACAGGATACGACTAAAAACATTCATCAGTCTTCTTTTTATACAAGCAGCATTGGGTAAGGAGGAAATTGCATACAACAACTAAGGTAGGGCTGGTTTGGTATTGTTGTGCTTTGAAAAAAAAAACTGTTTCTGCTGTGCTGTGAGAATAAACAGCTATGAAATAAAGCAGCAGAGTGTTTGGTAAACTTTTTTGTAAAAGTGCTTTTGAAAAAAAAAAAAAAAAAAAAAAGCAATGTATAGTGTTTGATAAACTTTTATGTAAAACAGATGTGAAAAAAAGCTAGTTTTTCAAAGCTGAGTTTTGCAGCTGTGTTTTTGGCTTTTTTTCATCAAAAACTGTGAAAAAAAACTGAAGTTGAATGTTTACCAAAGATAAAAAAGCTCCCAGCTTGTTTTGATAGCCATTTTTTTCAGAATCATACCAAACTAGGGCTAATAGAGTCGATGTTCATGATTTTTGCAAGTACACAAATGAAGCTAAAATACTATAACAAGCTACGAAATATGATCCGGCGGCCACAAGTGCGGGTATACAAGGAAACGAACCCACCCAACGTTCAATATACAGACCCTGGCCTGGCCTATTAGACAATTTAGCCAGCAATGTATCTGAAAAACTAGTTTTTTTTATTCTAAAGACAGATTCCGTTGATCATATACAGGTAGCGGGATAAAAGAAAAGCCCGAAAAAGAAAAGCACGAAAATTACCATTTCTAGTTTGAGCAGCATCCAATTCTCTTGAAAACAGAACCATCATCTTTGACATTTATGGTCTGTCCTTTAGACGGAACAGCAGAAGCGCTTCCACTGTTGCCTGCCTCGACTGCCCTCTTGCTTACCACCCGGTATATTTGAGTCAAGACTTGGGTAAATGCACTTTCTACGTTGGTTGCTTCCAACGCAGAAGTTTCCATGAAGTAAAGGGACTCTCTTTCGGCAAAAGATTTACCATCCTCTTTTGAGACAGCCACCAGATGGCGAAGGTCTGATTTGTTGCCGATGAGCATCACTACAATGTTGGGGTCAGTATGGTCCCTCAGTTCCTTCAACCACCTTGCTACATTCTCAAATGTGGCATGCCGAGTGACATCATACACTAGCAAAGCACCAACAGCCCCTCGGTAGTATGCGCTTGTAATGGCACGGTACCTATAACAGAAAGGAATTTAGTGGAAACTATGTAATTTAGAACTAAACAGCAATTTTACAACTTCAGACAACAACTTGCAATTGTAGCTAGATGGCCATTTCACCCCGCAATGGATGTAATTTTCACTTGAACATGACGCCCAATGCGAGGGAGATTCAGACCAAGGCAAAATATCTGCAATCAACACTTTTAACCAAATATGACTCCAACTATTTACAACTCTTTTTTTTTAGATCATATTAGAAAGCTCTATGGTCTAGCAACTGCTACAGTACCTCGTGGCAATCAGTGTAGCATATACTGAACAACGGAATAATACAAAAGACTCCAATCCTGGGCAGTTTCAACAACAGATTAGCCAGCTGATTTATCTTTCCCTCACTGGACCTTGTGAGCGAAATGCAGTTATATAGTGTTTTTTGCCAATTCATATCATGCTTTTCCTTGAGAAATAATATTCTCCAACTAGACTCAATAGAATTCAATCACTTGCATGCAGCTAACGCATCATAATGTTTATACACATGACATGAACATAATCGGTAACTTTCGCGTTTTCAACAAAACTATATGAAAGTCGAAAGCAGTTGCGAACGATACTTGGGTACAAAACTTCTTGTAACACGACAATTAACTCATACGTCAGAAGTCTGGTCATAACAAAAGCTAGAAACACAGTGAGTTCAAAACCAAATAGTTTTCGCAAAGCAAACATCAAAGTTACATTTCATAAGCCAAAGATTGTTTCCATGAAATTAGGCAAAAATAATTGGCCATCAACAGCAATGCACAGTTGCATTACAATTCAACAAAACTCAAAACTGAAAATTTTCAAATTCCTTTTCTTTTCCTCTGAGGATTGGTCTGTAGGCAATATTCTATCCAAATATAGTTCAGGCATGCCTCTTTTGTGGTGAGGCGATGGAATATATTGACCATTTTTCAAATAGTATTCTTTCGTTAGAGGTGTCAGGATGTGTTGACATGGCCTGCCCAAACACCCTAAACACAAACCTTTTTCTTGATTGGGTTCTACATATAGAGAACAAGCAACAACAAAAAGGAAATAACAATATTAATTTGTCAGAAAAACTGTTCGTGTGTAAGCGGCTCTTGGAACACCTATGTGCAATGATACTGAGGAACCAAAAGCCTAACCCTATTCAGGCCATTAGTAATGCTACTAATTGTCTCCCAACTTTGCCATAAGATACAACACCACACAATACAGGAAAAAACAAACACATCCCCTCCCACAAAGGGGATCAAATGGCAACCCCTGAAGGAGTACTTCATTAAAAACAATCTGGATTCTCCGGTTTAGAGAAGCAATCAAGCCATGTCTGGAGACCTAGACTAGAGAACTGTCCCAATCACAGAATGTCAAGCCTTGAAGGAGGGATTTCCAAGAAAAGTGAAATAAGGTTGGACGAAGATGCAAACAGAAAGCCAATCTAAAGTCCGAACTAGTATTTTGAAGGCACCACAAGAAAAACAATATGCTATGGCAGCTGGGAGTGGTCAAGAGAGGTATCCACTTCACATCATCTTCCACATGGATCACGCAGAACTTCAACATGTTATCAAAGACACAAATCTTGTGGCAGATGCAGTTGCTGACTCAGGGCTTACAACAAGTTTTTAAGTACTGTAAATAAAACCAGATTCTACTTGTAGGTGGTGGCCACTAAGACATACTATAGTGCTTTGCAGACAAGCACCATGTCAAATTATAGGCGCGTTTAGTATCAAGTTCTTCACTTCCATATAACAGAACTTCTTCCTCAACCAATTATATATAAAAGTATCAAAGTATGCTTTCCTCAAGAAAAAGAGGACTGCAATAATATGAGTATGCAAAACTTCGCAAAACTACAGGTAAAATTTCAAAATAAGTGCTTAAAAATTAGGGCGACAGAAAAAAACTCCATGACCCCAAGAAATTTCCCAAAACAGGGGAAAACCCCTTTGACAAAACTGAATTTTGGGTTTTTTACTGCACCTCAGATATCAATACTTGAAAGAATAACCCTCCTAACTATCGAGCATACAATTCAATCAAACTCAAACTAAGATATTATATATCAAATATTTCCAAGTAAGCAGCTAAATAATCAAAACCCAAAACAGAAAAACTAAAAATATAGAGAATACTGAGAGGAAACAATATCACCTTTCTTGGCCAGCAGTGTCCCAAATCTGAGCTTTGATGAGCTTGGAATCAACGGTCAAAGTCTTGGTGGCGAACTCGACGCCGATGGTAGACTTGGACTCCAAATTAAACTCGTTCCTGGTGAACCTGGAAAGCAGGTTCGACTTTCCCACCCCAGAATCCCCAATCAATACCAGCTTGAACAAGTAATCGTACTCATCGTCACCTTTGTACCCCGCCATCTATGATTTTATATCCAATATTCAAATATTCAAATATTCAAATCTCAATCAATCAATATATATATGTATATGTATGTATGTACATACTTCTTCTTGCTGAGAGAGAGGTGAAGAGCAAAGAGACAGCTTTTCTCCTGGTTTGGTCTAACAAGTGTGGAAGATAGGCATCATCGTAGGTGTGAACGCGGATGTGGTGGTCATTGAATTATTTTTTTTATATTTTTACTTTTAAGAAAGATAAAGATTTGGGTTTTTAATTTTGAAGAATTTTCACTTTGCTTGCTGCCAATCTAAGTCTACTTCTTTTTTCTTTAACAAAAGTTTTCAAATTTGAATTTTATAAATGGCGATTTCGAAAGCAAAATTAAATTCTAAGGTAAAACTAAAGTAAAGTAAAAGGTTTTTGGAAGGTTTTGAAATGGAAAAGGAAAGAAAGAAGAGGGACTGCTTTTCTTGTTGCCCGAAATCTAGCAAGAGAATAAAAAGCCCAAAGATGTGAAGGAGTCTCTAATAAAAACCCTAAACCCTAAACGTGACGGAACTCGTTTGATATCGTGTTATAATACAATTAGTTAAATTTTATTTTCAAGTGTCTAATTAATTGTGTCACTCATTACTACCGTATGATGGTATTCCTATTCACTTGAAATTAAGAGGTCTTAGGTTTGAATCTCGTGGATGATGAATTTGATATAAATTAGGTTGCTTATTGTATGACTTAGTCGAATTCTCCATCTCATTAGTACAAAAATATCGATATACTCAAAAAAAAAAAATCTAATTAATTATATTATTATATTTAGTATATTAAACTGTATTCTCGTAAAAGTAATTTTTTTTTTACCAAAAAGAGGTCTTCATCTCTTTCTCCCCAGCTTTCCACGTTCTGGAGAGAGTGACCATCCATATGACTAGCGAGTGTGACCTTAAAATTTGACAAAATAGAAATGAAAATTATTACTGATGCCATAATAGAGAGAAATAATGATATATTCTGCTTTTATGATTTCCAATCAGATAGAGTATCTTTGGGTTCAACGCATTCAAACACAATCAAATATTATTTTAAATTTGAATGTAAGTAATGATATGTTTCGTGCGTTATGATTTCTAACAAGAGAGAGGGTCTTTTTCGGATCTACATTGTAGGAATTCTAAGGATTTTCATATCCTAACTGGTCATCGTACATTGTGCGGTTAGTTTTAGTAAGATATTATTTGTGTTTAATTTTAAATAAAAAAATTCAAATTATTTATGATCGTACGATACACGATAAGTGGTTAAGATGTGGGGATCCCTTGGATCCTTACAAAGTGGATCCGGATAGGATCCAATTCCTAATTGGACAGGGTTTTTTGGATTTGAAAGAAAAGATACTTACATTCAAATTCAATCATCAATTCAAACTGAAATTAATTATCAACCAAGATTTCAATATTCAATTTTGGAAAAAACCGAAAATAAAAAATGAAGGGTTATCAAATGGCCTTGGTTATAGACTAGATCACGAAGGTTGAACGACTCTACAAACACGAAATGAGGTGTATATGAGGACGCACCTAAAACCACCGTCACTCTACTCTAACTTACAAACTATTAGTTACTTAGCATTATGGTCTAATGACATTTCTCTTCACTTATAAAACATTTATCTTCACTTGTAAGTGAGAGCTCTTAGGTTTGATTCTCACCAAAGTCAAATTTGAATCATATTATTACGAATTATTGTGAGGTTAAACTTTCAAGGGGCGTTTGTTTGCCCTCACTAAGTTGGACTAGACTGGACTGGACTAGCTATTAGTCCAATACTGTGTTTGTTCCATGCTGGGACTAATATTAATGAGACTAAAGGGGACTAGCATGGACAAAACCCTTCACTAAGAGGTCTTAGCAAGACCCCCCAATAACCATGGGACTAGCTAAGACTATCCTCTCTTTCTCGTCCTCGTCATGCTCAACGACCACTCTCGATAGACTCCTCGTCATCTCCGGTCACCTAGATCAATCATTAACTTTCCGACTCTCTTTCAGATCCATTTCACAACCAACTTTCATACAAAATATACCAAATTGAAGCTGGGAGTGACAAGATTACAATTTTACCTGAATTGAGGCCAAAATGTGGTCGAATGTGGTTGGAAAATGGCCTGGAAGTCTCGGCCTGTTTGGGCTTCTTCAAATCCATGACAGATTCGAGCATTCAAAGCTAAGATCTCGGTCCAGGGATGGTGATGAATTTTTTGGTGGTGCTAACTTCATCCAATTTAACGAGGAAATGGTAGGAAAAAATGAAGAAAAAGATAAGATCATAATAAAATATTAATAATTTATATATTAAATAATATAATATTATAATTTGTTATTATCCAGCTTCTTAGTCCAATACTGCACCAAACGCTTCACTAAGTTAGTCCAGTTTAGTCTAGTCTAAGCCAGTCCAGCTTAGTCCTTGAAGCTAATCCAGTCCAAGATAGTCCGGCGCAACAAACGCCCCCTCACTCCCTTAATGTAAATAATATCATTTGATAAAAAATAACTTACAAACCATTGACACAATCCTCTTGATTATGTTCTTATAAAAGATCCACTCGTAAACCAGCCCAATAAAATCCTGCTGGACCGGCCGACCAAGGCCCAAGGCTATGAACATATCTTTCTCACACAAAAAGCAACTACTTGCCCAACTGATGTGATATTTTGTAGCAACGTTTAACGAATGTTGCAGATCCATCGAGACGAAGAAAGTACAACGACGTTGCTGGATACTACAATCGTGCCACAAATGCAAGCCTAATTCTTTAAGGGGTAATTTGCTTAAGGTTGCAAAAAAAAAAAAAAAAAAAAAAAAAAATATCAACTGGTAGCTTTGCTTCGGCAGTCCACCATTCTGGCGGCAGGAAAGACTTACAAAAACACTTCAGCCTGCTCTTAGCCACTATCAAATTATTCACCACCTTCAAAAATCGAATTCAAAATGTGTCATTTGGAATATCGATCTTAGTTGAAGGAATGATTACGTATATGTAAAGAGCTAAGAAATGATTTTGGAGGAATAATTTTGCAAACCTTAGTTGGAGGAATGATTTTGCAACCTGCAGCACCTTCAAGCTGTTGGACGATTCTGGAGGTATTATTTGCAACTAAGGATAACTAAGATTGCCTCCATTAGGGTTTGCATTTTACATTAATTGATTGCTAGGATGTGTAAAGTCATGGCGTTGTAGAACAACGTTCACATGAATAACATACATAAAGATGTGGAACTAGGATTTTGTCAAGAGAACTTTAACTAAAAGCTTACAGTATTTTTCACTTTAACAAAAACCTATATTTTTACGTTAAAAAGCCAATTCTGGTACTATTCATTTTATCATTTGTTTTGTCCTTATCGTTAAAATTCAAAGTTTTCAAGTTTTGTTTATTAGTTTTCTTTTTTGTCAAATACTCAAAGGGAAGGTTGAGTAATGAAGAAATAATACGCTTGGCCTAGTTGTTTGGAGTAGGTAGTAAAGCATGAAAATTTCTTACAAAGTGGGTGCAAATAAATTTCTTACAAAGTGGGCGCAAATGCCCACAATAGGACTTGTATATGCCCCCAGGTGAATTTATACATTTTAGATAGAGATTGTCCGCAAGTCGTAAGAATGGTTGTTGGTAGGCAATAAGAATGAAGTTGTGGTAAGCAATCGGCCACTGACAATCAATAAGAATGGTTGTTGGTAGGCAACATCGTCTAAAACGATGTACTAAGGATAGGTCAGCAAGTCGTAAGCTTATTGAGTGGATAACCTGAATTGAAGTTTCAATGACGTTAAATTTAGAATTGTGATTTTCTTACAACAACTTTACAAACTAGGCATATCGGTGATTGAGATAGTAGTGAACTGAATTGACTTATATTAAAATTCAAGGTATTTCTCTTCACTTGGAAGTAAGAGGTCTTAGGTTCGAATCTCATGAATAGCGAATTCAATATCAAATTAAGCTGCCCATTGTATAGCTTTGCTGAACTCGCCCTTTCTTTAACATAAAAATATCGATATACTAAATTTTATATCGATGTACTATAAACAAATAATTCTAAGGGCAAAGAAGATCATAAAATTTTAAGCTAGGAATGGATTGTTCTAGGGAAAGGAATATCGTTAGGTTTTTGGACCCAAAGAGGTGCATTTGTTTGCCTTCACTAGCTTTCACTAGACTAGACTGGACTAAGTATTAGTCCAATTCCGTGTTTGTTAGGCGTTGAGACTAGTTTTAATGAGACTAGAAGGGACTCGCCCAGACTAAAGGTTTCTCTAGCCGGTCTTAGAGAGACCCCTAAATATTGAGCGGATTGCTAATCCGCTTCGCCCTTTCCTGCTTCGTCCCTCTTATCAACGACTGTAGACTTCCCCATCTCCCAGAAAACCCAAAAGAGTAAGTCTGCAATTACCCTCAGCCACCCACCTCCCAAACCAGCAGCCACCTTCAAAGCTAACAACCATCTATTTCTTCTCTCTTTATCAATGAAATCCGACGCATAACCCAAAAATAAAACCCATTGACATCCAAACACAAACACCAGAAGAGGAAGATGAAGAAAGTAACCTTCCTAATTAGTCCAGCCGTCTAAACCATCGTCCAATTTGTCCCGGAACACCCAGAAAAAACCCACCTAAGTGGCCCATTTCTCATCTGGGTTCAACCCCACCAAGAACCCATACCCCAATTTGACCAAAACCGAAATCTTTGAATTGATTTGTCGTGCCTTCTAGAATTTGTTAGAGGGAGATAGATATTCTAGACAAAAATGGTGAAACTGGGAGAAGTGAGGGAGAGAGTGGCGGAGGAAAATAGGTTTTGTGAGAGATGATTCTAGAAATAAAAAAAATATTGGCCGTAGATGATTTCATAAAATAATAAAATAAATAAAATTATAATTTATTAATTATCTTGCTTTTTAGTCCGACATTACACCAAACGCTTCACTAAGTTAGTCCAGCTTAGTCCCTGAAGCTAATCCAGTCCGAGATAGTCTGATGCAACAAACGATAGGTTGTGGAAAAGGCTTCGAGCAGCTGCTTCGTGTCCCACATCGATAGGCTATGGGATTGCCACATGGTGAAGAGCCTTTAATAGGACGCAAAAATAATCTGGAAAAGCATCTTTCCGCTTGGGGCAATGACGTAGCTAATGTGGTTCTAACCGAGGCGCGTCTATTGTTGGTTGAAAACTATTTCCAAATCCCCTCTTAGGCCTTGATTTAGTCTTGTGCTTTTGAGAGTTTCTTGAAGGCTCTCTTTTCAGAGTGAGCTCTACAGTATCTAGTTCTAAATTTTATTATATTCTTTTTAATAGGATTCTTTCTTGATTTTTTTGGTGAGAATTTTAGGAATTTGTAAATCGCATTTGTTTATCATATATTGTGCAGCTTAAAATGATTTTTGATCACACGATATACAATGAGTGGATAGTGTCACGTATTCTCCTCATATTTCATACAGTAAACTATAAAATATTTCCATAATTTATTTGAAAACAAAATAAAACTGTGCATGGTGTGGGCCACTGTTTTTGTCTAAGTGCTTATAGGGTTTCGTCATTGTGTGTTGGATTAATCAATTGCTAGTTGCTTTGAAATGAAATCTTTAAGATAAATCAATACAATTTAGGATGACTCAATGAAATGGCATCAATTCAAATCCTGGATTTTCGAATTGAGAGAGATCCGGAATTCTCACTATTTCTTAGATTCATGGACCCCCTCGTTACATGATTTCTTCTTCATATAGGTAGATATAGGATCTATGGAGCAATTACTTAGAAGTACATTTTGTGCAACAACCCTTCCTATCTGATAGAAAAGATGGCTAATCCTTGCATTAATCAAAGTTCTGGCTCTATAATAAGGGTGGTGGACCGGATGGAATGGCTCGACCGGATGGAATGGCTCATTAGGTTATGAATTTAGGATTTGTAATGTTAGGATTGGAAGGAATAGGTTGAGATATTTGGCAGCAAACACGTCAATTAGATTAGGATTAGAAGGGATAGGTTAACATACTTGTCTAGTGTTTGGTGTGAACAAATCAAAGAAAAGTCATCCAACATCAACGATCTCAACATATCCCAGCAAGCATGACATTCTACCGACAAGCATTATCTGCAATGAGATTGCAACTACAATCACGACCCAGTAAGATCAAGCATCAAACCATAACGATCGCGATCCACAACTAAAGTCAAGCATCAATCTGTGATGTTATTTAGGCGCATTCAAACAATGGTTAGGACTTATTGCCTGCACAACTAGATATGTGGCAGCTACAAATTTTTATGTCTAATGCTAAAAGTTAGGATGAATAACTTGTGTCTTTATGCCTTTTTTGGTAGAGGCCAGATTAAATAGGATAAGCGCAATTAAATTTAACATGAATTATGTTTGTTGTTTGGTAGAGTTAGTAGATCATGAGTTTAATATGGATCTCATAGCGAATAGAAAGAACTAAACCCCAAAAAGAAGGTCCCCCGTCCCTTCAACCCCCAACCATCTAGAATTTTTGAACTACAATCCATAAACAATACATCAAGTAAAAAATATAGTGATTCTTCAAACTAAATTTGCTTCACACCAAGAGACAAACCAATCTATCCAGCTGATAAGCGCACTCATTTGCTTGACAACTTTTATAACATCTAAAATGTACTTGCCGGTAGTACGAATTTGAAAGAGAAATATAACTTTATGTATGAAAATATGAATTTCACAATAATTGAAAGTAGTAAAATAAAAATAATTTTATTTTTAAATGACTATGCAAGACTTTCATTTTCCGACGTGGACAAACCAACTAGTTATCACCAGAACCAAAAGGACACCAACACAAACACAAACAGCAATTAAACCTATATATTCAAACGGTAATGGTTGGAAAACATGTACATATATGTATATAGTCCTCTTTAATTATTCAAGAAGAACAATTCCAAACCTATCGACATGAAGTTCAACAGTGACTAGTAACTAGTACTGATCGCAATTCTGCGGCAAAATCATTTGGAAATGTTTTAAAAATAACTGAAAATATTTTTGGTGAAAATATTTTTAGAACAAATTCTTAGAAAACATATAAGTAAATCCTGAAAAGGTACTTGAAGTGCTTCTTACGGGAACCACTTCAGTGTGTTTGAAACCCAAATTTTTTTTCTCTAAAAGCATTTTTAGTCATTTTAGAGGCACTTCCAAACAAGTTCCAAAAAACAAAAATGTTAGAATTGAAATTTTCGGATTTGGATCCTCTCCGAAGCAACTAGTCGGGATCCTACTGACCAGTGTTAGTGGACCGTTAGATTTTTTTCTAACGGCTACAAACAGATGACCCTCTAAAAGTTACAATAATTGTAGTCGTTGGATAAAAATTCAATTGTCCACTAACACTGGTCAGGATCTCCTGACCAGTTGTCTCGGAGAGGATCCAAATCCGAAATTTTCATCCAAGAGAAGAGAGCTCTGTGGTTTTGACAAGAAAACGTATTATTTTCCTTCAATTCTCATCCTTTCGAGTTTAAAAAGACTCTCAATTGGTTCAAACTTCAAACTTGAGCTGACAACTCCCTTTGATTTGAACACAGTTTCAAATCTTCCTCTTGTCCTCCAATTTGGTCTGTTATAATTCCACAAAGAATAAAATAATTGTAAAAGTAAGGGCAGTGGGCACCAAGACTAAAAACAACAACGACAAAGTGATAGGCATACTGCATACAGGTTTTATATCCCACATCCGCTGGTGGAAGAAGTACGTTAGTGAAGTGGCATATAAAAACACAAGCCAAACTTGAAGAAAAGCATACCTTTCTCGGCCTTTTGGCTAAGATCAAGTGTAGTATCTGTTCTTATCAGTTTAATATCTGATACGTGGACCAATGGTTCACATGATATTAAATTAATTTCTTTAGGGAGAGAGTTCACCACAATAGCTTGCTATTGGGGCTCTCAAGCGTTGCCCAAACGTTGCACTACAGCATGGGCCTGGCGCATCCCACCAAATCTAGTTAGAATTTTCGTGCTTACACTCTTCAATTACAATGGTTGTGGCTAAAACATAGTTTTGGGAGCATCTCCTGTTGTCTTTTATCCCTCAAATCCATTCAATATTTCACACAAATCACAAGCTATCTATCATAAAGTCACTTCTAACACTTAAAATGTCTGAGAAAGTGAGGAGGGGTGTCATATTAAAGCATCTCCAATGGGAGACTCGATAATAGGGTATTCACCACTATTGTTAAGAACCTCTTTAGGACATCTCCAATGGGAGACTAGATAACAAGTGCGTTGTGGGGCATGCATTGTCGCTGCGCTTTGCAGCTTCAGCATTAACGTGGGTTCAAGCCCACTTTCTCCGATTCTTCAAACTGGGTACACCATTTATGAGTCCTTATCCGCATCCTTACATTTGAGGATTTTTATAGGAATTCCGGCGAGTCCCTATTCTTTACTATACTCTAGGGACTTCTTTTCCGGCCCATTGGAAGCCTTATGTCCCTAAATATGAGGTTTATACGGTGGTAGGAACGCACCCTTGCCCTGACCTCTCTTTCGTCACCTCCGGCCACCAGCTTGAGAGTTCGGTGGCATGTTTCTCCCATTCCGGCAAGAAATCCAGGGGATCCGCTCATTCGGGTCAGCACTCTATCTTGGACAACCCAAAAACATTTCAACAATTTTGTGGGAGCTCGATCATAACTGCAACCCATTTTTACAAAATCGATTAGATAACCCAATTTTCCAAAAGTTTTAAGTATCGAACTATTCCATGATGTGTTAAGAAAAAGATATTAACAAATGGATGAATGCATATATTAAAAAAAAAGGAAAAAGAAAAGAGATTTATATGATATGCAAACTACTACTCTGCCGACGCAAAAGCGTGAATACAAGAAGTACATAAAAAAAACAAAGGGTCTTTCCTCAAATTTTTTTATGGTATCTAGAGCCAGGTTATGCACATGAGCAACATACATATTTTATAGCAACATACGAGTAACATGACTCCGATACCATGATAGAAGCCACTTTTAAACGACTACGCAAAACTTTCATTCTTCGATGGGGACAATTCAGCTCATTGTAACTACAACCATAAAGATGACAAGACAAATACAAACGATAATTAAACACAACCCGAACACTTTCCCAACTTTATGGGAAATTCTGTCAAGATTCCAGGGTTGAGCTAGCAACCCACTACTATTCACACCGATAGTGTCCCAATTATATCAAATCAGGTCATAATTTCATTCACAATTTTTTATCTAGTAATATGGAGATACAACTCTTGTAGGACAAGGAAACAAAACTCCTAATCTAATAAAAAATACAATCCTATAAAGACATAAAATAAATACATTCATATTTTAATTTCACTCACTCAACTCAATATATGACTTTTATAAGTGATAGGCATACATGTTTTATGTACCATATCGACCACTGGGGACAAGTATGTTTCTGAAGAGGCCTATATAAACACAAGCCAAAGTTGAGATAAAGCATACCTTTCTCGGCCTTTTGGCTAAGATCAAGTGTAGTATCTGTTCTTATCAGTTTAATATCTGATACGTGGGCCAATGGTTCACATGATATTAAATTAATTTTTTTAGGGAGAGAGTCTACTACAATAGCTTGCTATTGAGACTTTCGAGTGTCGCTCAAGCGTTGCACTATAGCATGGGCCTGGCGCATCCCACCAAATCTAGTTAGAATTTTCGAGCTTTCACTCTTCAATGCTCCAATATGTTAAGAAGTAGAAACGGTTTTGAGTTTTTTTTGGAGATTACAAAGGTTGTGGCTCATAGTTTTGGGAGCATCTCCAGTTGTCTTTTATCCCTCAAATCCATTCAATATTTCACACAAATCACAAGCTATCTATCATAAAGTCACTTCTAACACTTAAAATGTCTGAGAAAGTGATGAGGGGTATCCATATTAGAGCATCTCCAATAGGAGACTCGATAATAAGGTCTCCACCATTGTTAAGGACCTCTTTAGGACTCAACAAGTATATTCGAGTCCCTAACAAAATATTTACTTCAATGAAGGAGTCCCTACAGTTGAATCCCCAAACAAATATAAAAAGGAAAGAAAAAAAAAAGATTGGGAGTTTGAAAAGTATCTCTTTGATCTACAACAATAAAAAAGAGAAAAACATAAGAAACAATCTAAGTTGTTGATTTTAACAGAGTAAAAAAGAAAAGGTAAATAACAAGTGCGTTGTAGGGCATGCATTGGAAGCCTTATGTCCTGAAATATGAGGTTTATACGGTGGTAGGAACTCACCCTTGCCCTGACCTCTCTTTCGTCGCCTCCGGCCACCAGCTTGAGAGTTCGGTGGCATGTTTCTCCCATTCCGGCAGGAAATCGAGGGGATCCGCTCATTCGGGTCAGGACTTGGTTCTCACCACTTATAATTATCTTGGACAACCCAAAAACATTTCAACAATTTTGTGGGAGCTCATTCGGGTCAGCACATATCTTTAAATGACTATGCAAGACTTTCATTTTCCGACATGGACAAATTAACTAGTTATCACCAGAACCATAAGGACACCAACACAAACACAAACAGCAATTAAACCTATATGTTCATACGGTAATGGTTGGAAAACATATACATGTATGAATATAATCCTCTTTAATTATTCAAGAAGAACAATTCCAAACCTATCGACATGAAGTTCAACAGTGACTAGTAACTAGTACTGGTCGCCATTCTACGACAAACTATTTGGAAGTGCTTTAAAAATAACTACAAGTGTTTTTGATGAAAATATTTTTAGAACCAATTCTTAGTAAAAATACAAGTAAATCCTAGAAAATCACTTGAAATGCTTCTTGGAGGAAACACATAACTAGTGCTTCTTATGGGAAGCACTTCCAAGTGTTTTTGAAACCCAATTTTTTTTTTTTCTCTAAAAGCATTTTTAGTCATTTTAAAGGCACCAAACAAGTCCCCAAAAAGCAAAAACTTCAGGATTGAAATTTTCATCCAAGAGGAGAGCTCTGTGGTTTTACACGAAAATGTATTATTTTCTTTCAATCCTCATCCCTTCGAGTTTAAAAGACTCTCAATTGGTTCAAACTTGAGCTGACAACTCCCTTTGATTTGAACACAGTTTCAAATCTTCCTCTTGTCCTCCAATTTGGTCTGTTTTAATTCCACAAAGAATAAAATAATTGTAAAATTAAGGGCAGTGGGCACTAAGACTTAAAACAACAAAGACAAAAGTGATAGACATACTGCATACAGGTTTTATATCCCACATCCGCTGGTGGAAGAAATACTTTAGTGAAGTGGCATATAAAAACACAAGCCAAACTTGAAGAAAAGCATACCTTTCTCGGCCTTTTGGCTAAGATCAAGTGTAGTATCTGTTCTTATCAGTTTAATATCTGATACGTGGATCAATGGTTCACATGATATTAAATTAATTTTTTTAGGGAAAGAGTTTACTACAATAGCTTGCTATTGGGGCTCTTAAGTGTCGCTCAAGCGTTGCACTATAGCATGGGCGTGGCGCATCCCACCAAATCTAGTTAGAATTTTCGAGCTTTCACTCTTCGATTGTCCAATATGTTAAGAAGAAGTATAACGGTTTTGAGGTTATTTTGGAGATTAAAATGGTTGTGGCTCATAGTTTTGGGAGCATCTCCAGTTGTCTTTTATCCCTCAAATCCATTCAATATTTCACACAAATCACAAGCTATCTATCATAAAGTCACTTCTAACACTTAAAATGTCTGAGAAAGTGAGGAGGGGTGTCATATTAGAGCATCTCCAATAGGAGATTCGATAATAAGGTCTTTACCATTGTTAAGGACCTCTTTAGGACTCAACAAGTATATTCGAGTCCCTAACAAAATATTTACTTCAATGAAGGAGTCCCTACAGTTGAATCCCCAAACAAATATAAAAAGGAAATTAAAAAAAAAAAAGATTGGGATTTTGAAAAGTATCACTTCGATCTGCAACAATAAAAAAAAGAAAAACATAAGAAACAATCTAAGCTGTTGATTTTAACAGAGCAAAAAAGAAAAGGTAGATAACAAGTGCGTTGTGGGGCATGCATTGTTGCTGCGCTTTGCAGCTTCAGCATTCACGTGGGTTCAAGCCCACTTTCTCCAATTCTTCAAACTGGGTACACCATTTATGAGTCTTTATCCGCATCCTTACATTTGAGGATTTTTATAGGAATTCCGGCGAGTCCTTATACTTTTCCTATACTTTAGGGACTTATTTTCTGGCCCATTAGAAGCCTTATGTCCCTAAATATGATGTTTATATGGTGGTAGGAACTCACCCTTGCCCTGACCTCTCTTTCGTCACCTCCGGCCACCAGCTTGAGAGTTCGGTGGCATGTTTCTCCCATTCCGGCAATAAATCCAGGGGATCCGCTCATTCGGGTCAGGACTTGGCTCTCACCACTTATAATTATCTTGGACAACCCAAAAACATTTCAACAATTTTGTGGGAGCTCATTCGGGTCAGCACATATCTTTAAATGACTATGCAAGACTTTCATTTCCGGACGTGGACAAATCAACTAGTTATCACCAGAACCAAAAGGACACCAAAACAAACACAAACAGCAATTAAAGCTATATGTTCATACGGTAATGGTTGGAAAACACATACAAATATGAATATAATCCTCTTTAATTATTCAAGAAGAACAATTCCAAACCTATCGACATGAAGTTCAACAGTGACTAGTAACTAGTAATGATCGCCATTCTGCGGCAAACTCATTTGGAATTGCTTTAAAAATAACTAAAAGTGTTTTTGGTGAAAATATTTTTAGAACCAATTCTTAGTAAAAATACAAGTAAATCCTAGAAAATCACTTAAAGTGTTTCTTGGAGGAAACACATAACTAGTGTTTCTTACAAGAAGCACTTCAAGTGTGTTTGAAACCCAAATTTTTTTTCTCTAAAATCATTTTTAGTCATTTTAAAGGCACCAAACAAGTCCCGAAAAGCAAAAACTTTAGGATTGAAATTTTCATCCAAGAGAAGAGAGCTCTGTGGTTTTACACGAAAATGTATTATTTTCTTTCAATCCTCATCCCTTCGAGTTTAAAAAGACTCTCAATTGGTTCAAACTTGAGCTGACAACTCCCTTTGATTTGAACACAGTTTCAAATCTTCCTCTTGTCCTCCAATTTGGTCTGTTTTAATTCCACAAAGAATAAAATAATTGTAAAATTAAGGGCAGTGGGCACTAAGACTTAAAACAACAAAGACAAAAGTGATAGACATACTGCATACAGGTTTTATATCCCACATCCGCTGGTGGAAGAAATACTTTAGTGAAGTGGCATATAAAAACACAAGCCAAACTTGAAGAAAAGCATACCTTTCTCGGCCTTTTGGCTAAGATGAAGTGTAGTATCTGTTCTTATCAGTTTAATATCTGATACGTGGATCAATGGTTCACACGATATTAAATTAATTTTTTAGGGAGAAAGTCTATAACAATAGCTTGCTATTGGGGCTCTCGAGTGTCACCCAAGCGTTGCACTATAGCATGGGCTTGGCGCATCCCACCAAATCTAGTTAGAATTTTCGAGCTTTCACTCTTAGTGGTCCAATATGTGGTTCCTTAACAGTAATCGCTTAACAAGTAGAACGGTTTTGAGTATTTTTTTTTTTTTTTGGAGATTACAATGGTTGTGGCTAAAACACTAGTTTTGGGAGCTTCTCCAGTTGTCTTTCATCCCTCAAATCCCTTCAATATGTCACACAAATCACAAGCTATCTTTCATAAAGTCACTTCTTACATTTAAAATGTGCATCTCCAATGCGAGGCTCGATAATAGGGTCTTCACAATTGTTAAGGATCTCTTTAGGACTCAACAAGTATATTCGAGTCTCTAACAAAATATTTACTTCAATGAAGGAGTCCCTACACTTGAATCCCCAAACAAATATAGAAAGGAAAAAAAAAAAGATGGGGAGTTTGAAAAGTAGCTCTTCGATCTCCAACAATAATTTTGAAGAATTTTCACTTTGCTTGCTGCCAATCTAATTCTTTTTTCTTTAACCAAAGTTTTCAAATTTGAATTTTATAAATGGCGATTTTGTAACCAAAATTAAATTCTAAGGTAAAACTACATTAAAGTAAAAGGTTTTTGGAAGGTTTTGAAATTGAAAAGAAAAGAAAGAAGCGGGACTGCTTTTCTGATTGCCCAAAATCTAGCAAGAGAATAAAAAGCCCAAAGATATTAAAATTCTCTAATAAAAACCCTAAACCTTAATCGTGTTCACGTTTGGTATCATGTTATAATACAAATAGTTAAATTTTATTTTCAAGTGTCTGATTAATTGTGTCACTCAATGCTACGGTTCGGTGATATTCCTATTCACTTAGAAGTAAAAAGTCTTAGGTTTAAATCTCGTGGATGGCGAATTCAATCTAAATTAAGTTGTTTATTGTGTAGCTTAGTCGAATTCTCAATCTCTTTAGTATCAAAATATCGATAAACTCAACAAAAAAAATCTAATTAATTGTATTATTATATTTAGTATATTAAACTATGTTCTCATAAAACTAAAATTTTTAACCAAAAAGAGTCTTCATCTCTTTCTCCTCGGCTTTCCACTTTCTGGAGGGAGTGTGACCATCCATATGACTTGCGAGTGTGACCTTAAAATTTGACAAAATAGAAATGAAAATTATTAGTGATGCCATAATAGAGAGAAATAATGATATATTCTGCTTTTATGATTTCCAATCAGATAGAGTATCTTTGGGTTCAACGCAAACATTCAAGTACAATCAAACATTATTTGTAAATTTGAACGTAAATCATAATATATTATGTGCGTTATGATTTCTAATAGGAGAGAGAATCTTCTTTAGATTCATTTTGTGAGGATCCTAAGAATCTCCATATCTTAGTCGTTCATCGTATATCATGCAGTTAGTTTTCATCATATACTATTTGTGTTTAATTTTAAATAAAAAAATCAAATAATTTTTTACTGCACGATACACGATGAATGATTAAGATGTGGGGATCCCTAAGATCCTCACAAAGTAGATCCATATAGGATCCAATTCCCAACTGGATAGGATTTTTTTGGATTTGAAGGAAAATATACTTACATTCAAATTCAATCATCAATTCGAACTGAAATTAATTATCAAACAAGATATCAATATTCAATTTTGGAAAAAATCGAAAACAAAAAACAAATGGTTATCAAACGGCCTTGGTTATAGACTAGATCAAGAAGGTTGAACGACTCTACAAACATGAAATGAGGTGTATATGAGGACGCACCTAAAACCACCGTCACTCTACTCTAACTTACGAACTATTGGTCACTTAGTATTATGGTCTAATGACATTTTTCTTCACTTACAAAACATTTATCTTCACTTGTAAATGAGAGCTCTTAGGTTTGATTCTTACCAAAGTCAAATTTGAACCATATTATTACGTATTATTGTGAGGCTAAGCTCTCACTCTCTTAATATTTTTTTTTTAGTTTTTAATAATATTTTATTATTATTTTTAATTGAAAGTGGGCTCCGAATCAAGCCGCGTCAGCATTTAACTGAGAAATAAACGGCTAAGCTAACAGAAGCTATAACATTGGCACAAATTCTAAAGATGAGGTATGACATTGTCAATTTTAAAAGATGAGGTATGAAAGTGTCGTGACACCAATAGTTGAGGTAGTTTTTTGTACTTTGCTCAAAAAAAACTTACAAACCATTTACACCATAATCTTGATTATGTTCTTATAAAAGATCCACTCGTAAACCAGCCCAATAAAATCCTGCTGGACCGGCCGACCAAGGCCCAAGGCTATGAACATATCTTTCTCACACAAAATACAACTACTTGCCCAACTGATGTGATATTTTATAGTTAACGAATGTTGCAGATTCATCGAGACGAAGAAAGTACAATGGCGTTGCTGGATACTACAATCGTGTCACAAATGCAAGCCTAATTCTTTAAAGGGGTAATTTGCTTAAGGTTGTCAAAAAAAAAAAAAAAAAAATCAATTGATGGCTTCACTTCGGCAGTCCACCATTCCGGCGGCATGAAATACTCACAAAGACACTTCAATCTCCTCTTAGCCACTATCGAATTATTTATCACTTTCAGAAATCGAACTCAAAATGTGTCATGTGGAATATTGACCTTAGTTGAAGGAATGATTATGTACATGTAAAAGAGCTAAGTAATGATTTTGGAGGAATAATTTTGCAAACCTTAGTTGGAGGAATGATTTTGCAACTAAGGATAACTAAGATTGCCTCCATTAGTTTGCATTTTACATAAATAATACTCTTGGCCTAGTTAGTTGTTTAGAGTAGGTAGTAAAGCATGAAAATTTCTTACAAAGCGGGTGCAAATAAATTTCTTACAAAGTGGGCGCAAATGCCCCCAATAGGACTTATATATCTCCGCAGGTGAATTTATACATTTTAGATAGATATTGTCCGCCTTATCATGTTCAAGCAATCGGCCACTGACAACAAATAAGAATGGTTGTTGGTAGGCAACACCGTTTAAAACGCTCTACTAAGGGTAGGTCGGCAAGTCGTGAGCTTATTGAATGGATAATCTGAATTGATGTTTCAATGACGTTAAATTCAGAATTGTGGTATTCTTACAACAACTTTATAAACTAGGCATATCGATGATTGAGATAGTAGTGAACTAAATTGACTTAAATTAAAATTTAAAGTATTTCTCTTCATTTGGAAGTGAGAGGTCTTAGGTTCGAATCTCGTGAATAATGAATTCAATATCAAATTATGCTACCCATTGTATGGCTTTGTTGAACTCTTCTTCTCTTTAGTATAAAAATATCGATGTACTAAAAGAAAAAAATTCAAAGGGCAAAGAAGATCATAAAATTTTAGGAAGGTTTAACAAAACACTTCCGGTACTGTTTATTTTTAACGAAAAATTATAATTACACTTTTTCATGGTATTATTCATTATACCTTTAAAAATGATTTTTCATTAAAATGGAAGTTTTTTTTTTTTTTAAACTTTTCATTAGTTTTTTTAAAATTTTATCAAAGCATGGAATGGATTGTCCTAGGGAAAAGAATACCGTTACGTGTTTGTACCCAAATAAGGATTTTACTGGATTGTTCTTGCTTTGGGAAATGAAAAAGGCTTCGGGCAGCTACTTCGTGTCCCACATCGATAGGCTGTGGGATTGCCACGCGGTGAAGAGCATTTAAAAGGACGCGAAAATTAACAAGAAAAGCATCTTTGCGCTTGGGGCAATGACGCAGTTAATGAGGTTCTAACCGAGACGCGTCTATTGCTGGTTGAAAACTATTTCCAAACCCCCTCTTAGGCCTTGATTCAATCAAGTGCCTTTGAGAATTTCTGGAAGAGCTTTCTCTTTGGAGTGAGCTCTACAATATCTAGTTTTAAATTTTATTATATTCTTTGTAATACGATTCTTTCTTATTTTTTTGATGAGAGTTTTAGAAATTTGTAAGTTGTTTTTGTTTATCATACATTGTTCGGTTAGTTTTTATTAAGTATGATTTATGTGTATTTTTAAATAAAAATATTTAAAATAATTTTTAATCATACGATGTACGATGAATGGACACGATTCACAAATTCTCGTCATATTCTTTTGGGTTGTATTCATAATTCATACAGAAAAACTATAAAATATTTCCATAATTTATTTGAAAACAAAATAAAATTGTGCATGGTGTGGGCCACTGTTTTCGTCTAAGTGCTTATTGGGTTTCGTCATTGTGTGTTGGATTAATCAACTGCCAGGTTGCTTCCGCATGGCTAATCCTTACATTAATCGAAGCTCTGGCACTGTAACAAGAGTGGTGGACCGGATAGAATGGCTCATTAGGTTATGAATTGAGGATTTGTTATGTTAGGATTGGAAGGAATAGGTTGAGATATTTGGCAGCAAACATGTCAATTAGATTAGGATTAGAAGGGATAGGTTGAGATACTTGTCTAGTGTTTGGTGTAAACAAATCAAAGAAATGTCGTCCAACAACAACAATCTCAACATATCCCAGCAAGCATGGCATTCTACCAGCAAGCATCAAACCACAATAATCGTGATCCACAACCAAGGTCAAGTGTCAATCCGTGATGTTATTTAGGTGCATTCAAACAATGGTTAGGATTTATCGCCTACACAACTAGATTTGTTGCAGCTACAAATTTAAATGTGTAATGCTAAAAGTTAGGACGAATAACTTGTGTCTTTATGCCTTTTTTTGGTAGAGGCCAGATTAAATAGGATAAGTGCAGTTAAATTTAACATGAATTATGTTTGTTGTTTGGTAGAGTTAAGTATATCATGAGTTTGATATGGATCTCATAGCGAATAGAAAGAGCTAAACCCCTAAAAGAAGGTCCCCCGTCCCTTCAAACCCAACCATCTGGAATTTTTGAACTACAATCCATAAACAATACATAAAGTAAAAAATTTGGTGGTTCTTCAAACTAAATTTGCTTTGCACCAAGAGACAAACCAAATCCATCCAACTGATAAGCGCAATTGATTGCTTGACAACATTTACAATTTGAATTGAGTCACCTCTAAAATGTACTTGCCAGTAGTATGAATTTGGAAGAGAAACGTAACTTTATGTATGGAAGTGTGAATCTCATGATATTTGAGAGTAGTAAAGTAAAAATAATCCTGTTTTTAAATGACTATGCAAGACTTTCATTTTCCGATTTGGACAAATCAACTAGTTATCACCAGAACCATAAGGACACCAATACAAACACAAACAGCAATTAAACCTATATATTCATATGGTAATGGTTGGAAAACATATACATATATGTATATAATCGTCTTTAATTATTCAAGAAGAACAATTCCAAACCTATCGACATGAAGTTCAACAGTGACTGGTAACTAGTACTGATCGCAATTCTGCGGCGAACTCATTTGGAAGTGGTTTAAAAATAAATGGAAACGCTTTTGGTGAAAATATTTTTATAACCAATTCTAAGTAAAAATACAAGTAAATCCTGGAAAAACACTTGAAGTGCTTCTTGAAAGAAACACATAATTGGTGCTTCTTACGGGAGTGTGTTTGAAACTCAAAAACATTGTATTTGAAAGTGTTTTTAGTTATTTTAAAGGCATTTCTGAACAAGTCCCAAAAAGAAAAAACTTTAAAGTTGAAATTTTCATGCAAGAGAAGAGAATGCTCTGTGGTTTTACAAGAAAATGTATTATTTTCTTTCAATACTCATCCTTTCGAGTTTAAAAAGACACTCAATTGGTTCAAAACTTGAGCTGACAACTCCCTTTGATTTGAACACAGTTTCAAATCTTCCTCTTGTCCTCCAATTTGGTCTGTTTTAATTCCACAAAGAATAAAATAATTTTAAAATTAAGGGTAGTGGGCACCAAGACTTAAAACAACGAAGACAAAGTGATAGGCATACTGCATCCAGGTTTTATATCCCACATCCGCTGGTGGAAGAAGTACGTTAGTGAAGTGGCATATAAAAACACAAGCCAAACTTGAAGAAAAGCATACCTTTCTCGGCCTTTTGGCTAAGATCAAGTGTAGTATCTGTTCTTATCAGTTTAATATCTGATACGTGGACCAATGGTTCACATGATATTAAATTAATTTCTTTAGGGAGAGAGTTCACCACAATAGCTTGCTATTGGGGCTCTCAAGCGTTGCCCAAGCGTTGCACTACAGCATGGGCCTGGCGCATCCCACCAAATCTAGTTAGAATTTTCGTGCTTACACTCTTCAATTACAATGGTTGTGGCTAAAACATAGTTTTGGGAGCATCTCCTGTTGTCTTTTATCCCTCAAATCCATTCAATATTTCACACAAATCACAAGCTATCTATCATAAAGTCACTTCTAACACTTAAAATGTCTGAGAAAGTGAGGAGGGGTGTCATATTAAAGCATCTCCAATGGGAGACTCGATAATAGGGTATTCACCACTATTGTTAAGAACCTCTTTAGGACATCTCCAATGGGAGACTAGATAACAAGTGCGTTGTGGGGCATGCATTGTCGCTGCGCTTTGCAGCTTCAGCATTAACGTGGGTTCAAGCCCACTTTCTCCGATTCTTCAAACTGGGTACACCATTTATGAGTCCTTATCCGCATCCTTACATTTGAGGATTTTTATAGGAATTCCGGCGAGTCCCTATTCTTTACTATACTCTAGGGACTTCTTTTCCGGCCCATTGGAAGCCTTATGTCCCTAAATATGAGGTTTATACGGTGGTAGGAACGCACCCTTGCCCTGACCTCTCTTTCGTCACCTCCGGCCACCAGCTTGAGAGTTCGGTGGCATGTTTCTCCCATTCCGGCAAGAAATCCAGGGGATCCGCTCATTCGGGTCAGCACTCTATCTTGGACAACCCAAAAACATTTCAACAATTTTGTGGGAGCTCGATCATAACTGCAACCCATTTTTACAAAATCGATTAGATAACCCAATTTTCCAAAAGTTTTAAGTATCGAACTATTCCATGATGTGTTAAGAAAAAGATATTAACAAATGGATGAATGCATATATTAAAAAAAAAGGAAAAAGAAAAGAGATTTATATGATATGCAAACTACTACTCTGCCGACGCAAAAGCGTGAATACAAGAAGTACATAAAAAAAACAAAGGGTCTTTCCTCAAATTTTTTTATGGTATCTAGAGCCAGGTTATGCACATGAGCAACATACATATTTTATAGCAACATACGAGTAACATGACTCCGATACCATGATAGAAGCCACTTTTAAACGACTACGCAAAACTTTCATTCTTCGATGGGGACAATTCAGCTCATTGTAACTACAACCATAAAGATGACAAGACAAATACAAACGATAATTAAACACAACCCGAACACTTTCCCAACTTTATGGGAGATTCTGTCAAGATTCCAGGGTTGAGCTAGCAACCCACTACTATTCACACCGATAGTGTCCCAATTATATCAAATCAGGTCATAATTTCATTCACAATTTTTTATCTAGTAATATGGAGATACAACTCTTGTAGGACAAGGAAACAAAACTCCTAATCTAATAAAAAATACAATCCTATGAAGACATAACATAAATACATTCATATTTTAATTTCACTCACTCAACTCAATATATGACTTTTATAAGTGATAGGCATACATGTTTTATGTACCATATCGACCACTGGGGACAAGTATGTTTCTGAAGTGGCCTATATAAACACAAGCCAAAGTTGAGATAAAGCATACCTTTCTCGGCCTTTTGGCTAAGATCAAGTGTAGTATCTGTTCTTATCAGTTTAATATCTGATACGTGGGCCAATGGTCCACACGATATTAAATTAATTTTTTTAGGGAGAGAGTCCACTACAATAGCTTGCTATTGGGGCTCTCAAGTGTCGCCCAAGCGTTGCACTATAGTATGGGCCTGGCGCATCCCACCAAACATAGTTAAAACTTATACAAACCCATTAGTCCCACCAGCAAAAGAAGGATGGAGGGAGAGCTAAAACCACTAGATACTATTGCAATGACCGATACAAATGCAAACCCTGACACTAAGGATTTCTCGTTGTACTGGACTCGGGTTATGTATATTAACACCATGATTTATTTAAGGCCTTCCAATCCGTGCACACACTATGGCTCTGCCTCTTGTAACAGAATGTTGGATGCAGTTAGACAGAGATAGAGGTCAAGACTTATAGTTAAACCTTCCATCTCCGAAAAATATATGAATACTTATCCTAGAACGTTTGAGCAAACTAAGGAAACAAAGTGCTCTTAGCCGAAGAAAAAGGACCTATTGACGCAACACCAAATCCTCAGATTAATCTGTTATAAATATGAGGTTTATACGGCGGTAGGAACTCACCCTTGCCCTGACCTCTCTTTCGTCACCTCCGGCCACCAGCTTGAGAGTTCGGTGGCATGTTTCTCCCATTCCGGCAAGAAATCCAGGGGATCCGCTCATTCGGGTCAGCACTCTTATCTTGGACAACCCAAAAACATTTCAACAATTTTGTGGGAGCTCGATCATAACTGCAACCCATTTTTACAAAATCGATTAGATAACCCAATTTTCCAAAAGTTTAAGTATCGAACTATTCCATGATGTGTTAAGAAAAACATAATACAAATGGATGAACGCGTATATTTTAAAAAATAAAATAAAATAAAAGGAGATTGGGGGGTATATGATATGCAAACTACTACTCTGCCGACGCAAAAGCGTGAATACAACAAGTAGATAAAAAAAAAAGGGCCTTTCCTCAAAAAAATTTATGGTATCTAGAGCCAGGTTATACACATGAGCAACATATATATTTTATAGCAACATGCGAATAACATGACTCTGATACCATGATAGAAGTCACTTTTAAACGACTACGCAAAACTTTCATTCTCCGATGTGGGACAATTTAGCTCATTGTAACTACAACCATAAAGATGACAAGACAAATACAAATGATAATTAAACACGACCCGAACATTGTCCCAACTTTATGGGAGATTCTGTCAAGATTCCAGGGTTGAACTAGCAACCCACTACTATTGACACCGATAGTGTCAGAATTATATCAAGTCAGGTCAGAATTTCATTCACAATTTTATATCTAGTAATATGGAGATACAACTCTTGTAGGACAAGGAAACAAAACTCCTAATCTAATAAAAAATACAATCCTATAAAGACAAAACATAAATACATTCATATTTTAATTTCACTCACTCAACTCAATATATGACTTTTATAAGTGATAGGCATACATGTTTTATGTACCATATCGACCACTGGGGACAAGTATGTTTCTGAAGAGGCCTATATAAACACAAGCCAAAGTTGAGATAAAGCATACCTTTCTCGGCCTTTTGGCTAAGATCAAGTGTAGTATCTGTTCTTATCAGTTTAATATCTGATACGTGGGCTAATGGTCCACACGATATTAAATTAATTTTTTTAGGGAGAGAGTCCATTACAATAGCTTGCTATTGGGGCTCTCAAGCGTCGTCCAAGCGTTGCACTATAGCATGGGCCCGGCGCGTCCCACCAAAGATAGTTTAAACTTATACAAAGACCCATTAGTCCCAATCAACCTTGCAACATTAAAATGGCGAACACAGAACTAAAGCCTCCCTATTTCTTTCTTGAAACCTTCTGTTGCAACTTGCAACTCAAGTATATGAAATCCAGTGCGATGTAGATTGTATGACAAAGGTGGAGTGTTGCCTCAGGACGAGAATTCTAAGAACTCACAACATTTGGTTCCTTGGCAACACAAAGAATATGAAACCAGTAAATGGAGGACAGAGGGAAAACTAAAACCACTAGATACTATTGCAATGACCGATACAAATACAAACCCTGACACTAAGGATTTTTCGTTGTATTGGACTCGGGTTATGTATATTAAACACCATGATTTATTTAAGGCATTCCAATCCGTGCGCACACTATGGCTTTGCCTCTTGTAACAGAATGTTGGATGCAGTTAGACAGAGTTAGAGGTCAAGACTTATAGTTAAACATTCTATCTCCGAAAAATATATGAATACTAATCCTAGAACGTTTGAGCAAACTAACGAAACAAAGTGATGTTAGCTGAAGAAAAAGGAACTATTGACGCAACACCAAATCCTCAGATTAATCTGTCATAAAATGAAAGGAAAATTCGAAACATTTAGAAATCAGATGAAGAACACTTACTTGTATAACCTTCCTTTACCAGTAATCTCCACAAGAACATTTCCCATCTTTAAAGTGATGAAATCTACTAGCATCACGTACAATAATCTCTCGGTTTTTTATTAGAGATATGTACTTAATAGCAACATGACAATCAGTGCAAATGCGCAAATTCTTCATCACCCTTACTGGTACACCCTCAGGAGTGTTCATTAAGGCGAAAGCAATCGCCAACTTCTCACTATGGTGTGCCAAGTTATATTCTTTCTCCTCGTTATCCATATCATGCAAAACAGAGCCGATATCAGGCACATAACCATGCAACTTCAACTCTGATGTTAGCTCTTTAAGATACAAATCAATCTCTCTAGATTGGGGGTGCGATTTATCACCGATGCAGAACTGGTGAACTTGATTTTTAATTTCCAGCCAGCTTATACCTGGCTCCTTCTTGACCTTTCTATCTCTCATCGTTTTTCTCATCTCAGAAACATCATGCCACCTTCGAGCTAAAGCATGGATGTTCGAGAGTAGCACATAGGATGCTGAGTCCTGTGGATCTTGCCTAATAACTTCTTCAGCAATCCTTCTTGCCATGTCTGCGTTCTTGTGGATTTTACATGCAGATAACAAAGTTTTCCAAATGATAGCATCTGCTTTAACAGGAATTGATCGTATCATTGCCTCGGCTTCCTCCAAACAGCCAGATCGGCCAAGCAGGTCAACCACACATGTATAGTGTTCTAATTTAGGATGTAGTCCATACTTTTCGACCATAGAGTTGAAGAACTCAAGTCCTTTGTCCTTCAACCCGCAATGACTGCACGCATAAAGCAAACTCAAGAAAGTAACATCATTTGCCTCCAATTCTTCCTGCTTCATCTCCTCAAACAGCTTAATGGCGTTCTCTCCTTGTCCATGAAACCCATAGGCAGAAATCATAGAACTCCACGTTACAGCATCTCCACCTTCACTTTCCATGAAAGCTTTCAGAGAATCATCAAGACACCCACATCTCGAATACATGCTAATTAACGAACTAATCACCGCAACAACTGTGCTAGCCCCAGCTTTAATTGCTTCAGCATGAATTTGCTGACCCTGTCCAAGTGTTGCCAATTCTGCACACGAACTAATAACACTAACAAAAGTGACCTGATCAGGCCTGAAACCAGCAATTTTCATCAAGTTATACTGATCCAGCACTCCCTCGAGATGCCCATTCTGAGCTTTTCCCGCAATAATAGTATTCCAAGCAACCACACTGCGAATTGGCATCGATGTAATCACTTTTTCTCCTTCCACCAAGCTACCCGACTTCATATACATATGAGCCAAAGAGCTCCCAACGACCAAATTAAACTCAAACCCGCATTTCATCACATAAGCGTGAACCTGACGCCCGGCACACAATGTTCTCAAACCAGCACAACCCCTCAGAACACTGCCCAAAGTGTACTCGTCGGGCAAAAACCCGAACTCGTGCATCTCAGAAAACAGACCCAGCCCCTGTTCGTTAAATTCAAACTGCGTCAACCCGGTGATCATGGCATTCCACGTAGCCACATTTCTCTCAGGCATTTCATCAAACAGCTTCTGGGCACTTTCCAAATCACCCTTCTGCACGTACCCATTGATCAAAATGTTGCAAGACATTGTGTTTCTCCTGGGGAGATGACCAAACAAGGTTAAAGCGGCATCCAAGTCTCCGACTTTGGAGTACAAGTTGAGGAGGTGATTGGATACGAACTTGTCTGCGGAACACCCAGATGTGACAATCAAAGAATGGAGCTGTTTTGCTAAAGAGAGGGACTCGCTGGGGATGCATGCTTTGAGGAGGTGTGAGAAGAGAGATGGGTCTGACCATATCTGAGATTTGAACCCCTCAAATGCTTGTTTGATGTGTCCTTTGGAGCAGAGGTTTGTGAATTGTTCTGTGGCGGCGGCGGGGGTGGTCGAGCCTCCGACAACTTTGGAGGTGGCGGAGGACAGAAAGCGTGGGGATGGAATGTTGAGTAGGGAGTAGAAAGACGACTTGCCCATACATCTGGTTCGCCGTGGCGTGTTCTGTTGAAAACGAGCAAGGAATTTTTATGTCACTAACTTACCATGTGGGGGTGCCCTTGTGTAAAATTTGAATTTAGTTTGGTTCGTTGTCAGGTCTTCTTCGAAGTTGGCACTGCTCCTTATCAAAGAGTATCCTCCTGCTCACTATATTGCAGGTTTTGTGTGAAGAATTTCTCACACGCCAATTCGCTTTTAAGTGTTTGGCTTTTTCATCATGCATGGAGTTGTCTTGACTTTGAAGTGCCGTCTCAGTTTTTGAGTGTGGGGGTGGATGATTTCAAAAGTTGGATGCCTTTTTTTTGCTTATTCTTTGACATGTTTCGCCTTCAAATCTACCAATACGACTATAAGTAGATTGGCCAAGTTGGCTCATTCTTTGATATGTCTCGCCCTCAAATCTTGAATATCCAATTTGATATTTCTATCATTTTCTGAATTTTATAATAAAATCGCTATCATTTCGTCACAAAGAATATAATAGTTGTTTCTCCTTCTGTTCTTTCCTTTTATTTTTTCTAAACTATTATAACATGTATGAATAGTAATATCATCAAACTGTTTTTTGCTGGTGTCAGACTATGAATTACAAATACAAGCTCTAATTTTATGTGAAAATTATTCTGCCCATGTCTTAATGATTATTATTATTTTATTATTATTATTTTTTTTTTTGACAAAAGATAGCGATAATAGTTTAAAAGTGTTAGTTGTTAGGGAGGAGGGGGATCAGTAAAGATCGAACTTGCATCAAAATGCACAGACATAATTATATTTCGTCATTGTAGTAAGCGCCATCTGCCAGTCTTCAATGGAGTTTACAAAGTCCAGAAGTAGAGATTAAAAATCAGGAGGGACTTTCACAGAAGAAACCAAAGGCCCAAGTATACTTGGTCATCACATTACAATACTTTACATGTGATTTAAAAAAAAAAAAGAGCTTTTATACATTTTTACCAGTTATAGAAGTTTAGCCGAGTGTTGATGACGGTATGAGTTACACACTATCTAAACAGCCACTGGTGATGGAACTGCAGCAGGGATCCGGTTTTCAACTGGGATTTCAACGAATTCGGACAAGATTGCCCGGAATTCATCTCCGGTCATTGTTTCCTTCTCAAGAAGGACCTCCACGATCTTGTCAATGGCTTCGCGGTTGTTTCTTATGTGGGTCAATGCAATCTCATATGCTTCATCCGATAATCTCTTAATAGCTAAATCAATGTCTTCAGCAAGCTTTTCTGACATTGAGTTCCTTGCCATCATTCTCATAATGACATCACCGCTCTGAGACGCGTCCATCAATGACCACGGTCCAATATCAGACATTCCGAAGGTGGTAACCATCTGCAACAATGCCAGTTAAGTTTCTCAGTATGACAGAGCTAATAGTTTCATGTCGTGTCACATTTAATAACACCAAGGATCACAGTAATCTGTGTCATCTGACAGTTTAAATTCTATGAGAAGATAACGAATAAGTTCAATTACCTGTTTGGCCAAACCAGTGATCTGCTGCAAATCACCTGCTGCACCTGTTGTCACCTCAGGCTCACCAAAGATCACTTCCTCTGCAGCTCTACCACCAAGCCCGCCAACAATTCTTGCAAATAGTTGCTGCTTGGAGATCAAGGTAGGATCATCTGCAGGAATAAACCACGTAAGACCCCGAGCCTGACCACGAGGGACTAATGTCACCTTTTGGACAGCATCATGCCCTGGAGTCAATGTCCTGCATTGAGGAGAATACAAATCATTATTCGGGTTATTTAGGTTTCTGTTTCCACAATTTTAGTTATTTGAGCTTCATAAGAACAACCAATAAAAGACTAAATTATCACTTACCCACAGATGGCGTGTCCAACTTCATGATATGCCACCAGACTTTTACTCTTTCCATCTGTCATAACTGTTCCTTCCATTCCAGCCACTATTCTATCAATCGAATCATCAATCTCTTTAGATGAAATTGCTGACTTCCCACGTCGACCAGCCAATATAGCTGCTTCATTAAGGAGGTTTGCAAGATCTGCCCCACTGAAGCCAGGTGTCCTCATGGCTACAACATCAAGAGAAACAGTTCCATCAAACTTCTTATTGCTAGCATGAACCTTTAAGATCTCTGTTCTTCCTCGTATGTCTGGGACATCAACAGACACCTGCCTGTCAAACCGGCCAGGCCTCAATAAGGCAGAGTCAAGAATATCTGCCCTGTTAGTCGCTGCAACCACGATAATACCAGTGTTGCCTTCAAAACCATCCATTTCTGTCAAAAGCTGATTAAGGGTTTGTTCCCTTTCATCGTTCCCTCCACCAATTCCAGTTCCTCTTTGCCGTCCAACAGCGTCAATTTCATCAACAAATACAATGCAAGGTGCATTCTCCTTGGCCTTCTTAAAAAGATCACGAACTCGGGAAGCACCAACCCCAACAAACATTTCAACAAATTCAGAACCTGAAATGGAGAAAAATGGAACACCCGCTTCACCAGCAATTGCCTTTGCTAGCAGAGTCTTTCCGGTTCCTGGAGGGCCAACAAGAAGAACCCCTTTAGGAATTCGAGCCCCAACAGCTGTGAACCTCTCAGGCTTCTTTAAGAATTCAACCACCTCCACAAAATCTTGCTTGGCTTCATCAACCCCAGCAACATCATCGAATGTCACTCCGGTGTTTGGTTCCATTTGGAACTTGGCTTTAGATTGACCAAATTGTAGAGGAAATCCAGGCCCACCTGGACCACCCATGCCTCCGGATGAACGCCTTGAGAGTAGGAACAAGCCCCCGATTAAAATTAGTGGGAAAGCAAGATTTCCGATCAGATTAAATAAAAGAGAGCCTGAGTCTTCTTGAGCATTATGTGCTGCAAAATCGATGTTCTTTTCCCTGAACTTCTGGAGGAGCTCTTGGCTTAGTCCCGGAAGTTGAACACGAACTCGCTGCAATCGGTTCCCTAACTCCGGAGAAACAGCCTCAACAATAGCTATGGTTCCATTCTCAAACAAATCAACTTTAGTCACCCTGCCCTTGTCCAGATACTCCAAGAACCTGGAATAAGACATCCTTGAAGAAGAGACACCTTGATCATCAGCGGCCAAAGCACTCCCCGCTCCAAGTAAAGCTGGTGCTCCTATTCCCACATTCCCAAGCAACAACTTCAGAAAGCCTCTTCTTCCCTCGTTTTGCCTTTGGTCTAGTGACGCCTTTGTGAGAACTGTTTTTGTCACTTTACCCAATGATGGAAGAGCTGAAGGGTGCAAGAGATGCCTGCCACAAAAGTCCTTGCTCAAATTTGTCTTAGTACCACGGGTAGATAACCCATTCCCCACAAGGCATGCTGATGATGCTGCCATCTGTAAGTACAATAACAAAAGGCACTTGCAAGTTTATATGCCAAATCACAGATTACTGGAAACAAAATTGAGTAATTCAACAACCTATGCAGAAGAACAAAAGATCGGAGTATAACGGAAATATGAGATCAGCTTAATATTTGATTGCACCTCAGTCCCGAAAAAAGTAGCTAAAACAGATAATTACTTTTTCAACAGTAGATAAGGGATTGTTTGGTATTTAACTTGAAAACAATTTATAGTTCCAAAAACGATGAATCTAGCTAAAATACTCGGAACTCATTTGTTTCAAAAACAAAAAATTGGATTCAAGACGGATACCAAGCAGGCCCTAAATTTATCGAATCTCAATTCATACCATCCTAATGATCTTAAGACAAAAATGTCACATAAATAAACATTACAAATTAGAGCAATTCAACATTTAACAGAACAAGATGAATGAACATCAAGATTGCAACAGTGAAGCAACTTCTACCGCCTTTTTACCCAACACATGCAATTCTTTTCAGTTAATTTTTTTTCAGAAAATCCATTCAACCAAAAGCAAAAAATAAAAAATAAAAAGCAATCAGGTGACATGAACTGATGGAGTGTTTACAAAGACGCAACTTTCTGGTTCAATAAATTCACAAAATAATGGAAACAAAAACTTAAATCATTAAAAATCATAGCTTTCTTCAAGAAGCAAGCACCCAGTTGACATTTACAGCAGCAAAAAATCCCATTGAGGAAAAGCACATCAAACACATGTCTAGATTTTGTTTGTTTTCCAAGTACAGGTATGAAGACACAGATACAAAAATACACAGAACAGAGATTGCCCTGATGGTTACGACTTTCTTCTTCAACCTACTGCGTCCCGAGTTCAAGGACCCTCTCTTCCTTAGTGTAGTTTAGCGTAAAATATCGATTGAAATCAAAGAAATACAGTACAGATTAAATAAAACTATGGAGGATCAGCAGCAGAAGAGGGAGAGAAGCGCGTACCTTTGAAAAATGGAGGATTTTTGTTAGGGAGAGGATGGAGACTTTAGGAAGGGGCGAGCAAGATAAATAGCTCCAATGAATGGGGATGCCAAATGGGATTTTTGAAGAAGTGGATGTGGTTTCAGAGCAGCGTACGTGGCTTATCATTAGTGAGTAGGAGGACTTGGAAGTCGTTCTAAGTTTTTAACTTTTTTATTTTATTTTTTTCTCAAGCTGGGGATTTGAAAAATGCACATCACTCAAGTTCAGCAAATATGATTAGGGATGGGTACGGTCCAGTTCGGTCAGGTTTCATCCTTAAAATGGAATCGGAATCCGAAAATTTTAACGGTTCGGTTCGGTGCAATTTTACTTAAATTTGTTATTAAAATCATACGGTTCGGTTCATAACGGTTCCGGTTCGGTTCATGCCGGTTTATGGTTCTAACCAAAATTATATATATATATTTTAATTTTCTGCTTCTAATACCAAACACATATTTCAACCACAAATTCAAGTAAATTTGAGTATCCATTACTAGATCTACAAGATTTGTGACCAGAAGATAGAAAATGTACATATAAATATAAATCAAAAGATATAAAGACTCATATTAAGACCAAAGTGTACATAATGTACATAATGCGTAATATATTGGAAAAGAATGAAGAAAAATAATGTAGGGAGAGAAAGGTGATAAAACAACAATGGAGGGGGTGAGAAGTGAAGAAAAATATTGGGCTTATGCACATGGTCTTCTTGGAAAAATGTCTTATTTATATAAAAATAATAATAAAACAATAATTTATATTAAAGTGGTTTGGTCCGGTTTATTCGGTTCTTAATATTTTCAAACCGGAATCAAAACCGTTTGAAACTGTTCGATTCGGTTTTTGTTCCAATTTTGACTTTTTGGGTCGACGCTGTTTTTTACAATTTTTTTCTTGTTACGGTTCGATTCGATTTTCCAGTTTTGTGATTTTTATGCCCACCCCTAAGTATGACAATAACGCTTTACAGAGATTCAAACCTTTTTATTAACATTTCTCGCTCTCCAACTATCCTTCTTGTTGTATTGGTGCTTGTCTACTTCAAAGGATTGAAGGCCTAAACCTTTTTTTGTACGAACGTATGAATTTATGTTACTTTCAATTATATTTTGATATTTATCGGGAAAATAAATAATTAATCAAGATTTTACACGAATTTAAATTAATTCTCCCGCCATACCAAATAAAGAAATATATCACGTCATTACAAGAATAGTCATTTAAACTCGACACCTACCAAGCTCACATGACCCAATACATGTGGTTGCACAGGGCTTGCTAGAGTGGTTGAGGTGTGAAAGGTTACAAAGGTCCATAAGGCCCATGTAAACTCTTCAATAGTGGAGACTTTGGTCTATTTGGGAGCACCAGAATCCAAACCCATTACTTGGAGTAAACAGATGTCAGGTGAGCAAATTGAAGAAAGTTGAGATTCCACCATAAAATCAGTTGGCAATATGAGGAGTAGCCCAACCTCTTATAAGTCCATAAAGGTCTCTCATCTCATCAATATAGGACTCATTCTCAACACAAATGAGATACTTTTCAACACCTTATTTGACAGTGACCTAACCTCAACAGCCCATCGCTCCATTCCTACATTAAGATATATGTTTTTCGTGAAGCTTTTCAACCATGTCGTCCTTTATATAAAACGATTCTATAATCATGTGTTTTATATGTTGGAAACAAGTTATTTTAGACACCTTGTATCCCTAAGTAGTCTCCGACACACCATTTTACCCAACAAATTTAAGAGAGTCTTCACCCTCTATAAAAGCAAGTCAATATCACATAAATGGGGGAGGAGGGTACCACACTCAGCAAGCAAAGGAGAAGGACCTCTTCTTCCAGCTACTAAAAATCTTTCTCTTGTTTATTGCAAGCTTCCTACACCAACCACAAGTCTAACCTCAAGCTTCCCACTGTCCTGCCTCCAACTTTTTTCCTCCTAGCTATTGTAAAACCTCACAGCAAGCCATAACCTCAACCATTTTTCTCACATTCTCATCCTTGAAACCCTAATCTCCACCGCCAAATATCTCTTTAAACATTTATTCTGAAACCAAATCATACACTCTCATTTGCTAAACTTTTGGGTCTCGAGCTCTTATGCTAAGCCTAATTGTTCTAATGTCTAGTATTTGTTCAGAGTTGAACAATCTTACTAAAGCTGTTAGAAATACTTCATTAGCGCCAAAATATTCGGCGCAACATCAAATCAAGCACTTAGGAGCTGCTGGAAGAACAACAAATCATTTCCTAGGACTTGCTTTACCTTCAAATGTTTTGGGCCTATTTTTCGCTAACTCATAAATGGGGGACATAAAGGCTTCATCCACCTTCTTACACTACAAGTCTAACAAACCAATGACTAAAAAAACCCAACAATTTCTTATTTGGAAATAAGGTTTCATTGTAATTTTTTTTTAATTGAAATTAGTTCCTAAACAAGTTTTTTAAAAAGTTGTCACTTAGTACTACAGTCTAGTGATATTCATTTTCACTTGTAAGTCAGAGGTCTTAGGCCATCTCCAACCGAAGGGTCCAGAGGGCCAAAAGTAGCCCGAAAACCATCTCCAACCGAGGGCTAGGCCAAATGGCTCATGTGCCCCACAGGACAAAAAAGAGCCAAAGGGCCAATCGGCTGGCCCAACCCAGCCAGCCCCGGCCGGACCGGATTTTGAATGCAACGGTAACATGATGACGTCATCTAACCGTTATATTTGATTTTTTTTTTTTTACAAATTTAAAAATTCTGTATATATATATATATATATATATTTCCTATAACTTCATAAGCCATTAAACAATATTAAATAACATTAAGTCACAACATAAAAATTATACAACATTAAAAATAAAAATAAAAACATTTAACAACATGAAACTTAAACAACATTTTTAACAACATAAAACTTAAACACCTACTTCATGCTTCTTTTGGCCCAAAGATGTGCAACAAGATCCTGTTGTAGGTACTTGTTTGTGGTACGGGAACGTATCATCCTATAGCGCCTCATATACTCATTTAAAGATATATTACTAGTTCTTGGATTCAAAGGCAAATTAGGCCCATCATATATTTTTGCACAAGCCCTTCTTGACCTATTTGGATCCTCTTGGTCGTCATCAGACTCTCTATCAATATACCCATCTCATTCATCCTCCACAATCATGTCGTGTAATATGATGCAATACATCATGATAGAGTCCAAATTTTCTCAACTCCATCCATCTTGCCAATTCGCTGATGATCTTCTACTGTGCTTGTAGAATACCCCAAGCTCTCTCAACATCTTTCCGGTATGCCTCTTGTTGTAAGGTAAACCATTTTTCGGCATCATTCGCAGGGTTTGGAATTTCTTAGACAAGTGTCGCCCACTTTGGGTAGATGTCATTTGCTAAGTAATACCCCATATTGTACTGACGTCCATTGATGTAGTGGTCAAGTTGAGGTGATTTACCTTCCGTCAGGTTATTGAAGAAGGGTGAACGCCTAAGAAGTGTAATGTCATTTTGGGATCCAGGGACTCCAAAGAAAGCATGCCATATCCATGTGTCATAGGAGGCAACTGCCTCTAACATAACAGTTGGCTTTCTCGACCTTCCACTAAAGCCTTATTGCCATCTGGTGGGACAATTCTTCCAATTCCAATGCATGCAGTCTAATGACCCTATCATGCCTAGAAACCGATGGTTTTCAGCTTTACGAAGGAGCCGATCCAGATCTTCTTGATTTAGCTCACAAAGGTACTCCTCTTTGTAAAGCTAAACAATTGTGTTACATAATTCAGCAAGAGAATCAAGGCATGTAGACTTAGACATACCATATGTTTCATCCATTGAATCAACTGGGGAGTCATAGATCATCATTCGTAGTGCAACAGTAACCTTCTGATGAAGTGAGAAACCAGGACGGCCTGCTTTGTCCAACTTCTGTCGAAAGTATGGATTGACCTACTGGACATCATGAAGTAAACAGGTCGAAGACATGACGCCTCATCCGGAAGCGACGTCTGAAATCCTCTTTAGTATACACTGAGTTGGGGTTGAAGTAGTTGTTCATCAAATTGGCATGCGTGATCGCTCTGTTTCATGGTTTGTAAGAGCGACCAGCAACAGAGCCACCCCATTAAGGTTGTTCCTCAGTTGGCTGACGCATTATGACCGTAGCTATGGCTTCCACACATTGTGTGTTGCGCCATGCTTCATCTTCTTTATCAGACTCCTCATCTTCTTGTCTCATCTGCGCCCATTTTTCTTCCAATTCGGAATTGGATGAGGACCCCTAGTTAGAATCCGAAGAGGATCCAAAGTTGGAATTCATTGCAAACTTGAATTGAAAGAAATTGAATTCAAAGATGTGTGAATTATAGCCCAATATCCACCCTATTTATAGCCCAAAAAAATTCAAATCCAACGGCTAGCTAACGTCAGTTACCGTTGGATTTGAATTTTTTTTTTTCGACCAAATTTTTTTAAAAAATATTAAAAAAATCTCATTTTTTTCCTTTAAATTTAAGTTGTTGTAGTTTTTAAATTTAAATAATAAATTATGTTTGGCCCTCGGTTGGAGATGGTAAGAAATATGACCCTGCACTGTTCATTAAAATATTAATTTCTTGGAGGCCTATAGGGCTAAAATGAGCCATCTGGCCCTCCTTCGGTTGGAGATGGCCTTAGGTTCGATTCACGCCAAAGGCGAATTTGAACCACATTATTGCTAGTCCATTATGAGGCTAAGCCCATCCCTTCTTCCCTTAGTGTGGATAATATTTTTTATTAAAAAAAAGTTGAAAATAAAATGACCGCTAAGAATACAAAATCAATGAGGCGATTGTAGTGTTGGTGCTGTTGTCCAGGAAAATGGGGTGTTTCATTTCGAGGTGCTGGTGTGGTTATTCGTAACAATCGTGGTGAGTTCATGGTGGCCTATTTACTATGCTAGCTATGGAGGCAATTGCAGTGATGCTTGAGCTTTAGTTCGCCAGTGATCTGGGGTTTTCAAAAGTAATAACGGAGATGTTCAAAAGCTGTGGTGGATTTATCAATAGTGATGTAGGTCTGTTGGACAACATAATGGCTCATTTGGTACATATGATTGAATTGGAATGAAAAACTCTTAAATTACAAGGTATATTGGTGAATATTTTGGAAAGGATTAACTATGAAAAAATTCATCCCTTCTAATCCAACCATTTTAAGAAGTATTGGAATGAATATCTTTTCATGAGAAGTATGAATTTAGTAGAGGTGGTCATAATTTTATAATTTCTCCAACATACCTTTAATTTAGTAGGTTATCCATTTAAATCTAACCATGTGCACCAAATGAGTCTGAATTTAGTATGATTCAAGAGGTTATCCACTCCAATCTAATCACGTGTGTCAAATGAGCCCGAATTTAGTATGATTCAAGAGATAAGAGCTATATGTATTACTTCAAGTGTTTAAAAAGACTAGTTTTATGACTCACCTAGGTGAGGCGGAGTTATGAGGGAAACATTTTTGCCCAGTAGAAGTGGGCTATATACTAGCCTAAACTCTTAGGCTATCGCCTCAAGCGCCTAGGCTACCTGGGCGTATGAATCTTTTTATAAAAAAAAAAAAAAATAAAAAAAAACCAGCCCAAACACAAAGTGACATTGTTTTGGGCAGGGTTTTTATTTTTTATTTTATTTTTATTTTTTATTTTTATAAAATTTATGTTTCTAACTTAGTTTCTATTAGTTTATTGTGACTTTATGATGTGAATTAGAAAAAAATAATAATAATAGTTAAATGTTGATTGCTTGACATGTTTGCTTGATTGTTCTACAAAGTATCGTACTATATATGTGTGTGTGTGTGTGTGTGTATATAAGTATTAATAATAATTTTAGTACTTGAGGTTGTCCATGAAACACCTTCGTTTCACTTTTACCCTTTAAAACATTCACCGGTTCTTTAACTTAAACTCTATTTCAACAACTAAAAATATTATAACTAAACTAGTTCTTGTTACAATAATACTTCTTTGCCGCAACTCGTTAACACTCTTAATCTAGTAATATTTCTTTTTCTCTGGAAGAGGTATTTATTGTTCACTCAGATATAGAAAACCTACATACTGGGCAACGACCATTGCTCTTCACCCAAGGCACAATGCATTCTTCATGAAACATATGCTTACAAGGAGTGAGCATAACCTCTTGTTTGGGCTCAAAGTCATCCAAGCAAATGGTACACCTCTTTTCATCATTCTCTATATCCTTCTCCTTCACAACTGTGTCTCTGTAATACAAGTTCACCCTCTTCGATATTCTCCTCAAAGGATTGTATATCTCTTTCTTCAGCTTCTGCAACGCCCTCTTTTGCTCGTTATGGGTCAATCTGGAGTCTGCTTCAAGTCCAGGGGCGGCCGTATTCCATTGGTTACCGACCATCTGTCTAGTCCTCGGGTCTGCCTGTCGTGCCAAATCATCGCCAAGGACCAGAAAATGAATTCGGGGACCTGGTGCTGCTGCTGAACTGCAAGTTTTTCATCAGTAGAAGGTGAGAGAGGGATAACAAATAAAATGTACGAGTAATGGCTGCGCTCTAAAGAGGCACATTAGCCGTTAGATCATATATGAACTGATGCTAAACCACATACGTATGCGTACTAATCATTTTACTGATATGTGAATCAATGACATGAAAAAAAAAACAAAAAAGGAGAAAAATCTGCATGTGAACTGTGATCTCGACTGCGATTTACCCTGCTGAGCCAAGAGATCTTGCAACCGCCAGCGTTCCCTCAAATGGTCGCCTTGAATCCGACGCACCTGTTCTGGTTACCTGATTATGCAACCAAAATAGTTTGTGCCATATTCTACACATCGTATCATAAAGAAAAAGGGAAAGAAACTCTACTTACTTGAGTTGCTTGAAAATTATCATAGAAGGGACTACCAGAGATCCCAGAAGCCCATTCACCAAAATCGTCCTCAAAATTCCCGAAGTAGAGATCAAACGGCTCACGATAGGTAAGATGAGGACGAGGAGGAGTAGGAAGAGGATAGGTAGTGTTGGTACTTCTGCTCATGATGTCTACGTTCTGCCTATCTCCGGAGTTTGCACTTCCTATGCAATATTGTTGATGTGTTTTCGGGTTCTGAGAGTTTTTATTCCTTCATCTGCTTCAAGGTGTGTGTATATATATATCCTTGTCAATCAAGGTTGCCATTTTAATATTGCGGATGCTTTTTCTGGTGGCATGCAAGAAAAGCTAATAGAGATTCGATAGAAAAAGCAACGTAGGAATCGATTCCAACCCATTCGGTTTCTACTTTTCCTGTTTCTGCGATGTGATTGAGATAACAATGCATTCTACGGCAGAGGTTTCCCAGCAATGGCCACACACAACTGAACAATCAAGCACTCATTCTTATGAGTTAATCAACGGTTTGCAGATGCTCGTGCGCCGTGGATTCTGTCCATTGTAGTGCGCTCCCCAGTTCTTAAAGTTTATTCCCCCGAGTCTGAGCTTTCAGACTCAGTTGTCACCTTTTGGCCCCATTAGCTATCGCAAGGCATCTAAACATTCTTACATTTCGTTCACGGAGGATGTTGTAGATCTCCATCTGTAATGCAAATTGCTTTAGATCCTTGCATTGCAAACATCTGTAATGCACATTGCTTTAGATCCTTGCATTGCAAGTAAACTTGGTAGATCTTCGATAGCATCCACCATATTGGTCGCTGTATGAATTTGTTTGTTCATTTTTGCCATAGAACAAGTATGCTCCAGTTGTAGCAAAGTTCGAAATGCATTGCCAAATGTTCAATATGATTCCACAAGATCTAGTTTCGTTCAAGTAACGGAACCTAGCCCATTTAAAGGCAGTTTCAACAACCGAGTGGCTGAAAGATCAGAGTAATGACCAGGTACGTTAAGAAAAGTATCCGATTTCCTTTCTTCTTTTACAGCTAGCAGAAAAAGAATCAGTTCACAAGGTCCGCGTTGTTATAACAATCAAACTTAAAATCCGAGGGCTTGAATTTCATCTTTTTTAACTAAAAAGTTGCTTCTGGTCCTCATTTTCTTCTCAACCACGGTCTCCCAGACGTCAGACGTCCAAACCAACCTGCCTACGAGTAAAGAAATAGCATAAGACAGGAAGAACTAAGAAGCTCAAAGCAAGGTAAGCAATCAGATGTGTAAATGATACCTCATGGCCAAAGTTGCTGATAACAATCGTTAATAAAATGCACAGATGCTACTTGCTCATAGTTGAAGACAAGCAGAAGTTCCAGAAAATTGAACCCACGGACATGAAAGCTACACGAGCTTGAAGAGGTACCACCCTGTATCGAAAGCCATTTCAGTCAATTAGATAAAGCTACCACTTGATTTGGTATTAAAAAGTGGAGTATATGCCAGAGTATGATGTTCTCGGAAAAGAATTTTCCCATCACCCACCTGCAAAAAATCTTTCATTGTCTTTATAAAGAAATTACTAGTTTACAAACAATTTCAAACAGTCTATGATAACACTAATTGAGGCACGGCTTAAATTTCCGGTACCAGAGGAGATGAAAAAAAGAGGAAATAAATAGCAGAAGAGAAAATGGTGTACCAGAAATTCAATAAACTGACAGGTATCCAGAACCTAAATCCTGCACAAAATAATACAACAAAAATTGGAAAAATACGAGTTTATGAAATCTGAAATGCAGAGTGAACATAAATAACAATCAGAATAAGTTTACCATAAAGTAAGGTGGGAAGAGCATCTCTTCGATACTTCTCTGGAAGCTGTGAGAGTTTCCCTTGCCATAAATTGTTCCACGCAAAAACAACAGCAATCACACATGGACCAAGCACAATTTGATTCAACAAAACCTGTAAGAAAAGAAAGCTATTAGATACCTTCCAAATGGCTTCCGTTCATTTTTTATTTCCTCAAACTTTACTTTGTTTTTTTTTTTCCGAAGTTCCTTAGAGTCATGCTACCTCAAGATTGATGTAAAAGAGGTCGTACCTTCAGCAGTAGGTTCTCTACAGTTTTCGCAGGCAAAGAATGATCAAGATACTGGTACCAAGCATAAGAACCAGGGCCGTACAAAAGAAACCCATAGGAAGTCATCCGCAGTGCACGAAGCCAATCATGGTGTGACAGGAGAGCACGTGTTACATCCTAAGAAAGAGATTTTGGTCATCAAACACTAAACTCAAAGGAACACAAATAATAATGTAACAACGCATCCTTACAAAACATAAACTATAATATTAGACAAGACTAGACCAATTGACGGATCTACAAAGAGTCAACAAGCTTGGAGGATGGACCACAAAAATCAACTAGGAGGCACACCATGATCTTCATAGCATTATCCATTATAAATGAATTTTCTAGCATTTGACTCCGCACCACCAAAAGGTTTGGTCGCATACTTGAAAAATAACCCAAAAAAATCAAGGGAATGCTTGGATAATTGGTTTAAAACTTTATATAAATACTTCCTGGTTGAGACCACACATAAGAATGACATTGCCATAAACTGACAAGATAATATTTCCACTGTTTTATCGAAGAGGGGTATCCTTCGAAGACAGAACCCGGTCAAGATGATACAGGTTAACTCCTCCTTGTGCCAAAGATCTTACCATTTCCAAAAGAAACTTGATTCTTTTCCACCTTCATTCAAGAGTTCTCCCGAAAAATGGACAACTTCCTTTTCTTAGGAACACATACAAGATTCGTCACTACAAAAAGCTAGCAGAGCCAAAAAACTAAAAGAAATTCAAGATTCACAGCTCAAAGTGCTGATCCATCTTGCACCCACTACAACCTTAAAACCAGAACCTTTGGCTAAGCAATAGCTTAGTGGATAACAACCTATAAACTGGGAAATTGTGGCCTAACAGGGCCATCCAACCCATATTAGGCACTTGTTCTTTCGAGTCAGTTTAACACATTGAGATCCAAGAGTTTCCTTCATTTAACACAATATACAACCAAGGAAACACCGGTTTAGCATTTGTGCCAACTTCGGTACAATTATAAGAAACAAAATCATCCTGCAAATTAAATAAGTAGCTGCTGCACTCAGAATTAGAGCACCAACTCGCAATTTACATTGCTAGAAGCTGAAAGTTGTTCTTTTCTCACTACAAACCCCAACTATAAATAAAGCTACTAGAAAAGCAAATAGAGATTTGACAGAAAAAACAATGTAGGAATCGATTTTTTGTATTGTGGATGCTTCTTCTGGTGACATGCAAGATTCGTCACTACAAAAAGCTTTATGGTAATATGTCTCAAACCTAGAATTGTGTTCGCTAGCAGAGCCAAAACACTAAAAGAAATTCAAGACTCACAGCACAAAGTGCTGTTCCATAATCGCACCCGCTACAAACTTAAAACCACAATCTTTGGCTAAGCAATAGCTTAGCGGATAACAACCCACAAGCTGGGAAATTGTGGCCTAACAGAGCCATCAAACCCATATTAGGCACTTGTTCTTTCTAGTCAGTTTAACACAACGAGCTCCAAGAGTTTCCTTCATTTAACACAATATACAACCGAGGAAACACCGGTTTAGGATTTGCGCCAACTTTGGTACAATTATACGAAACAAAATCATCCTGCAAATTAATAAGTAGCTGTTGTGCTCAGAATTAGAGAACCAACTCTCAATTAACTGCAATTTACATCGCAGGAAGCTGAAAGTTGTTCTTTTCTCACTCCAAACCCCAACTATAAATAATTCCAAGCCTCAAACTTTATAAACCCTCAAACATTTTCTGAGCACCCAAACACTTTTCCTTACCCCACGTTTTCTCAGCAACCAAACCCATCATAAAATTCCGATATTTATCTTTTCCTAATTTTCTCAGCAACCAAACACAGCATAAAATTCCAATATTTTACCTTAAGTTTTCCTACATTTTCTCAGCAACCAAACACAGCATAAAATTCCAATATCTTACCTTAACTTCTCAGCAACCAAACAGCTTAATGAAACAAAGAAAGAGACGTTAAATTTGACAAACCTGTTGGTCTTCCGCCCCTGCTTTTCTCCAGCGCTGTGTGAGCTGAGCAATTGTATCTCCCGTCAGAGCCAGTGTGCCAGCCGTGGCGGCTTGCTTTAAGGGAAACCAGTGACCTGCTCTTCCTGTTGCGTCCACAGATTTGGAGGAAGACTGGGATTTGGAATCAAATGGGCGTTTTCTTTGCTGCTTCGGTTTTCTGGGTGATGAGTAGTTCCAACCCCAGAGGCCGCCATGGCCGCCACCGCCAAGAGCATTCATATTCTCAAAGCAAGGCAAATGCAACTGAAAATTGAGAAACGGTGCGCGTGCTGCGCTACTGACAGTGGACACGGGTCTGGTTGGCCCGGGTAGAGCTCCAGTCAACCCGAATTAGACTAGTGGTCTTGGTACATTTTTCTGATTTTTATTGAGCGATGCTAAAGCCAACCACATGATTTTATCTGCCTTTAGATTAATGACTTAATTGGATTAATAGCCGTTATGGTAATAGCGTAATCATGGGTTAACAATTAAAAAAGATTTGACGAAATTTTCAATTTTGTGGTTTAAATTCTAACATATTTCACTACAAGAGTTTAAATATTAATTTTTTTACCACGGTTGTCTTCGGACTACTCATGGAATCCTATCACCACGGTAGCTATTAATCCAGGATAGTGTTATTCATCCATTTTTACTTCTTACACACCTCGTCAATTTTCAATCGTCGGATCGAATGGATTGAAGAATATATCATCGACAAAAAATTAACAATTGTTTGGGGGAGTGAAATAGGGTGTGTGATAACACTTTCCTTAATCCAATTAGGCCCAGATTTTCTTTTTTAAACAAATGATATTATCTATACTAAGAAGAAGAGGTAGACTTAACCTCACAATGAACTTACAATAGTGTGGTTCAAACTCGCATTTGATGAAAATCGAATCTAAAGCCTCTCACTTACAAATGAAGAGAAATATCATCAGACCGTAGTAGTAAATAACAATTAGGCCTAGATTAATTTAAGGATTTTAAATGAAATGGTCCTTACAGGACCTCATCTATAGGCCCTTGTGCGAGCATTGTATTTTCTATCCACCTTTCGGTAAATTTTTTAAAAAATGACTCAATAAGTGCAATCTGTGAGACTAGAACTCATGACACCCAACAAAATGAGTGTTAAACGGTATAGTTAACAACTTAAAAGTTAAAAGGAAAAATTAAAAGGAGCATCAAACACAGCTAGTAGAATCCGGATCCTTGCCGGATCCTTTTTGTGAGGATTCTAAAAATCCTTGAATCATATACGTTCATTGTACATTGTACAGTCAAAAATGATTTTAAATATTTTTATTTAAAAATAAATACAAACAATATTTGATAAAAACTGATCGCACGATGTAAGATAAACAAACATGATTTACAAATTCCCAGAATCTCACCATGTTGGCAGCTAGTAATTTAACTCTAATCCAAAATCATAAAAATTTGAAAGGAACATCAAACATAACAACACTAGTTAGACCGGAATCAAAGGTTATGCTGTCCAACAGTGCAAAATACTACTAAGAGCCCATCACAACCCTTTTAACAAAATGGCTCTTCTGATTCGATCGATACTATAATTTAACAAAATGGTTCTTTTAGCTCGCTGTGAAACCACATCACCTCCATCAGTGCCTGCTCGTTTCACTCGTCGCTAAAACAGTAATTGTCCGACGAAAAAGGGTCTGATTCGAATTCAGCAATTTCTTCCTTCAGAGATGGAGCTTTGGTCTCTCCTTGCAGTTTCAACCCTGCACACCTGTATCGACAACAGTAGTTATGAGATTCAAAGTCAAAAACTTGAACAAGTAGAAAAATGTATCGAAGGATCAGAAGACGAGCGCATTGTTTGGTTTCACGTATTCTGTCATTGCAGCACCTAATGTAAACATGATATTCTCTCAACGGCTTAACGAGTTACCTTTCAGAAAAGCAGATTACCCAAGTTCTAAGTTCTAACAGCGCAAAGAAAGGACAATTCAGCAAACCTATATGTAACAATGAAAGACGATGAATCCTACTTCTCGTACTTTCATAGATATGTGTACGTGCGTGTGCAGGTCCCATGTGTTTTTTGTTTGTAGAGATCCAAAGATAAGTTAAGTCTAAGCATCAGAACTAGTGTCAGCATCTTTCATTCATCTTTCAAAACTGGCATTTGTCTGAGCAGGAGTTTACAGGTCCCTTCTTCTGCAGTTCTGGTGTCATAAAAGAGGTCAAACACACATTCATCATTTTCCGATTCATGAGCATAATTATTATTTGGTGCTCTGGTCTAAAGTAGTCTCAAATATAGAACAGTAGCCTCGAAAAGCACCTCCTCATTGGAAATACTACGCAACCATAAAGCACAGAGTTCTACTTCCTCATGATTGAGAGTTGAGATACAGATAAACACTAACTCATCTTTTATACTTCCATTTCCAATATGTTAATTTATGTATACGTTCATATATGTGTCCAGTTATACATGGTTTTCAAATTAGCAATTGCATACACACGACCCATCTTTTCATTAGAACCACAGATATACTAGGCAAATATCACAAATCCTATAAATTGACAATATCAGGTAGTGAAAGCAACTAAGACGAAAAAAATTCATACATGCTCTTCATCTGGTTGAAAAGTAAACTCAACCATGTACAATCAATCACTGAACAAAACTACAAATTAATCAGCGGGAAACAAATTAAACATATCGGGTGATTTTGGGATCTTTCAAAGACAGTCAAGCATAAATGTTTGTCCACATAAATTCTTCTGAGGTTGAGTTTGATATCCTACAAATACATAACTAGAGCAGCAAATTTACGCAAAATCTTAGAAGGTAAAGAAAAAATCCTTACCTTGTATTTATATTCAATACTTCTACATCCTTCCCTGCCAGATTGTCCTCGAGTAAAATAAAGCTCGGAACATGACTAATTGCTTGAAAATTTGCCTTGAAGCCACAAAGCTTAAGATAAACATATGAACTTGGTTTTTCTGGGTGATAGTAAAAGAAGGAATTTGTTTGAGAATGAAACAAAAGCAAACCATAGTTCTTATAGTATTTCATAGCTGTATATACGCCATATGGCCACCTTCCACAATCACCTTTATCAATAGCAATCACCTTCGTCCAACGATATTTTCCACCAGAATCTGTCAGTGTCCACACAGTGATAAGATCACCATAGGAATCACACAAGCAAAGACAACCTTCCAAAACTCCCATGCCCACATACATAAATTGCTTGATCGGAAAAGGCGGTGATGGAACTGATTTGAACTTTTCAGTGTTCAAATCAAAGAACGAATTCTATAGCCATAAGACTCATACCAATAAAGCACTCCTTTCGCATAGGTAGGGGATACTAGGTTACCCGCTGTTTCAGAAACTTCACCAATGGACTTCCATGAACCTGTTCCAAGTGTGTGTATCTCAGCAAACTTAAAGCAATAGCCTGCTTCAGCTTCAAAAATTCGTATCACCTTATATTCATTGGTCTCGGAACTGAAACCTAATCCACATTCGACAGGAATCCTTATATTCTGATGCGGCCTAGAACTTTTGGGAAGGTTTATAAATTCACCGGTTACTGGATTGCACACAACAGCAGGGTCATTGTGGACTGGCTCAGACAAGCAAAGCAGGCCATTACACGAATTCACCACATTGTACTTGTGATGATGTGGCGGTATCCTGATGCAAGTCTTCCTTTTGGTGCCGCGGTTCCCATTAGGCATCACATTGCCGTTATCACTGTTGTTATTGATGACCTCCTCAGCGTTGCGCAATGGGATCTTGTACTTGGTAAGCTTCATGTGGACATGAGACTGGTCACAAGCATTGCCAGTAGCAGCACAGGCACAATCCTTCAAATCAAACCCAGAGCGATCTTCGGGCTCAACCAAGTAAAGGGTTCTTGGCACACGAGTTGGAGTTGGACCGAGGAGCGACAGCAGAGGACAGGGCTCTGCGTGTGCAAAGTGCAGCTTAGCAAATTCAGGGTCTGAAATTCGAGCACACCAAGTCTTGCAAACACATTTGCAAATGAGAATGCTCCTGGTTGGTAACTTTAGTAAAATATTCCAAAAGACGGGCTTCGGAAGATCTCTGATAAGGGGACCCTTTTCTTGAATTTGATCATCCATGTTGCCTATTTGGATTTGGGTGTCACAAGCAGCAGATTTTCTTTTCCTCTTCATCCTTGTTGCCTATAAATATTATGAATATATTCCTTTGAAAATCATAGAATTATTCCTTTGAAAATCATAGAATTAAAGCCACAGCTGGATCATATATAACAGATTGAACTGGGAAATTAACCATTTTTACCAATTTTAGAATAATGAAAGCAAATTTACCGCTACTAATGGTGCTTCTTGAAATAACTTTTAAAGAAAATATTTTTATGTTCCAAAAGCACTTGAAGTGACATAACATTCTTGCTAGAAGCACTTCAAGGCTATTTCGTGATTTATTCACATTTTACTCTAAAATTATTTTCACCAAAAACGCATTTAATCATTTTAAAAACACTTCCTAATGAGTCCATACAGATTTTTAGATTACAATTAATTTGAATAAACAAAAATTAGGAAGATAAATACAGAATAGGTTTTAAGCTATAAAATTACCTGGAAGAACCTACTTGCAGTTGCACAGAGAGAGAGATGAAGAGACGGATACGTGCGTGCGTAATGGGAAAGGGCAGAAAGCTAACTTGTAGGCGTGAGGGTTTCAGATTGGCGGGAAAACGAGGCGATGAGGCGCGCACATCCATGGGATTTGGCCCAGTGGGCTTGCAACTTTTGGACTTTGGACTTGCAGTGGATTTGCAGGCCGCACAGGTGCCCAAAAGAAAAAGTCACATTGGGCCAATAAGGGAAACCCATGCCCAGCCCATTAAACAGGCTAAGATTACATTCCAAAGCGTCGTCGTTTCATCTGTCATCTCGATTCCTTCAACTCCAGAATCCAATTGCGTTCGAATTTGTTGGTTTAGGTTTCAGAAAGAGAAAAGGAAGAAGAAGAAGCATTTTGCGCAATGGCAGGGAGATTGAGCAGTGTGGCTTCCAAGATCATGGGCGGAAACGGCGTCGTCTCACGTTCCGTCGCTTCCTCTCTCCGTGTCCGCGCCGGCATGGGCCTTCCGGTCGGCAAGCACATCGTCCCCGACAAGCCCCTTCCCGTGAACGACGAGCTCATCTGGGACAACGGCACGCCGTTTCCCGAACCCTGCATCGATCGAATCGCCGACACCGTCGGAAAGTACGAAGCTTTGGCTTGGCTCTGTGGGGGTTTGAGCTGCTTTGCTGGTTTGGGTTTGTTGGCCGTGTGGAACGACAAGGCGTCCAAGATCCCTTTTGCCCCAAAAGTGTACCCCTACGACAACCTGCGAGTGGAGCTCGGCGGAGAACCGTAGGTACATCCAGCGGTCGGTTTCTGATTGTTAATTGTGTGGTTAATGTTGTTTCGGATGTGCTTTTGCTGATTTCTGTGTTTGAAATGACGGTTCTAAATAATGCTCTGTAGCTCAAACTGAGTCTGTTTTCGGCACTATGGTGTTCAAACAAATTGCGATTCTGGTTTCGTTTAAATCAACTTAGTTCGAATTTGGCGTTGAGATGCAATTTTTTTAGTTTTGTTCCAGTGGCAATCTATCTAGTATGTGATATGTATCATTGCAAGTCGAGATTACTTTCGGGAACCGGAATTTTCGTATGTGGAGCTCAAATTAAGGGGATAAAGGTATCAAATTGTTCGAAAAGGATATACTGTTTGCAGAAGATTAATACTTTTGAGTGATGTAACACTGAACAAAGTTAGCTGAAACCGAGAATTTGGTCGCAAGAGTGTGTTTGAAGTTTGTTTTCGCATGGTATTTTTTGAGAGTAGAGCATAGGTTGAAATGGCGCATTGTTTAATTTAGATTTCCACATGTTTTGTGTTGTTTGATTAGTGTGCCGTGTTTTTTATGTTTTGATTCCACAGTCGTCTTTCAAGGGTCGTCCTGTGTATTTGCTTGTGTTTCCGAGGATATAACAGTGGAGTTGAGGGCTGATTCTTGTTGAGTTTGCTTTTGTACAAAACGTTTCTGAATGGAGAGTGTAGTGTTGAATACTTTATGGATCCTTCACTGGGGCTCAATGCGAATACATAGTTAATTGGTCTATAGTTTTTTGAAAATTATCAATTGACCTGCACAATTGAGTTAATGGGTGTACATGTTCTTTTGCATAGCTGATTGAACAGATACGAAAGGCCAACCTTCCGGCATTATAACTGTTTCAGGTTTTTGGTAACACGTGGCTGTTGTAAGACTAGGGTGTTTCTTTCATCTAGTCAATGAGAAAATTGAAAAGAGAGAAAATATATGGGCAGTGTGTTCCAGGAAACATATAGGCTTTGAGTTCATTTCATTTCTCGTGATGAAAATCCCATGATTGAATTGTAGTGTGTATAAATGCTCGACCTATGCGAGCTCTTATCTCAAATCCTCTGTTATTACAGTTAAAGTTGTACTTCTACCCTTGTTAGAACTTAGAAGGGAGGTTTTGGTTTTGTCCAACGGCAAGTGCAATCCAGAATTTAGATCAAACGAGGAACAGATTTCTTTAAACCAGGGTGTTTTGTTAATGTGATTTTATATGCCTAATTTGTTGTTGCATGATCCATTTATTATTTGTGAACTAGTTCTTTTGTTATAGATCAGTGCTACATGGGACTTATTACATGCCAGTGGTTAAACTGTTGACGGTAATGTGATTCGGTTCTCTGTCTAATTTGCTTGTTTGATGTTATCGGTCTGATGATGCAAGAACCTTTATCTATTAGACACACTTGAACACAGGCGTTTCCCATATTGTAATTGGCTTCAGATTCACAAGTTTTGATTTGTAATATGCTCGTGAGTCAAGGATGGGCACAGGCCGGGCCGGGCCCGAATTTAGAGGAACGGGACATTACCCGTTATAAAGGCTTTCCATTTACTTATGAAGAGATCCCAAATTTAGAAGAACCGGACCTTACCTGTTGTAAAGAATTTGCATTTACTTATGAAGAGATTCATACCATTCTTTGTTAAGTCCGTTGACGAGGTTGTTCTAGTGATCGATTCCATATCGGAGTCTGCCACTTAAGGTTCCCTCTATGCATCTAAAATTTCAAACAAAGAGCAAGAGTCTAGCAGAGATTAAACGTAAGAAGCTCAGTTTTATTGGTCAAATGACATCTTCGAGGGGTTTGCAATTTTGTCTGAATTTAACGAAAAATCACCAAAATCCGAAATCATTGGACTATTGGATTAAATGGGAGTCATAACAGTGCTTCTTTGTAAAATTGTATTCCTCTATTTTCTTCATTACAATCAGATGTATTATTGGTTTTAGATTTGTCTAATTTTTGCAAGAGTAATCTATGAATGATGTACTAAAATATAGAGGGTTTGGGCCATTAGAAAAAGTTATAGATTGAGCATCACAAGGTGTTCTTAAAATAAATTATTTGAAGGATCCCTCGTCGGCATATATAATGCTCCGTCATAAATGTCAAAAACTATGACAACTCTTAAGATTCACAATAAACAGAACAAGAACTACTTTTCTTACCATTTGAGTTTTGTCTGCCTTAAATTGTTCTTACATCAGCAAACAAAGTTTATTTCTATTTACAACAAGTGTGTGATATTTATTTTAATTAGCAGCAAATAATTTGAAGACATAAAATGCTTCAATTCACATGTCTCTTTCTTAACATGATAAGGATCCAAAGTTGCCCCAAAAGCACATATGTCGAGTCATCACAACTCAATTCAATCAATCCAACAAAATATCACCTAAGAACTTGACAATATGCCATATGATATATTAACTAAAGTGCCCGGTCAGCTTTTGTGAATTATTCATGTCAGCATAATAGTTATGTTGAGCTTTCTTTCTGAAATTTTTGATTTGCTAGAGTTAAGAAGATAATGCGATGGGAGTATTACAATATCAAAATTGGAGAGTTGTAGGTAATGAAAGAATTTCTTCATGTCTTCTGATTATGAAACATATCTTGCAACGCCTTAGTGACATGTGTGGCATGTTTCCATCCTCTTGGATCAAAGTACTCATCAAAGTAACATCTTTCTGATCATCCAAGTTCAATTACACACAATAAGAAGTCGACGCTGTACTAGCTTCTTCGTCAATTGGGCACCAAGTTCTAAAGAATACGATTATTAAGATCGACAAGATTGAGAAAAATGACGTACTATAAATTTTTTTGTTTATTTTAATTTCCTCCAATATTTTACTCAGTAAACAGAAAAAGTAGGATGAAAATGTGCATTCAGAGAATTAATGATGTTTGGTTAAGGTCTTTGAGATTTTAGTAAATGAAAAGTTTGTAATTGGACATGATACTAATATTCATTTAGAATAAAATAGTTGTGATAGTTAGGTAGGTGTTTTTCCATGAAATAGGTGTTTAAAAACAAGTTTTGCGAGTTTTGAACCTCATGATACATCATATCTAGGAATTCTTCCAATATGCCGATGTGGATAATTTAAAAAGAAGTTCTGCAATTTTTTTTTTTTTTTTTTGAACCAATTCTTCCAATACTTGGGGACTGATTAATAACGATTATTGAAAGGTTGTTAAATTAAGGGGAGTTTTAATGAAAAGCACACAGTACTGTTCATTTTAAAGAAAAACCACATTTTTACATTAAAAAATCAATCCGGGTACTATTCACTTTACCCTTTATTTTGTCTTTATCATTAAAACTTAAATTTCTTTTTATTAATTCTCCTTAAATTAAATGGATACGTTATGTGTTTCAACTTTCAAAATTATTTGTATCGAATTTTCTACCTGTTTAAAACCCCCATAATCCTAATCATATTGGGTTTTCGATTTCGTGTGAATTTCGAGGTTTTGTTTTGAAGACTTTCATGACATAACCATGTTCGAAAAAGAGCTTAAACTGATATATTTAAAACTTGTATGTATCGGATCTTCGAGTTTGCGTTAAGCTCATATGTCGAGTTATCCAGCTCAATTCGAGATCCAAAAAGGAGGAAATCAAAACGTTCTCTTTGATGAGAGAAACTTATAGTTAGCTCAATACAGTGGTGGAGGTTGCATGGGATCATTGGTTGTTCTTGACTCTGATAAATCCAAAAACCTTATTTATATTTGTTTATATATTGTATTTGACCCTCTATAAATAGCCAAGACAAACTAAATTACAACATCTTCCTCCAACAGCTTCCTCCTACTTCTCTCCTCTTGTACGAAATACTTTAGTTGAAAAGCTTTAACAGTCTTCAACATTACTCCACAATATCTTGTATCCACCCTCGACAGGCCTCTACAAATAATAGTAGTCGTCGACAAACTTTCGACATATGCTGACAGGAATTAGTAGTTGCCAACTAGGTGCTAGACGAAATGACCCAATAAAGTTTTTTGGTTGATATTATGATCCTATTATTTGAAAATCCTGACTAATGGCGCGATATGCTCCTTGTATTGCTTGTATGAATCAATGGACGTAAACATGTTCGAGTGGTCTACAATCTAATTTAAACGTATATAAAAAAACTCATCCCAAATGATATACAATCTCCAAAAGAAATTAGGAAAATTGTCAAAATTATAGAATCTTGCCTTTTGTTTTACTAGCTACTAGCCAGATACGATTACTTTTAATTTATAAACAAACACACAAGGATAAATAAATCACCTTCAATGTGCAACTTAATCCAAACAATTCTTAAATAAATGGATAGATGATCTGTATTTTCTACTATAAGACAAGTGCATAAGTACTCTACTTGTTAATTGAAAAATAATAGAAATTTGTAATCAAATAACGCAAGAGATTTACGAGGAAAACTAACTTTATTGATAAAAAAAGGAAAGATTACAAGCGTAGGGACTTGGCGCCTGATCCGTCGCAGACAAATGACATAAAACTAAAACTTCGTGACCGTTAACTTTTAAATTGTCAATACAACGAAGAAAGAAAAGGAGCATTGTCATTGTGCATGTGAGGTTTCAACATTGAACATCCTCATGCCTTTAGCCACTAGCTTTGACGAATGTAGAGAAACTGAACCTGATGATTGGCTTTCTTTGCGCCGCAGGTGGAAAAGAGGTTCCGTTTGAGGATGGCGCCACGAATTCATCCACGAGTTCCTCTACGCCCCCATTATATGAATCATTGGAAGGACCAGCAGCTCCATTGCTAGAGTTTATTGGCGTACCAACTGATGCGCCCTCCTTTGTAGCCGTAATCTTCTTCTCCAATGCCAGCTTCTCTGCTTCTTTAGAATTTGATATATTTGCAGCAGCAGGTAGACTATCGATTGGTGGATTGCACCTTGACGAAGATTCAGTCTGATCATTCTGATAAGGAATGTCTCTTGGGATTCCTGTCTTTCCGGAGTTATTGTTGTTTGCATCCATACTGTCACATTTTATGGAACATGAATTGACACTGCTGCTCATAGAAGGGCTACCCTCACGAAATTCTTCACCGCAGGGACGTAAAGACTTGGCATGCCTTGAGTCAATTTCTACATTACCATCCACTCGCTTTCTCTTCTGCCTGCCATCTGATCCATCTAAATCAGTTTTAGCTTCACATAATTTATGTGGTTCAGATGCTCCAGAAACCGTTGGTTCTGAACCCTGCCTTCTCCCCCAAGTTACTTTAGACGTGCGCAGAAGTCGAACCCCACCAGGAAATACAAAATTTGGGATGCTCCTGCGGTTTACATGGGATACACGGATCTCCATTCCAGGTTTCCATAATGTGTAACGGTTGACATCAGCTTGCTTAAACTCCTCAATTGTTCCTCTTATGTCAAAGTATCGCTGGCCATCATTGGCATGAACTCCTTGACGTCGTTGTAGACCCATGAAGAAAGAGCTATGAAAGCCTCTTGATTTGTCTGAAAAATCACCTGGTTGTGGGTGACACAGCAGCTTGCCGGATGTGTGCCTCTCAATCTTCAGCATTAGTTGACGGATACGGGACCCAACCCAGCCTTTCCATGCTGTAAAGTCATCATCATTTTCTGCAGTGATGTCTATCTGTAAATAATTCTTATACGCTTCAAAGAAAGCATAAGACTCAAAAAGGGTATCCCAATCAGCCTCGTTTGCTTCCATAGCCTTACAAATATCATTTCCCCTCTGAAACTCGTCTAACATGATACACTTAGTACTCGGAGACACGCTGTAGCTAGAGTTCATGCTGGGATATGCCGGAGTAATTATGGGCATCAAATGAAGCCTGTCCATTTTGTTTCTTATAGGATCCCAGACCTGCAGTCCAAGAGACCCAGCTTCAATAGCACAGAGCATGACAGGATTTGGCCACTGCCACTGCGTATATATCTTAAAGAACCGAGACACTAGCATATTAGGCAGGGCATTTGGGTAGAGTTGGCATATGCGAGCAACAAGCAATGTCCAATTTATACCACCAAGAAATCCCGCAACGTTGGAATAAACACAACGACGCTTTGCCCATAACCTCATGCATCTCAAAGTCGTGCAGAAGTTCTGAATGCTTGGGATTAAACGAAGAATTCGGTCTGTAACTCTGAAACCATTAAGACTACGAACTGTCTGTTCATCCACACCCTGTAGTACTGAGTCTTGTAATATATCCAAGTCTTCTGGAATAACCAAGAGTGCTAGTTGCGCATAAAGAAGATCTATTGCCACCCCACTGAACTTGAATCTCATGACTGGGACGTGAGCATCGGGTACAGGGTTCAACTCTGTCACTTGAGGCATCTCAGACAGCATCCTATGTAGCTCGCCGAAGAAATCTTCTTGACGAGTTGCATATTTAGGACCGATACAGAGTGTGTCTATATCTGCTCCTGGGCCATGAACCCCTAGCCGATACGATCCAAAGGTGACGATCAAAGCATTTGCTTCATCCACCAGTTGCTCATTGAATCCCTTGGCCTTGCTAACTGTCTTAACCCACACCTTGACAATCTGGCCGAGGCTGCCAAGAACCTCCTGCCTGCGCACAGCCTCTTCTTGACTCTCATACAATCCAGCATCTTGCAAGTAGTTTTCCAATTCACGAGTCTTGATCACATCAGACTCGGCGGGTCCGGCCAGCGAGATGGGCCCCGTAAGGCCAAACCTCTGCCCGTTATCTTGATTGCTTAATGCATCATGGTTCCCCATTTACAATATGCAAGAATTTTGAGTATATATAATTTTGCGAATATGGGAATTGGGGAAATTTTTTATCTTTTTGTCTTTTCCAAAATAATGAAATCGAACCCAATCAAATCAAAAAAGATAAAATGAAATCGAAACAAGCAAATCAGAAAAGTAATAATAATAATAATAATAATCTCAATTCTCAAGCTATTTTTTTTTTTTTTTTCAGTTGCAGATGCAGTATTGGGCAGATCGAAGCCCTACAAAATACAAATTAAGATAACGAAATTGAGACAAAGCGAAACCCTAACCCTAGATTTTCAATATCGTAATTAATATAAACTTAATTTCAAGCAATTTAAAATTTCCAACCCTAACTAACCGTAGAGGAGGAGGGAGAAGAAACAGAACCGATCGGAATGGACGCCGGAAAATTGAGTAAGTAAGCGCCAAAACGTCTGCGACTGCGGCTTTCAGAATCGTCGGTGAAGATCCTCGGCCTTGGTCGTTTGAGCCTGAGAATTGCAGATACGACGACGACGAATTACTGGTCCAATCTCGCCGCCCCTGGAGATTATCAGGGAATTCTGATCGAGAGATTTTGGTCGATCGAGAGAGAGACGGTAGCTTTTAATTTTTTAGAGACGAGAAAGAGAGTGACGGTTGAGTTTCCCTTCCCCGTTCAGATGGTATATATAGGCTTCCGCTTTATGAGGGATTCCTCAAAATTGTGGGACTCTCAATATGGATTCCTCGAATTAGCGGGAAACTGTCGGGCCCCACTACAACCTATTATATATCGACCGTTCGATCGTCTACTTTAAATAATACGTTTTTCTTAAAGGCGGTGTATCAGGATATTAAATGAGGAAAAGAATTTTCTTTTTTTTTTAAGTACGACTCTATTTACTTTTTGTAACTTCACATTTTAATGTCAATTTTTTAGTCGATACTATTAAAAATTGTACAAAAAACATGAGGGAATACATAATTCATAAAAAATTTCATCTTTTGGAAAATCTACTTAGCATTTTTCTATGTAGGTCTACTATTATTAAGAGCGATCTTGTTCTCCTGGCCCATGGAGACCAAGAAAAATGATAGTCAACCAATCATAAATTCCACCTTTAGAAAAGTCTGCTTAGCATTAAAATGATAGTCAACCAATCATAAATTCCACCTTTAGAAAAGTCAGCTTGGCACTTTTCTATGTAGGTCTACTATTATCAAGAGCGATCTTGTTCTCCTAAGAGCAACTCCAGTGTTGGAGTCCTCCCCCCTGGTAATGCACTATTCAATCCACCTAATAAACAGTAACTGCCCTTAATGAACAGTAAATAGCCCTGACAATAGAATTTGCATCTCCACCGTTACACTTCAATAACCCTGGCAATAGGTAATAAAATATTAGTATTTTTTTTATTTATAAAATAATACAAAATAATTTTAATTGTAATATCAGATAATATTTTTAATCGTTCTCGTTGCGCCACGTGTCAAATATATAATTATAATGAAAATAAGTAACAAATAAATAATACAAACAACATAATTATAATGTAACAAATAAGTAACAATAACATAATTATATTGTAACAAACAACATAATTATAATGTAACAAACAAATAAATAATACAAACAACATAATTATAATGTAACAAACAACATAATTATAAGGTAACAAATAAGTAACAATAAATAATAAATTTTGTACGTAACAAATAAATAATACAAACAATAAATAATAAATTATGTACATAACAAATAAATAATACAAACAAATAATTATAATGTAAATTTGGGTATCAAATAAATAATATATTGTTACCTGATCCGAGTAATTTTCCCCACTTCGAATATTACTACTAGCTTGTGCCAAGGCGTCTCTCCACGTACTAAACGATTGGCTAAGTAATTTCCAATGACTGGACATCGATTCTTTGGTTCTTTTCCCACCAATTTTCTCAAGAAAATTGGTATGAATAAGACTCCACATTTCTCGCAACTGCATCTCATTACCCGTAAGCGAACTATGAGTAACTTCAACCCAGCTAGTACACAACGCAACATCTTCAATAAGCGACCAATTCGTACCTGCACCAGTGGTCATTTTGTTGAAAAAAAATGGATTCAAACTTTGAGACAAAGAAAGGAATGTGATTGAAAGTAGTTGAGAAAATATGAAATTGTTGTGTAAGGTAGATGATAATGAGAAGGTATTTATAGAAAAGTAAAAACAATTTTTTTTTACAATTTTTTTCAGATTTTTCAAATATTTTTTTGAATTTTTTTGAATTTTTTTAAATTTTTATTCAATTAATTAATCTCTGCCGTTGGATATAAAAAAATTTGAATTCCAACACTCCAGATTGTGCCACGTGTCACAACGGTAACTTTTCAGATTTTTAAAACTATTTTTTCATTTATTTTTTAATTTATAAAGCATTTTAATATCCACCGTTGATCTCAGATCGAACGGTGGATATTAATCCTGACTTAATTTTTTTTTTACCGTTGAGATCTAACGGTTCAAATTAAGTAACCGTTGAGATCTAACGCACCGTGGGAAGCCACGTGGCTTCCCAACGGTAACTGACAGATTTTTTTTTTTTTTTTCTGATTTTTGTGTCGGCGACGCGCCCCCACGCGCTGGTGGGATGCACGCGCTTGACACAAAAAAAATTAAATATTGCGCTGACGCCACCCTGGCGTCAGCCTGACGTCACCCTGGCGTCAGCCTGACGTCATGCCCACCTCGGGCTCTGGGCTCAAGCTAGCTCACCAATTCCATCGCTACCATCGTGAGACCTCCACAGGGTGTTTGAGCGTCCCCGGCAAAAAAATTTAGCCTCCCATGGAGACCAAGAAAAATGATAGTCAACCAATCATCGAATCTAATCCAAGGGTGGAGAAAAATTTAGTGGTCATTTAATATTTCATTTTTTTACATTTTGTTTCTTTCTATTTCTTACACATTTCCACAACCCTCTATCTTCCTTAACTTGACTAAAGAACAACGATCGACGGAGAATGACGACCGATGACCGACGAATAGTAACTAAACCAAGCACTAGGTCCGGTAGTCTCTAGGTCCCTTTGTAGGCTTCCTTCCATGTTAATAAACGATGCGGGGCATAGAGTTAATGTTTGGATAGACCTGTCTCTTGGAGTTTCGTGCTGAAAAGTTATCAGGTTCGCCCATTGACTAGACAGGTGAAAAATTATTTCCAAGCACTCATTTCTTTTTGGTCGGTGATGAGGATTGGCTATTTACTGACTCGAGCAGTTAATGATGTAGCATTTTTACTCACCACCATAACTCTGATGTATGCTCATTATACACTTAGACATTTGTCATGTATCATTTCACCTAACTCTAGTTAACTTTCACATTAAATGTTACATTTTTGTTTTCATTTTAAACATATTAACTAAGGTTAAATGAAAAGACATATGGTAAATAATTAGATGTAGAATGAGTATATACCATAATTTAAGATGGGGAGCAAAAGTGCTCCCTGTCTGATGATGTTCTTCGTCCATAGTGTACGGGCTATGGAAACTCTTGAACTGGTTCATGGGTCTAGTAACTTAAATCTTTTAGCACTTGTGGCCTTTTATGGGCTTCCTCTCAGGGCCTATTCCAGAGAATTACAAATATACATTATTTCAACGAGTTAATAGAAGATCATTCGTTAACCACTCTCTCGTCACTGTTAAGTAGTTATTATTTTTGCTAATAGTAATTTCATTATTTGTAGCAGAAAAGTAAAGCATAAGTGTACGCAAATAGGTATGCGATTTGCTAGGGTAACCGTTAAGTTCAATTATCATTCATTACAACTAGAAAGTAAATAGACAGAAGTAGATTTATCCTACTTCGTAGGAGGGATGTACTACTGTCAAGTCCACTCGTCGTCACTAACTGCTGCTCTTTTCCCACTTGGTCTTAATGAGCGAAAAATAAAGTGCCAGTGAATCATAATCAATCATTAAGTAAAAATCCCTTCGAACATATTAACTCCTGTTTTAGAAAACTTATATAACACAAAATAATATATACTAGTATCTACTACATATATAGTTTGCATAATACAAAATAATATATACTAGTGTCTACTCATATTTTTGGCACAATTTTCGTACCAACATATAAAACATTATGTCAATAACTTGAGATGACGGAGAGTCCATAAAAAGTTTCACTTTCAGAGAATCTCCTTAACATTTCTATCAATCCAAATAGCTAAAATCCCACATCTTAAATCGATTTGAAGTTTCATCGTTAAGCAAAGCTTGTCTAATTTGGATTTAATTAGATCGCTCAATCTTTCGTGAAACAAAAGGAATATATGTTGCAGGTATTAATTAGTCTTAAGATGCTTATGTTGGCCTAAGACATGGGATGCTTCAAATCCGAGGCAGATCGTATTACTAAACTTGTTAACTCCCCCGTAGGGTAATGTATTTGTATATATTGTATCTGTATGAAGCTGTCAGGGCCCCGCATGAGCATATATTCATTAATTTATGTGTTCAACATCCACGTCCTGTAGCCACAATAATTCAGTAGTCAGGGCGCGAACTGCAACTCTTCAATAAATAAATAAAATATGAGAGGTTTCAAGTTCGATGTTCGACTAGTAAGTTTGCTTGACTGTGCTCATGGGAAAAGTGAAATTTTTCATAGCTTCTGCGTGCTTGGAAGAGATGGATAACCAAGACTTGTAATCATTTATCTCCTTTTAATAAAAAAAAATTAAAAGAAAAAGATCTACGTCCTGCTAACCTAATCAAACCAATCTTAATCGAAAACCACAATCATATTTTAGCTGCTTAATTATACCAGCCGCCACCAACCATCTTGCTTTGCCCTTAATTTTTTATATTTACATTTTAATAGTATAATAAAACAGATATCGTTCGCGTGAAAAAATATGTGACATGCAAGCACATATTTATTCACTGATTATTTTGTGACTGATAATTGTTTGTTTCGTTAATATTTAGTTTTACACTTAATAAAACATAATTAAATCAGGTTTCATTAAACCCTAAACCCAAATTTTCCGATGATTTCTTAGTTTACCGCAATTCTTAGAAAATGCAAGGGAGGATTCAGGAAGATTTGATCTTGTTCGAACAAAAAAGGAAAAAGTTTGGTCATAAATAATTTGTGATGCGGGAAAAAAAAAAAGGAGAAACACAAGGACGAAGGAGTTAAATATGAGAATAATGTTTGGTTATTCAAGAATGAGTAAGAATTTCTACTCAAAACTCTTCATATTCGAATCACAGAATTTTGTGCTTATGATCAGAACTGTTTATGTTATGAATCACTCTGTAAAAATCATATTTGCAAAAAAATGAATTAACACTAAGATCGTGTAGTCAATCTATTATAACAAATACATAGACGGTTCATAATATTTTTATGAATTTTGTTCATCTATTTTTATACAGTTTGATGACTAAAAGACTTTAGTATTAATTGATTTTTTTGGCAAAGGGGATCCTTATAGAACAATTTATAATATGACCGGTTTTTATTATAAGTACGAAGTTCTATGAATCGGTAACAAACTATTTTGAGTAAGAATTTATACACATGGTTTGAGTAGTTAAGTATTATTCTAAACATGATGAGAGAGAGATAATGATAATAAACTGGTTAACATTAGTTAGGAATATAAAAAGAAAGC